TTACAAAATTCAAAAATTTAAAATGAATATCCTTTAAGTATGAATATGAATATGTGAGTTCCCAATAAGAGTACATGATTTATTTAAAAAATATCAAAAAATTTAACATTATAGTCCAATTTTTGGACAGTGGCGCAAAATTTAGAGGGGATGAAGATGTTACTGACCCATGTCGTACGCCACTGACAAAGTTTATTCAACTGATTTTTGAAAGATGTTTGCAGCATTTAGTAAAATTATATTGAGAAACAAAAAAGTTAAAATTAATAATTTTTGAATTTTCAACTTTATTTCGGAAACGAGTAACATTTTATCGAATCATGTCTCGTTTAGTCGTCTTATTTTTAATCAGAGAATTTTCAGTTTTCGAGGTAAAGTTCAAAAAACATCGATTTTTAATCACTATGTTAAATAAAATTTTCACAGTTGTTGATATCTTAATGAAATATCTTTTGGACCTATTAGTGAGTATCTAAAATTTCCATAGGCGTGCACACGGGACCCTACTACCCCTAAAAAATTTCCAGTGTATTTTAGGAACACCCTGTATTACTTATTAATATAATAATTTTCATTTATCAAAAACTGTGAGTTATTTTTGAAAATGTGACAGTTGTGATGTATAAAAGTTCTCTCTCTGTTGTTAGATCTAATTTTTTAAGAGCAATAAAATAAATAAAGGAAGAAGTTCTAGAAAAAAAAAATGTTTATAGAAAGAAAATGTGACCACTGATTTTGTCATTTGTTTCAAAAGGTACAAAAAAAATCAGATGTAAGTCCTTTTTTGAAAAAATACTAGTAACAGTAATATTTTTTATCCCAAAAAACAATCATGACATACACAAATATGATCTCAAAACTATAAAACTTACCAACTCCTATAGCTCATATATCATTAATTTCTCGTAGTCCAAACTGCGATTGAAATCAGAATATCTGCGATTTGGAGTCATTACTAGGAGAGTCTCCTACACAGACAATTCTACCCGGTGGAAAACCCCCGTTCGTCTTCCCAAGATTATCTTTATACATTTATCATAGTTTCTTGTTATTAGACTAATGTTTATTAAATAATTAAACTTGGATAAATTTATATAAAATATCTAACAATCTATTTTTTTTTTGTTTCAGTGACAAAAGACAAAGAAAAACTCCAGAACATCAATGAAGCTGTAAAAGTATTTGAAGATTTCTTACGCGACTTCGAAATTAACAATATGTCGAAAGAAAACAGAGCCTACTTACCTCTGGCTTCAATAGAAGCCTTACTACCTCTAAAAGATAAATTTAAATTAAGTGACAAACAAATGGATGCATTTTTCGAAGCCTATAAGAAGAAAGCTAAAGGAGAATACAAACATCTTAGAACAATTTTGAGCGGGGATGAAAAACCGTCTTGGGATATCGTAAGAAATGCAGAACTTAAAAAACTTTTGAAGGCAATGGAAGAATCTCGTCCCGATTTGTGGAAAGACGATTTACCCACAAAAGAGCATTTAGAACTTATACTTTGGGCTTACAGCCCTGATGCCAGTAAAATTAAGAAAAACGTCGATGTTTATGCGGAAAAACTAGGAACTAAAAAAGCAGACGACAGCGATGAAGATATGGAAGATGATGATGACGATGATGATGATGAAGAAGAAGAAGAAAAAGAAGAGAAAAAATCTGATAAGTCAAACAAAAGAAAATCTGAAGATAAGAAGGATTCTGAAGAATCTCCGGGGAAAAAACAAAAGAAAGATGATTAATAAATTCCACAAATTCACGTTGTCATTTTTGAAAACTACTTTTATATTGTCATTAAAAATGTTTCTATGTTAATTTATTTTTTTTACATCAAAACAAATATGCTGACCTCTTAATAAAATCTACTTGTTCAACGTTTTTCTAAAAGTACATAATAATGCTAAAAACAAATTTATTCCATACATATGAACGACACTGTATAAGAAATTTCAATAGAAATAAAAATTAATTATTCAGAAAGATTAAGATAATATAACAAAAGACTTACCATTTGAAGTAGCTTTTTTCTCCTAAAACAACAAGAAAGAAATGTAAGAAAAGTGAACCAACAAGTGAAAAAACAGATTTTTAGAAAAAAAAAAGACAAATTTAAATCAAATTACCATTTGAACTCGCTCAATCTTCCTTCACTTTCTATCCCATTTGTTGTTCCAGTATAATTTCTTTCAGCTTCTCCATAATATCCATTATTTCCAGTAGATTTTCCCGATTAAAACGCGTCCGGAAGAATCTTCTATTTCCGACGACATTTATAATCATCGTTTCATGTTCATTTCTATATCAACCCTTTGACACGTAGATGTATCTCTGGGAAGTTATATCTGCAGCCTTGTCTATTTGATCCTGGAAAGTACATCCGAGGATATACATTCTAAGAACAAACATCTTTATTGTCAGAAATGAAATGAACATGAGCTCAGACAATTATATATATCGTGTTACCGATTGACTCGAAAAATTTGCGACGATTTAAATTGGTTTTTACGGAATTCGCTGAAAAAAAAAACAACAATTAATAGGAAATTTTTAAAATGTCAAAAGAGGAAGATATTAATTTACAAAATTATTGTTATATTGTACTATTGTCAGCAGTGTAGCGACAAATTAACATGGGGCCTCTACCACAGATTACCCACAACAGATGTTAAAGTTGACAAAGAACATTAAAATAAAGAGAGAGATAGATGGCGTTACTAATGCGCTATATTAATTTCTAACCAAACTTTTAACAGACACATCTTTAAATTTGGCATACGTTTTTACTGTTTTTAATTTTTTATTAACAAGGGAGGATTTACTTCTTACTTAAAAAAAAATTGGTGGTTTCTGCCGGGCTCCAGAAAGTTGGATTTCTAAATATGAATTTTTTTATGACTATTCGTCTCTTAAATGTACGTAAAATCAAAAGTTATTTAGACTGGTTGTCACAAAATTTAATGAATTTATTCACAAATATAAAACCATTTTTATCTTAAAGAAATTAATGAATTAATTCTGTGAATCTCTTCATAAATATACTTTTTAAACCATTACATTATATTATAACTTGTTTGTTATACAATTTTGAAAATATTAATGCCACTCGTTTGCCATTTCTTTTGAAACCTTGTATATCTATTATTTAAAAAAAAACATTTTTTTTATTTCACTATTGTTTGAAAATTAAACTACCATCGACAACTTTTCAAACATCACAAGTGCTACTCAATAAACAATGAATTACTTAAACCAACCCTGACATCCAAGACGCATGTTTAGAAGAGTCTTATTTAGTAAGAAAGTTTTCAGAAAATGAAAAAACTTTTTGAACTAGAACCAGGACTAAGCTAGTTTCAGAAATAAACTATTATAAACAAGTATTAGAAATAAAAAATTTAAAAAAACCGACTTCAAAAACGTACAGATGCCATCACCACATCTTAACCAAATATATATGGGACCACCCCTGAGGTACCCCCTTACTAACAAAAAAAGAATCATATAAATCGGACAAGGTGGTAAAGCATTATCACTAAACATACATAAAAAATGAAGAGTTTGAGGATTTTCTCATGGACCCAATTATTAGATTTTGACCAAATTTATATGGGACCACCCTTGAAGTACCCCCTTTCTAACAAAATAAGAATCATATAAATCGGACAAGGTGGTAAAGCATTATCGCTAAACATACATAAAAAATGAAGAGTTTGAAGATTTTCTCATGGACCCAATTATTAGATTTTGACCAAATTTATATGGGACCACCCCTGAAGTACCCCCTTTCTAACAAAAAAAGAATCATTGAAATCGGACACCGTGTTAAAGCATTATCGCTAAACATACATAAAAAATGAAGAGTTTGAGGATTTTCTCATGGACCCAATCATTAGATTTTGACCAAATTTATATGGGACCACCCCTGAAGTACCCCCTTTCTAACAAAAGAAGAATCATTGAAATCGGACACCGTGTTAAAGAATTATCGCTGAACATACATAAAAAAAAAATATTGCGACGAATTGAGAACCTCCTCCTTTTTTGAAGTCGGTTAATAAGGATGTTTAAGAAAATTATGTTCTTTCTACTACATTTTTAATAGCATTTTTGTCAAAAGCGTGGCATTTTCGTACTGTGGAGTTGCGCGTACAAGAAAGTCGCAAAGCGTGGCAAATACGCCAAAAGCGTGACGTCTGGCAACCCTAGTTACTAGGTATAATGGTTAATGTACTGTTAATTTTAACGAACTGAGGATATCAAGTCAGATATGGGAATTGTTGAAGACGTATATTTGTAAAATGCTTGTAGGCAAGATACCCTTTCTACACTCACTGACTCAAATGTATGAAGTATGAAGAAATTAGTTTTTAAAACCTCTGTACACTTTTCTGCTTAACAATTATAATCAATAAAATATTATTATGAATTTAAAAATGGTATAACACTGATTACATCAATCAAAGTTTAGGGAAAAACTCATAATAGGTACGAGTACCTGATATATGTAGGTATTTATTACGGCTAAACCTAGGTATATCAATATTTTAATAATATAATGAATAAATTTTACATATATTCGCGTTTTACATATATAATATATCTTACCATGAATATTAAAAAACTGATTTTACATTTCACATGTTTTTAAAACACCAAAGATTAATTAGGCATTCAAAACAAAACAAAATGGCTGTCGTGAGAAGAGTTGGTATATCTAAGAGTATTGCGACTACGGTACATTCTAGCTACGCACGTGAAATTATGAATAATGGATTAATTTTATGTCAAACACAATGAAAACATTTTTAAAAACCGCTTATACATTCTTCGTAAACCGGAAGGCTTGGCGACTACTATTTCGATTTAAAAAGCGATCAAGATAAAAGGCTATGTCGCAACCCCCTTAGATATACGAACCCTTCTCACCGGCAACTATAACTATTGTTTGACAGGTAGTTGGAAGTTGGAATGTCCAGTCGTTGAAAAAAAACTGATAGAAGGCAAAATGTTTATACAGGATGTCGCTTATTTTTAGGAATATTAAACTATTTTATTTGTATTTATTTTAATGACTTCTATATCCACACAGTTAAAAAATATCAAAAATATATCAATATATATTATATATACTATATTTTTTCTACGATCAACTAAAAATTACAAAAATTTTCTGCATATTTGTTTTTTTTAAGAGGCGTATATATAATATGGTATGTTTCGGTTCTCAAGTGCAGAGAACTTTCTCGGGGGGCAGAGGTAACAGCCTCCGTGTCCGCCCTCTTGAGACGCTCATGTATACACGCAGAAACGAAATGTTTAAAAGTCTTATCTTATTTTAGGTTATATGATGTTGAGTTTTGAGGTTATGTATTTGTTTTGTTAAGAAAAGACATGTTAAAAACTTTTTACATTCTGATTTTTGTATTATTGTTAATCGTTAAAATACACTCTGAAGAACCTTTCAACCCTCAAAGCCCGCTAATTAAATGTAGTTTCCTTTCATTTGAATTTATAGAATGTCAAGATCCAGTAGATCATAAAGGGAACAAAACAGCCAAGGAAGAATTAAAACATGGGTGTTTAAAATTTGGTGGAATAAAATATCATGATGTGGAAAGGACTAAAGTTGTATGCAACGCCTTGCCGAACATAGAATGTTATGGAAATCGAACATTTCTCAGAGATGGTGTTCCCTGTATTAAATATTCTAACCAATATTTCACAACAACTTTATTGTACAGTATATTATTGGGATTTTTAGGAATGGATAGGTTTTGTTTGGGACAAACTGGAACTGCTGTTGGAAAGCTGCTTACCCTAGGAGGATTAGGAATATGGTGGATTGTAGACATAGTTTTACTAGTGATTAATTACTTGGTTCCAGAAGACGATTCTAGTTGGAATCCCTACGTTTAATTATTTTAGACGTTTTTTAGTTTAAAATGTGATTATCTATGGACTGATTTTTGAGAAATTGTATCTATATATGTAATAAAAATATTTATAATGAATAAGTTAACTTCTATACAAAGTTTTTGTTGTAGAAATACAACAAAGCTATTATTCAGCTCTATTTTGCATCCAATAGGAATAGGCAAGTATATTTGGTAATTTAAATAAAGAATAAAACACATTTGGAGTCGATGACAAAATATATGGATAACTTGCCACATGTTTGTTATTTAAGTATAATAAACAAGTCTTTTGAAAATAGTAAGTTCCCTTCTCAATTAAAGACGGCAGTAATCATACCTATTCACAAAGGGAGAAATAATGGTGATACTACCTTACTTTTCAAAACTGTAGAAAAATTTGTTGAGAAACGTGTACCCTTTGAAAAAAGAACCATTATGGAATAACAAGTGTTACTCTAGATTAGATCAGTAAAAGTGATCAATAACCCTATAGATTGATCGTATCCTAGGGGTGTTTTATGCCTGACATTGTTGTAATACCTACAAAAATGATAATACACTTGCCAATAAATAGATAGCATTTTTTACATTAATTGCAGAAGACCCTACTTGAAACATTGCATGAAGTATCTATATCCCTTAAAATCGGTGTACAAGCCAATTAAATTAGTTTAGTGATAAAATAAAATGAATTCAAGAGGACCTTAGGTCAAGTACACCAAAATACTTTTGGTGTATTTTTATTTATTATTCCAATCAGTAAGCAAAATTAAATAAATACACAAATTAACTGAAAAAGATTTTATTTAAAGCAACATTCAGTTAAATGATGCTAGTTAAAGAATACAAATTAAGAATTTGGAGCAGAATTTGAGTTTGGTCCTCGTCTTCGTCCAAAAGAAGCTACTACATTGACAAACCTTCTGTTGTATTGAATACGCCTCTTGGCTCTGCCAGTCTTCTTCTTTTTCTTCTCTTGCTTTTCTACTTTTGGGGTCTGTCCTTTAACTTTTCCTAAAAAAGAAAAATATGTAAGAAAAAATGATTATGCAAGGTTGTTAAAATTGATTAAAATATCAGAAATCTGTTTAATTAAAACAAAAAGTCCCACATTGTTTTGTGAATTAGGAATCATGTAATATAATAAAAGACATTGATAGTGGGTAGCTGGTCAAGTAACAACTTTATATAAATAGAAAAAATGAATAGGGCACTTATTGTTTAATTATTAAAATAGCTTACCAGCACGGGCCAATGAACCATGTACTTTACCACCAAGTAAACCTACAGTCAATTCAATGTCTACATTTTCAAAATCGGCTACCAATCTTTCATCAGTCACTGGAACTCCTGATGAATATAGGCTAATTTCAGTAGCTTGTAAAGCTTCCAGTGAGGCAATACGGGTCTAAAATATGATTATGAAAAAATATATTTACTTGTAAACAATATTAAATGTACCTTAATATCTCCAATAGTCTCAGATCCTTCACACTCAAGGAAATGAGTAGAAGTTCCTCTTAAACACAACTGCATGTTCAATATCGTTTATCTAAAAAAGGATGTAACTTGATTATTTATTAAATTCTAACTTCTAAATCAATATTATTATATTACAGTAAAGGAATTTTAATAAATATCGGGTAAATTATTTGTTTAATATTAAAGAAATACCAAATTTTCTTAAAACTCACCTAGCACTTCTAGAAAACCTGATAAAAAGATTTATTTTTTGCACTTTGCGCATATTTTAAAGACACGGAAACGGATATGACAAATGACAGAATCAGTCTTATTCTTTCAACATTAGGGTCTCGGCAGAAACGGTATATGTATAATATTTTTATTGTTCATACAAAACCTTCGCTGTTGTGTCAAAAGACAAGAGAATGAGAAAGAAGAAGAATCTAAAAACCTAACCTTCCTTCAATTTGATGGAAATAAATAGATCAAATTTAAAAATGAAAATTGTAAAAAATGGCTGTAAATGCTGTAATGTACTTCCTTATTATACTTAGCGTTATATTATTCTTCCAGGGATTTTTTCCAGTATCTCATCCCAATTTAAATATCGATAATGAGCCTCCTAGTGAAATACAGAACATACATTTGAATAAAAATGATCTTTATGGATCCAATATCACTAAAACTGTTCTTATAGTGGTTGATGCTCTGCGCTTGGATTTTGCTACACCTAATTACATGCCTTTAACATCACAGTTAGCCCTTGAAAGTGGTTGTTTCAATAAAATTAAAGTAGAAACCCCCACAGTGACTTTACCACGAATTAAAGCTCTAACAGCTGGTAATATACCCCAATTCATAGACTTGGTTTTAAATTTAGCAAGTACAGAAATCCTGAGTGACAGTATTATTCACTCAGCTGTTAGAGATAAAAAGAAAGTCATTTTTTATGGTGATGAAACATGGCTTAAACTGTTTCCAAATAAATTCTTGAGATTTGAGGGGACTAATTCATTTTTTGTAAGAGATTTTGAAGTTGATAAAAATGTTACAAGAAATGTTCATGTAGAACTGAACAACGATGATTGGGATATAATGATTCTTCACTATTTAGGTAAAATTTCTAGTATAGATAAAAGTATATCAATTAAAAAAATTTATTGTAGATTTAGATCACATTGGACATGTTTATGGACCTTTTTCGTCACTAATACCTAGGAAATTGGATGAAATTGATAAAAGAATCTATAATTCTTATAAAACCATTTCTTTAAAATATCAAAATGCTCTTTTCCTTGTTACTGGAGATCATGGAATGAAAGATAGTGGTGGACATGGAGGTTCAACATATTCAGAGACAAATGTGCCTCTTTTAATACTTGGGTTGAAATGTAAAAACAATTCTTTTCCTCAAACTGATATACCAGTAAATTTAGCAGTATTATTAGGATTGAGAATACCATCAATTTCAATTGGAAGAGTACAAAAAAGTATGATACCATATTCTTTAGAAAAGTATCTGTATATCCTGTATTATAATTCATTTCTATTAAGTCAAAGACATTCTTGTAACAATTCATTAATGGAAGCAAATGGTTATTATATCGACTATCTAAGAAATTCAAATGAAAGTAGTGCTTATAAAGCTGTAGAATTGTATGAAAACTGTTTAAAAGAAATGACAAATATTTTATCTAAAAGCTCAATTAAACAAAATTTTCATTATTTATTGATATCCTCAATGGTAATGTTAAATTGCTTGATTACATTGTGTTTAGAACTAAAGTCAAATGAAAGTAAAGCTGTGATTTTTAAGTATGTGATGGTGCTTTTTGTTGCTGTTCAGTATATGGTAGATCAAGTATTAATTTCTTTTCTAACAACTATTGTATTACTGCCAGTCCTTTTAAAGAATATTTATGCATTAATTAAGTCACTGAATTTGTCAATATTTTCAAATATTTTGAATTATTTTGTATTTGGTTGTGTAGTACACCCATTGACTTTTTTATCTTCGAGTTATGTGGAAGAAGAGCATCTGTTTTGGTATTTTTTAAACATATCAATCCTATTTTTCCTACTTTCAAAAACCAAAAAAGCTGTAGAAATGTTTTTCTACATTATGTTTTTGGTAAGCTTCAGATTTATTCGAATAATGAATTCAACAGGTGATAAATGGGCAAATTATCCAGATTTATCTGATTGGTTTTTACAAAATGAAAATATTGTTTATTATCAACTTTTCTTTATTTCAAGCTTAATCCTAGTCTTTCTAACACATTGTTATTTAACAAGATTTAAAAATCCATTTCAAATCTTTTTATACTTTTTCATTTTGATTTTAATTTTTGTATTTAAACAGAACGAGACCAGTACATTGTTGGCAAAGTTCATCTGGTTACTTATTTTTGTAAATTTTATTTCGGCAAAATTTTCAAATATATCTACATGGATACTAGTTCTTTCCTTGCTTCTAAAACCATTTAATTTAATTTTAATTCCTTATTGTATATTCTCAAGTTTGCATTTTTCCAAATATTTCAAAAAGACTGAACTTTTAGTTTTATATCACACATTTTTGAGTAATATGTTATTTTTTGCACAGGGTCACAGTAATAGTTTGGCAAGTGTTGATATATCTGTGGGATACATAGGTTTAACTTCTTATCAACCAGTACTTGTTATTGGACAAGTGTTGTGTCATACACAAGCATTCCCAGTACTCTGCCATTTATTAATATTTCATCATGGAATTACCGATGGAGTGAAAGTATGGAAAATATTGTTTTCCAATAGATTGTATATTTTTATAATTATTTCCATTATAACTTTCTTGTTTAGACACCATTTATTTATTTGGTCAGTTTTTGCACCAAAATTATTTATCGAGTTTGTACAAATGTTATTTTTATATTTAGAATATTGTTTATATCAAATTCAAAAACTTGTACAGATTTTATCAAAAGACCTACAAAAATATGTCATACATAAAATATTATTTAATAAAGATTTAGGGATTCAATGTTTGGTATCAAAAATAAACGATACTTGAAAAAAATGTGTTTTATTTAAGTAGTAGAGTGGCCCTAGACTAAATCTCGCCCTTAAGTGGTACATGTAAATACAAATGTGCAAATAAAGTCATATATATATATAAAAATGAATCCCTATTTATTTCCTTTGGTCACGGCATCAGGCGTGAACGGCTGGACCGATTTCGCTAATTCTTTCTTTGTTGTGTTTGTTATTGTCAGGAGAAGGTTTTTATGAAAGAAAAAATTAAGAAAATTACGTGGAAAATTAGAAAATTTTTATATATATAAAAATGAATCCCTATTTCCCTTGGTCACGACATCACGCGTGAACGTCTGGACCGATTTCGCTAATTCTTTCTTTGTTGTGTTTGTTATGAGGGTTTTATGAAAGAAAAAATTAAGAAAATTGCGTGGAAAATTTCTATATATATAAAAATCTGATGTGTCCAACACATGACTTTCCTATCTAGTTATTATAGGCTTTTCCGGTTATTTTGTACAACCTATTGCAGCATCTCTATAAATGTTTAGAGGATAAACTAAATATATACATTGTCCACATACATCTACCTCGAAACATTTTTCTAAAGATATTCATGGAAAACGAAAATACTGAAAAATTTAAATTTCCTACAATTTTTTCATTACGGTCCATTTTAGAAAAATCATTTATAAACAAAAATTATAGAGATCGATATCGCAAACAACTTTTATTTCAAAAACTTTCATAAAAATCAGAATTTTGCACATTTTGTCAAATTTCTCGAATACGGACCATTTCAGGAAATTTTTACATAAAACAAAAATTATAGATAATAATATTAGAAGTAACTTTTATTTGAACAATTTTTTTCTCCAAACATTAATAACAGATATATTCCATAAAATATAAAAACGGCCTCCCATAAAGTACCCCCCCAGATGTTCCGACTTTGTCCAAAATCTAATCATTTCACGTCAGGCCGAAATAATCCTTAAGTTTAAAATTTAATGTTTTTTTCTTTATCCGTTTTTGAGTTTTCTTCAAAATTCGAAATTTACACATTTTCTCAAATATCTCGAATACGGTCCATTTTAGAGAAATTATGTATAGAATAAAAATTATAGAGAATTATATTACAAACAACTTTTATTTGAACAATTTTTATAAAAAATTATTTTTTTTTACATTTTGTCAAATTTCTCGAATACGGACCATTTTAGGAAAATTTTGCATAAAACAAAAATTATAGATAATTATATTAGAAGTAACTTTTATTTGAAGAATTTTCTTCTCCAAACGTAAATAACAGATATATTCCATAAAATATAAAAATGACCACCTATAAAGTACCCCCCCAGATGTTCCGACTCTGCCCAAAATCTAATCAGCTCATTGGACGTTGAAACAAAGCTTAAGTTTAAAATTTGGTGTTTTTCTATGTATCGGTTCATGAGTTATGCGTTATACAGACACACACAGACATCATCGCGAAAATAGTCAAAACGGATTCAGGGGACCTCGAAACGTAAAAATCCGTCGAAAACTCGAGGTCGAAAAAAATCATGATTCCTATACTTTCCTTATATCTGTATACAGATAGGAAAGTAAAAATGAATCCCTATTTCCCTTGGTCACGGTATCACGCGTGAACGGCTGGACCAATTGCGCTAATTCTTTTTTTGTTGTGTTTATTATTGTCAGGAGAAGGTTTTTATGAAAGAAAAAATTAAGAAAATTGCGTGGAACATTTCTATATATATATATAAAAATGAATCCCTATTTCCCTTGGTCATGGCATCACGCATGAACGGCTGTACCGATTTCGCTAATTCTTTTTTTGTTATGTTTGTTATTATCAGGAGAAGGTTCTTATGAAAGAAACAATTAAGAAAATTGCGTGGAAAATTAGAAAATTTCTATATTTGTTGAGTTTGTTATTGTCCAGAAAAAGAACAGAGAATGTTGTATATCATAAAGCATTAGAATAATAAACACTTTGTTTCTGAAATATTTTTTTAGTTAATTATAGGAATTCTAAATCAATATTCATAGTCTGTCAGGTCCGCTAGTGATAAATAAATTTTCATTTATTAAACAATGTTAAGTATGAAAAGCTAGTGAAATTTAATAGAAAGTAAATGAAATAACTTGAACTAGATGTGGAAAAAGATTTATTATTATAAATTCTTAATATTACAATGCTTTTCAACATTTTAATCTTCTGGTTTATCAGGTGGTGGTCCGCATGGCTGTAGCATTTTTTCCATCAAGTTAAACTTAACTCTAGCTTTGGCTTCGTTTTCGCATATTCCAATATAGTTTATCAAATCGGGATGGCCCAAATAACTAGAGAAACTGTCTCTGTGCTGATTTACCAACCATTCATATTTTGTAGTGTCTGCATGACCTGTTCCAATATATTTTGATTGAAGATGTTCTAATTGACTGTGAATATTATAACGATCGCCCATAGTATTACAATTATCGTTAAAATAAACTTACAATTTGCACCAATTTCTAATTTGAGTAGTTTTTGTTTGACAACATGACAAAGTTATAGGTTACTTTTCTTCTTCATTATTTTTGTACTGCGTTTACCAGTCGAAGATAGTACGGACATTTGGTCACCGATTAGTTGTTAAAAACAGAATACAAGTTTAGCTGAATAACCCACAAAAAATATGAAAATCATGGAATAGATTTGTCTGATGACAAGAGGCCAAATATTGAAGAACTAGAAGTGAATGACTTATGACAGTGACACTGATCAGAATGTTTATTTCTTGTTTATGTTGATATTATTGAATAATTTTGAAATTTTGTCCATATTCTTTTAGTTAAGTGGAACTTAAGTGTACATATTTTAAAATTTAAATATTCATGTTAACATTTTCTTAGATTACTTTTGCGCTCCCTAAGTGCAAGTTTCCGTTTTTACTAAAAATATAATGACATGTTTGATGATGGATTACGAATTCAAAATGAAAACTCAAACTGAGAGAGTGAAGGTTGAGGATCTGTTTGATTATGAAGGTTGTAAAGTTGGTCGAGGCACGTATGGCCATGTATATAAAGGGAGGCGAAAAGACGGATCAGAAAACAAAGATTATGCCTTAAAACAAATTGAAGGGACTGGGTTATCAATGTCTGCATGCAGAGAAATAGCAGTAAGTTTTTAAATTTTACTCAAAAAGATTCATTTCCTTAATCTATTTTATTCCAGTTATTGAGAGAATTGAAACATTCCAATGTGATAAATCTAATTCGAGTTTTTCTGTCTCATAATGATAGAAAAGTTTGGCTTCTCTTTGATTTTGCTGAACATGATTTGTGGCATATAATAAAATTTCATAGAGCTGCTAAAGCTAACAAAAAACCTGTTATGGTACCAAAAGGTATGGTAAAATCATTGCTATATCAAATTCTTGATGGAATTCACTATCTCCATTCTAATTGGGTATTACACAGAGACTTAAAGCCTGCAAATATACTTGTAATGGGTGAAGGGCCAGAAAGAGGTAGGGTCAAAATTGCTGATATGGGATTTGCTAGACTGTTTAATGCTCCTCTTAAACCTTTGGCTGATTTGGATCCTGTGGTGGTTACTTTTTGGTATCGTGCTCCAGAACTTTTGCTTGGAGCTAGACATTATACAAAAGCTATAGGTAAGACCAACTGATAATAACTGGCATTAAGAATGCAAATATACTTAGTTAATGTAATTTTGAAAGAATTCTGTGAGGTTTAGAACCTTATGTTAATTCTGAATTATAACCATAAAAAATCTTGTAACAAAATGCCTATACTCTCTCATAATAATTTGACAACTATGTATGAACAAAATTAGTCTAATTTAGTAGAACATTGATAATTTGGATTAATTGTGTCTGGATTTTTGAAAAGACCCAAAAAACATTGACATATTATCAACAGGTTTGTTGAATTGTAGATATATGGGCCATTGGATGCATTTTTGCTGAATTACTTACATCTGAGCCAATATTTCACTGTCGTCAAGAAGATATTAAAACAAGTAATCCTTATCATCATGACCAGCTAGACAGGATATTTAATGTCATGGGATTTCCACATGAAAAAGACTGGGAAGATATTAAAAAGATGCCTGAACATCCCACTTTATTAAAAGATTTTAAAAAAGCAAAGTATGTTATTATTTTTTGCATAATTTAACAAAAAGTTACACTATGTTGTTATTTTTAGTTATGTGAACTGTTCCTTAATTAAATATATGGATAGACATAAGATAAAACCAGATAGCAAAGCTTTTCATTTATTACAAAAATTATTACTGATGGATCCTAATAAAAGAATTACATCAGAACAAGCAATGCAAGACCCTTATTTTGCAGAAGATCCCTTACCAACACAAGATGTTTTTGCAGGTAGAATGTGGATGAAATATTAAAATAAAAATATTTCAATTTCATGTAGCAGATTTTATTAATCTTCTAAATTACAGGTTGCCCCATACCGTACCCAAAAAGAGAATTTTTGACTGATGATGATCAAGAAGAAAAATCAGATACCAAGCGCCAGAACCAACAACAACAACAGCAGCAACAACAACAAGCAACACAGCAACAGCAAACTTCTCAACAACAATCTAATCAGCAAGATAGCCATAACTCTGCTAAAAGAGTTCGATTATCTGGGCCCCAAGGACATCCTGGACAAGTGAGTCAACAGGTAAATATAATAATGTTTATTTTTACTTATGCAATTTGGGAAAGTTTTCTTTTTAACTAGCTAAATTTAAAAAATATAGGGTATGCAAGAAGATTCATTATTTGTGGCCTAAAAATAATTTCAAATTTTATTTAATATTTAATTATATAATATCTTTTTCAGCAAATGCCAATGTCTCAACAGCAAGAATTTCATCAGCAACAAATGATGTATAACAATGGATCACAGCAGCAACAACAGCAAAATTTTCAACAGAGATTTTGACTCGCAAAATGTTTATTATAGATACTAGGTTTTATTTTTTAATAAGTTGTAAAATTAAAATAAAATTATTTAAGAATATTTTTGAGTCTTTTTGAAATTTTCAAGCAGAATATGCAAATATTTGTAATTCCAAAAGAAATAATGAAAATTTTAGTGATAATAATGATTTCTTCAATATGGTTGGAAATTAAGAATGAAGTAAATCCATTGAAATATAAAAAGTATTATTTACTGAAGGTCGACTGATAAATATACCTAAATTATTCTTTTTTAACTGTATATAGAATAAAACATTGTAAATAACTTTCTGTATTTTAAAATGTGGCCCTCAAGCCACCCTACAAATTTTGTTAATACATTTTTTAAATATCTCTTACAACAAGGATGATTTCGAACTTTTCCTCAAGATTGGTATACCCTGTATAAAGGTATCAAATTTAGTCACTTGGATCTTTTAAAGTAGTAAAGAAATATTGAAAATATTTTTTATTTATTAGGCAAGTAACTTTTAAAAATATACACAGGTAAGTAATTACCTATTAGAAATGAGAACTGAACAAAATCAAATTAATTATATTTATTTACAACAAAAAAAAGTAGTAACGGCTCCTGTCCTGAGTACTTGGTGAGGGTGCAGAGGCGGCTCTGTACCAAAAATTCCGCAAATAAAGCTATTAATCATACTGCTTCAGTTACGAAGCAAAACACCAAAGTACACTTCCCTTTGACATGATTACTTGTTTCTCACGGGCCGCCACTGCTTTTTGTCGACTACTTTCTATTTTTGAACCGCGTTTGCAATTTTTTTAAGAACTAGTGGGACTGCGCGATGTCTGAAAAGAAAGTCAAAATATCTTCAATAGTGAATTCCAAGCTTATCATTGATCCAGGATAACATTGATGTATTAAATCTTCTAAAGTCTTGTACTGTCTAATAAATTCTTCCTGCATCGCTCTCCATACTACTTGCAATAAATTTTCTTCTTCTGATAAATGTTTTTCAACTTTTTTATAAAGCGACTCTAATCCCTTCTTGACCTAAAATTGAATAAGCATGGATAACATTTAGAAATATGTACTGTAGAGTACAGAGACTTGATTTTCCTTGTGTTTATTTTTAGTTATACTTTTATTTTACTCTTTAAATATTTTTTTATCAATAAAATTGTTATTATTATTATTTAATAAGTACCTGGGATCCTGGATATTGATTAATAACTTTTCGAAGCTCTTGCTTGCTAAAAGCTAACTGATAACTCACTTCGGATGCTTTTATTCCACTAGCAACTCTAGCCTGAACGCCATCAAAGAAAGTCTGTAAGCAAAAAAAATATATTGCAAGACGGCGATGTATGTTTATGAATATTTTTCTGTCTGGAATGACACGATCAGGATACCTTGATAGAGTCGCCGGGCCCCCGCAATTTACCATAAAGGAAATGCATTTATCATCTCCAAATTAGAATAATAATTATTTAGCATTATTAATGCGACGTCATTTCTTCTAAACAAAGCAAAGTAAACAGGGCTGTAAATCGTGTCATAGATAAAACTTCCAAGCTAAATCACTGTAATTCAGCAATTTGAAGTTAGATATAGAGTGAAAAGATGCCGAATCTATTCAGAAAAATGGTTTTGGATAACAATTTTCTCATTTGTTGCCTGCATGTGTAATGTTTAACATCCCTATATTTTTAATAACGAAACAATCGACAAAAGAACATATTTTATGTAATAAGAATAAAATTATTTTTAAAAACTCATGATAAACTTACATTCAATTTTTCGAGGGGCCTTCCAAAATACAAAGTTACATACGCATTGAGAGCATCATTATATTTCTGTTTGGCCTCTTTTCGTTGGCTATCCAAACTAGAAATTTTCAATTGCGATAACAGCGAATACAAGTGATGGTAATTTTCTAAAATTAAAAAAGATACAAACGTTATGACGAATTTTTGTTTAAATTTAAAAATTCATACCCATTTTAATAACCTGCGAAGGGGTTTTGTTATCATTAGCGTGTATAGAAATATATTCCAGCATAGTGTCCACTAAGCGAGTGTACCATTTTTCGAGATCAGCTCCGCGGTCACTTTTTAACAAACAATTGGCATTTTTGGCGAAAACTTCCAAGTTTGAAATGTACGAAAGTATGCCACATTTTGATTTTTTCGATACTCTGCATTCTTTAATGGATTCGATTTGTTGCTGCATGAATTGATCTAAAGATCGTTTGACTTCTATAAGTAACGATCCGAATGTGTTACTTAAAAACGAACTTTGAGCCGACATGACATGTTGATTTAAGCGAACCAAAACGTACATGCAATAACTAGAACAAAAAATCCCGATTACAATAAAAAATATACAAAAATCAATTGAGTGTATTTTAAAAACAAACAAAGGCCAACACTTAAGTCAGTCAAATGATATATAATATAATCTAACGGAGAGAAACTAAAGAAGAAGAGGAAATAAAATCGTAAAAATTGCTATAAAAAGGCCGTTACCGAAAAAGAAAATATTTAGGATTTAAAAACAGCAATTACTGCAAACACCACTGTATACTTACAAATTATCCTGTTTTTTAATGTGATTAATTAACATGTCTAGTTCTGGTTTGAGACAGGTAAACAAACTACTCATCATGTTTCTAATATCCTCTTCTATCTGCTTTTCCATTTTTCTTGCGGCAGCAGCATCGGTTTCGATTTGGCCTACATTATTTATAACGTCCAGCTAAAAATATACATTATATATTGCATTAGAGTGTGGAAAGTGATATTTTTTATAAGAGTGAGAAATATTATCGCATGAATCATAACCCGAGTGCGACAATCTCACCAGTGTGAAAAATCACTTTTACAAGAGTACAGTAGTTCCATAAAAAACATGTAAAATCAGTAAATCTAGCTATAAAGGTTCAATCAAAATGTGAATGGTTTTAGATTTGTTTTTAATATGCCTTATTGAATAATTTTTATAAAGTGTTTTACAGAGGGTGTGACGAAGTCACTATTTTTTTATTTTAATTTAATTTATAAATTGTTTATAAGTTATTTTCCAGTTGGAAAGATTTGCGAGAACCCCCGTAATTGTTGTTTCTCTAGAGTTTTTTAACATTTGCAAGAGCCCCCGTAGTTTAGAATATATCATTATTTATCAAAATTCGAATCCGGCTTTAAACATTTCATGTAAATTATCTATATATATTCGGCAGAGCTCGAAGAATGTAATTTGGATTCATAATTATATCTCACCTGAAAAAATTTCAAACAAAACTGCTGTTCTTGCAAAAAAACTGGTTCTAATAGCGTGAGAACTTGCTCCAATACGCTATCGTATCTCTCCCTATCTTTGCTACTCGTTTCGAATGTCCACTGGTCTCTATCTAGCCCTATTATGGTAGTGGGAGATACAACATTTCCATAAACTACAAATGATAAATAATATGACAAACCAAGAAGTAGAAACAGATGTTGATAGTAATACATAAAACTAAGGTTTATTTTAAAATTATTACAATCATTTTGTTTGACTTTATGTAAGAAAACTTTGTGTTAAAGTGAAAGACAAATAAGAGTTCGCAAAAGCAGAAAAATAAACATATATAAATTGAAAAGGATAATATATGTGTTGATATTATAAAAAAAAACTGTAAATTGGATACAAGTAGAAAAAAATATATAGGAATGGAATCAACTTACCCGCAATTTTTTCTCTAGCCACATTAAAAATATTTTTTAAATCTCTATCATATAATTTTCCCATTGAAGAAATGTAAACTTCTTTTAGAGATTCATACATTCGTTTATCCATTACCTAAATGTTTTATTTTATTAATAAAAAAATTAATAATCTGTGAAACAAGAGGGTAATAACCATTAACAACATAGTAAATGTTCAATTTATAACTAAATAAATATTGTATTAATCCAAGCAAACATTTTATGGTAGAAGAAAGTTTCAAAATTAAAGTATATTAAAAAACATTTGGTATAAAAAAATTGGTTGAATCAATATTGTATAAACCGTTGCCGTTATTTAAACAAATTGAAGAAACTGTTGCAATTGAAGCTATGATTCAAGCTGAATCAAATTTTGGTAAAATATTACTAAAAGTTGCATATGCTTTTTCAATTTTTAAACTTGTAAATACCTTTTCCGGAGGTCCATATAAATCTAAATATATTTTTGAAAAATAAATAAATAACCATAGGTTACCTTAATCCAATGAATAAGTTCAGTATACGGATAAAGTTCTTTATGAACTCCACTGTGCTGCGGTAACGATAACCCATCTACACTTTTTTCTGATTCGCCTTTATGATTTCCAAAATGAATAAACAAATTATTCAACTGTCTACAAATATTTCTCGAGAACTTTTCTTTAAGTTTATTGAATTTTTTCTTTTGCTCTTGAACCGACGACATTTGAAGTAAAGATTTATCTATATCAGAATTAATTACTTTCTTTAAAACATTCGCTGCTTCTATTGCTTGCGAAAGACCCGTAGATGTCGTGAAATCAGCATCTTCCAAAATTCGTTGGTGTTCCGGTGAAAGGTCAAGTTTAGTCTAAAATATTGCATTGTACAAGAACATTTTTAGTCATCATTATTGAGATTAAAATCAAGGATCTGGTATAGAATTCTATAATTTAAGTAAAGAGCATAAAAAATAATGTAATTATGTATGTAACAAATGCAAAAGTAAATTATAACAATTGTAAGATTGCAATCTTTTTAGTATTAATCTAGGAATCACATTTAAAAAAATATAAATAAAGCCACGTTTGCAATAAAAAAATTCTTACTGTTAAATTTTCCAACTCTTTCATTAACCACTGGTTATTCATATTTGCGGTAGAAAGCGTCGAATTTTTATATTCCATTTTTTCCATTGTGTCTCTGACATTACAAAGAATATCATCATAATCATTTAATTGTGTTTCTAATCTACCAACTTCATTTAGTGCCAATTCTAAATGTTCCATGAGAGCCTCGACTTGATTCTCAGATGCCAAGACACAATGGATATTTTCACCATCTAGAAGTGACAGATCTCTAGCCAAAACTTCCATGAAAGCTTCTGCGTTACTTATAGCAAATTCACATCCTGACATTAATCTAAAAAAATTATTTACAGATATGTTTTGCTGTAAAAACGATTATAAAGACTTAAAATAAAATTAAAATAATTGTATTTATTTTGGGTAGTCTTGAGTTGTTTTAAAATGACACTGTTAATGTATAAATGTAATTTTAAACTTCATTTAACACAACGGTGGAATCGGTCCTTAGTGTCCTAAAAGTTGAGTTAGATTAAGATGATGCTGTAATAAATATATTAAAAAACCGCAATAAAATTACTGATAAAATTCCTTCAGTTAAAATATATTCTGACCAAATGATTATATAGAGAAACTAGCGGACCCGACAGACTTTGTCCTGTCTTAACTATGAATGTTGATTTCGAATTGGTATAATTAACTAAAAAAATATTTCAGAAACAAAGTATTTATTAGCAAACACAACAAAAAAAGAATAAGCGAAATCGGTCTAGCCGTTCGAGCGTGATGCCGTGACCAAGGGAAATAGGGATTCATTTTTATATATATATATATAGAAATTTTCTAATTTTCCGCGCAATTTTCTTAATTTTTTCTTTCATAGGAACCTTCTCCTGACAATAACAAACACAACAAAAAAGAATTAGCGAAATCGGTCCAGCCGTTCACGCGTGATGCCGTGACCAAAGGAAATAGGGATTCATTTTTATATATATAGAAACTTTCTAATTTTCCGCGCAATTTTCTTAATTTTTTCTTTCAAAAACCTTCGCCTGACAATAACAAATAAAACAAAATAAGAATTAGTGAAATCGGTCCAGCCGTTCACGCGTGTTGCCGTGACCAAGGGAAATAGGGATTCATTTTTATATATATAGAAATTTTCTAATTTTCCAACCAATTTTCTTAATTTTTTCTTTTATAAGAACCTTCTCCTGACAATAACAAACACAACAAAAAAAGAATTAGCGAAATCGGTCCAGCCGTTCACGCGTGATGCCGTGACCAAGGGAAATAGGGATTCATTTTTATATATATAGAAATTTTCTAATTTTCCAAGCAATTTTCTTAATTTTTTCTTTTATAAAAACCTTCTCCTGACAATAACAAACACCACAAAAAAAGAATTAGCGAAATCGGTCCAGCCGTTCACGAGTGATGCCGTGACCAAAGAAAATAGGGATTCATTTTTATATATATAGAAATATATAGAAATTTTCTAATTTTCCGCGAATTTTTTTTAATTTTTTCTTTAATAAGAACCTTCTCCTGATAATAATAAACACAACAAAAAAAGAATTAGCGAAATCGGTCCAGCCGTTCACGCGTGATGCCGTGACCAAGGGAAATAGGAATTCATTTTTATATATATATATATAGAAATTTTCGAATTTTCCGCGCAATTTTCTTAATTTTTTTTATAAGAACCTTCTCCTGACAATAACAAACACAACAAAATAAGAATTAGCGAAATCGGTCCAGCCGTTCACGCGTGATGCCCTGACCAAGGGAAATAGGGATTCATTTTTATATATATAGAAATTTTCTAATTTTTCGCGCAATTTTCTTAATTTTTTCTTTCATAAGAATCTTCTCCTGACAATAACAAACACAACACAAAAAGAATTAGCGAAATCGGTCCAGCCGTTCACGCGTGATGCCGTGACCAAGGGAAATAGGGATTCATTTTTATATATATAGAAATTTTCTAATTTTCCGCGCAATTTTCTTAATTTTTTCTTTCATAAGAACCTTCTCCTGACAATAACAAATACAACAAGATAAGAATTAGCGAAATCGGTCCAGCCGTTCACGCGTGATGCCGTGACCAAGGGAAATAGGAATTCATTTTTATATATATATATAGAAATTTTCGAATTTTCCGCGCAATTTTCTTAATTTTTTTTATAAGAACCTTCTCCTGACAATAACAAACACAACAAAATAAGAATTAGCGAAATCGGTCCAGCCGTTCACGCGTGATGCCCTGACCAAGGGAAATAGGGATTCATTTTTATATATATAGAAATTTTCTAATTTTTCGCGCAATTTTCTTAATTTTTTCTTTCATAAGAATCTTCTCCTGACAATAACAAACACAACACAAAAAGAATTAGCGAAATCGGTCCAGCCGTTCACGCGTGATGCCGTGACCAAGGGAAATAGGGATTCATTTTTATATATATAGAAATTTTCTAATTTTCCGCGCAATTTTCTTAATTTTTTCTTTCATAAGAACCTTCTCCTGACAATAACAAATACAACAAGATAAGAATTAGCGAAATCGGTCCAGCCGTTCACGCGTGATGCCGTGACCAAGGGAAATAGGAATTCATTTTTATATATATATATAGAAATTTTCGAATTTTCCGCGCAATTTTCTTAATTTTTTTTATAAGAACCTTCTCCTGACAATAACAAACACAACAAAATAAGAATTAGCGAAATCGGTCCAGCCGTTCACGCGTGATGCCCTGACCAAGGGAAATAGGGATTCATTTTTATATATATAGAAATTTTCTAATTTTTCGCGCAATTTTCTTAATTTTTTCTTTCATAAGAATCTTCTCCTGACAATAACAAACACAACACAAAAAGAATTAGCGAAATCGGTCCAGCCGTTCACGCGTGATGCCGTGACCAAGGGAAATAGGGATTCATTTTTATATATATAGAAATTTTCTAATTTTCCGCGCAATTTTCTTAATTTTTTCTTTCATAAGAACCTTCTCCTGGCAATAACAAATACAACAAGATAAGAATTAGCGAAATCGGTCCAGCCGTTCACGCGTGATGCCGTGACCAAGGGAAATAGGAATTCATTTTTATATATATATATAGAAATTTTCTAAATTTCCGCGCAATTTTCTTAATTTTTTTTTATAAGAACCTTCTCCTGACAATAACAAACACAACAAAATAAGAATTAGCGAAATCGGTCCAGCCGTTCACGCGTGATGCCCTGACCAAGGGAAATAGGGATTCATTTTTATATATATATAGAAATTTTCTAATTTTCCGCGCAATTTTCTTAATTTTTTCTTTCATAAGAATCTTCTCCTGACAATAACAAACACAACAAAAAAAGAATTAGCGAAATCGGTCCAGCCGTTCACGCGTGATGCCGTGACCAAGGGAAATAGGGATTCATTTCTATATATTATAGAAATGTTCTAATTTTCCACGCAATTTTCTTAATTTTTTCTTTCATAAGAACCTTCTCCTGACAATAACAAACACAACAAAATAAGAATTAGCGAAATCGGTCCAGCCGTTCACGCGTGATGCCCTGACCAAGGGAAATAGGGATTCATTTTTATATATATAGAAATTTTCTAATTTTCCGCGCAATTTTCTTAATTTTTTCTTTCATAAGAATCTTCTCCTGACAATAACAAACACAACAAAAAAAGAATTAGCGAAATCGGTCCAGCCGTTCACGCGTGATGCTGTGACCAAGGGAAATAGGGATTCATTTCTATATATTATAGAAATTTTCTAATTTTCCGCGCAATTTTCTTAATTTTTTCTTTCATAAGAATCTTCTCCTGACAATAACAAACACAACAAAAAAAGAATTAGCGAAATCGGTCCAGCCGTTCACGCGTGATGCCGTGACCAAGGGAAATAGGGATTCATTTCTATATATTATAGAAATTTTCTAATTTTCCGCGCAATTTTCTTAATTTTTTCTTTCATAAGAACCTTCTCCTGACAATAACAAACACAACAAAAAAAGAATTAGCGAAATCGGTCCAGCCGTTCACGCGTGATGCCGTGACCAAAGGAAATAGGGATTCATTTTTATATATATAGAAATTTTCTAATTTTCCGCGAAATTTTCTTAATTTTTTCTTTCATAAGAACCTTCTCCTGATAATAGATAGATAGATAAATTTATTGATCTTTTTGTATCATTTACATGACATAAGACAAGTCACATAGTATACTCATAAGGTACAATAAGTTGATTAATAATAAGCTAAAAAATTATCTTGATAAAAACATTAATAATAAATACAACAAAAACAGAATTAGCGAAATCGTTCCTGCCGTTCACGCGTGATGCCGTGACCAAGGGAAATAGGGATTCATTTTTATATATATAGAAATGTTCTAATTTTCCACGCAATTTTCTTAATTTTTTCTTTCATAAAAACCTTCTCTTGACAATAACAAACACAACAAAAAAAGAATTAGCGAAATCGGTCCAGCCGTTCACGCGTGATGCCGTGACCAAGGGAAATATGGATTCATTTTTATACATATAGATATATGGCAAAAAGAAAAGGGCTGTTTTTAGGGGTTTCCCGGAAATTATTCGAATTTTTCTCGCCGTAAAAACCATCCTTGGACTTCAACGAACATTTAAAAAAAAGAACTGGTAAAATTGGTCCAGGCGTTGTTGAATTATGCACTTACCAACACATTTTGCTATTCATTTTTATATTATAGATTATTACAAAGAATTAAAATTAGACTCCATTATTAGTACAGGTTAATGATACTAAATGTGTAAAATAAACAAATAGTATTCCCAAAATCGTCCGTTAACAGTACATACAAAATAAAAATAATTCAAAAAATTAATCCCAAGTCTTCTAACAATGGTAAACTAGAATATAATTTTACAAAATAATGCTCTGACCTTCTACACAAGTTACAATTCAATATTCCCTTCAAGTCAACCAGAGCAACAAACTTGTTCTACTTACCAATTTATAATACCAACTACACAGAAAACTTATATTTGATCAGATTAATGAAATTGGCCAATATATTTGTTTGTGTCCTCAATTTATAGGGATATATAACTTATTAAGTTGTTAGTTTTAAGTTTGCATATTTTATCTAAAGTGTAAAGATATTGAACACTGCCTGTTAATATTAAATAAATAAATATTCAAGAACCCCAAGTCAAAATATATTATCATACTTAAATAACAAAAATATTAACATAGCTTTCAATACCAATAATACTCTTGGGAAGTATATTAATAATAATAACAATAAGGACAAAATAATAAATCGGGAGTATATAAATGTATTTTCAAAAACCTTTATTCAGAATATTACAATTTATATTAAAAACAAAAATAATTCTACTTTTCCAAATCAAATTTTGGCTGAAAATCATTCTTTTATAGAAAATTTTAAGATTTTACATATAGAGAATGAGAGCATTAAATTGAACCATTTAGAAATACTTGAAATAAATAGATTTAAAAACTCAGATAGTCTATTAAATTATCAATTAAATATTAATAACTAACCTTTATTAAATATCTTTACCTGTTCTTAGTTTTTTGGGATATAATCCCAGTAATTTATTTATTTATCATCAAGCAATTGCCTAATTAAAATCCAAGTTTAATAAAAGGGATAATTTAAAACCTAACCTACACTTAGAGAATGTTGAAACAAAAAAACACACATTACCATAAAATTAATATAAACATAAACAAAAAAAAATTAAATATTACCATAAATATTATCATCGATTACCTCATAAATAGAAAACAGAAAGTAACAATAAAAAACATTATTTTTGATGAAGTGGTCAATGAATATGGTGTACCTCAAGGAAGTGTTTTGGGACCCTTATTGTTTCTAATATATATGTAAATAACATAGGGGACCTTCAAATTGAATGTTTATTGCATTTATTTAATAATTTATTTATTTATTTATGGGTCAGAGCCCATTAAAACAATACAATTACAGATAATACATATTACATACATTAAAAAGTAATAAAATCCTAAATAATAATAAATTAATTTAAATACATAAATATTAAAAACAATTAAAAATAATAATAAATAATAATACCTTATTGGGATTCTATTAATATATTTCTTAAGTACTTTAACTAATTAGTTTACTTTTTATATATATTAGATAGACACCAAAATGTAAATTAGTCACATTTGAAGAAGTTGTACATGAAGAATTATTTTTTAATAAAAAAATGTTTGTAAAAATTTACCAACTTTGGTTTTTCTAATTTAAACAATATAGATTTTCATCAATAATTCTAACCAAGACCAAAAATATTTTCTACAGTTTATAATAATTGAAACATACCTTTTAAGATCCTCTTGTTCCTTTTCGGTATTAACTTGAAAGTCTTCTACCAGCTCATGCTCTAATGGCATCAAGTTCGAATCAAACTTTTCATGAATAGTCAAATCTTTAGTTACCCAAATTTTTGGAATATTTTTGAATACTGGTTGATCATGCACTACATATTTTAAAGAAAATTTCCAAAGGTTCTGAATAAAAACTTGTCGTTCCGATGGAACTAAAGCTACCCATCTATATACTTTATCTAGGTGTAAATCAAATTCTAATTTATCTGAAGATTCTTCATGACCATCGACTGATTTCAGTTCTGCTAAAGCCCAAGTTCTTTTCCTTTTGAATATCTTATCATTCTGTTTTATTTGTGTAATATTTATTGTAGACGGTACACCTATCACACTTACAAGGCATAAAAAGGATAGTTTCTTTTTCTTGAGGTATTTGCTAACCTTACAAGAACTTATTAATATTTCTTCCTTACTGTTAAATGCATTATTTTGTAGATCTCGTATTGTAATAGAAGACATAATTTATTAAATTACTTATTTGTATTTTAAATACATAACAAAATACTTTTATTTTGATTATAAATGTCACTTTAACTCCCCTTAACCTAAAATGTTCTTCTTCTTCCTTTATTGGCCTATAATTGACCTAAAATGTTCTATCAATTCTTCTTTTTTATTTTAATTAATCGTTTTCAGTAAGGCATTCGCTAAAAAATTAAGTTGCTGCAACCATCTATACATAAGAATAGCAAGCAGCTGTAGGCAGGGCCGTCCTTGGATATTTAACGCCAATGGGCTACTAATAATAATCCTCTTCATAAGAAAATACACGAACGAGAGATTAATGACCGGAGAAGTTTAGACAAAAGTTTCAGAATTAGAAAAAGTTTACACAAATTGATTTAACTGAAAGCCAAATTGTCGCTCCAAAAAGCTGGCGGTAAAGCTCATTTAGCCCTATAACTATTTACCATTTTTTGGTTGTCAAAAAATATATATGACTGATAATGTGCCTAATTTAATGTGTATTGATTCAGGGGTTTCTTGATGATTTCTTTTCATTAATTATTATTAATTATAGCACATATAGCTGTATTTTTATGAATATTGTGTACAAAATAAAGAAAAGATTACATAAATATAAACTTTTATTTTAATATAAACATACAATAATTATATATATACTTTTTTTTATATAATATATGAAATAACCAAAACATAAACTGGAATCTTTGAATTATCCGATTCTGGTGTATTTAAAAAAAAGTTACACGCAAAACAAGCTGTAAATACTTAAATGAAAGAATATAAAAATAGATATTTCAAAACGTAGTTTCCTAAAAAATACATTATGCTAATTCAGAATCTTAAATAGACCAGCTCAGAAAACAAATATTTTGATATGAATACATACAAAAATTGAGCAAAAATGGCTCAAAGTAAATCATTAAGATTAGAAATGGATTTTTTCAATAAATCGTGTTGACTACGAGCATGCTTTATTTCTAATTCAGCCAATTCAATCAAACTGCAAAAAAAAAACATTAATGTTTTATATGTCAAAAATTACTCTTAATTTCAGTTTCAGATATATTTCAAACTCACCTCTTTCGAAAAGCATGAAGCCTCCTAGTTTTAAAATCTAATAACTCCTCTTTGGCTTGGGCAGATATTGATTCAAAATGCTCACAAGCAACTGATTGCGCCGTTTCAGCCTGAAAAACAATATATTGTACCAAAAAACATCGAAAATGCGATTTTCATTATTCAATAGTTCCAGTTTTGGTACTCAATTTCTTCATAAGTGTAAAAGTGGGGAAAAAAATAGGATGCTTTTTAAAAAAGATCTGTTTTGTATTAATAATTGTAAGTCGAAGTAAAGCAAACTTGTTACCAACTATTTACAGGGAAAATGGCTACCCTGGGTCAATCTAAATATCTATAGCTCATATAAACAAATAAAATAGATAAGTAACATTCTGCCCGTTAATTATCTATATTTTATTTATTTATCTGAGGTTTTTAGGTAATAAAAACATTTTTTGTAAATTTTAAACAAAACTGTTACAAAATTAACCAAGAAATAATATAATTTGAATAATTTAGCGAAATTTTTAATGCATACCTCTTGTATTTCCGGAGCCTGGCAAAGAACAGCATGAAAATAAAATTTAAAAACATGAAATAAAAAACATTTACTTTTTTATAGATGATCTCTTTCTGTGTTAATTCTCTTAGACCCGGTATTTATAAACAGATCTCAGCTGAGTCAGACTTGGCTGAATATTTGAATGAAAATCGAAGTTAAATGGCGTTAATTTAGAGATAGTAGTAACAAATCCGTAAATGTATTTAACAGTTACGAATCTGCCAGTGTCCATCTCTAAATTCCAGTGCAATACTGGAAACACCTAGAACTTTAGAGAAGTTATAACAAGCCCTAATCATTTGGAATACATAGGAAATTTGCCTTTTTTTTTCAGCAAAATGAATTCATTGTTTAAATTAAATTAACTTTCTTAATTTAAATATTATTAATAGTAAGAAATTATCATTTCTGAAACAGTCTGTTGTAATTTTGGTTCAACATCTTGAGTTCATTTCAAAAGAAAGGTTCAATCTTTTAAAAACATACATTTCCTACATATTTAATAAAATTATTATATTTTATATTTAACCACATTTACCAATCCATATTACGAATATTTTTCCTTATTATAATGAATAATTATAAATATTATACTTGTTTATCTTGCAAGTATGATCTAAAAAGTCCAACATTATATTTAAATTATTATAAAAAATAACTTACGGCATGAATATCTTTATTTTTGTGTCGAGCTTTTTCAAGCGTTTTGTTAGCATTTTCATAATTTGCTAAACATCTTAATCTTCTCACAAGTAAGGCCCTGGCAGCTTGGCTGTCTCTCATATAATATCTCAAAGTATCAGCTAGTTTTAGATCCTGATCGCTAGCGACACGGCTTTCTAATTTCTTTAAACATAATATTTCAGGCAATCAAATTAATAAAAAAAAAAAGGGCACAATAAAAAATTGAATAAAAATGTATTATAAAAATTTGATTAGATTATTAAAGCCTAAAAATTGTTTAGAAATATTATACATATTTTTAATAAAAATTTTATTTTAAAATCAAGGAAAAACAATTTCACTTACTCTAACTTTCTCAAATGAATCAGAAACTCTTGACAAATATTTATCCAGTCGCCCATTGTCATTATGAGCTAATTGTACTAATCCTCCTGATATTTTAATATAACTATCAGCAAGTTCTAAAATTTGAATAAATAATAATAAGAAAAATGGCCATAACATTAGGGTTTTAATTTTAGTTTAAGGGGGTACTCAGATAATGAATAGAAACACTAAAACTTTGCACAAATAATTTGAAATTATTTTTTATTTAATTTAAAAAATAAATCAATATGACGTTTCGAAACTGCCTATATATTATTTAAACATGAAACATTACTTTTATAAATGTCATTTAAAACCTATTTTCAATACGATGTTCATTACCTTTGTGCTTCTCTGTCATCTTATCTGTACGATACGTAGCATCTTTTAATTGGTTGTAATATTCTGTTAATGAATTCATCTGTTGCTCGAAAAAGTCATTGACATCTCTAACTGTAGCATTCAAATAATATTGGTCGGTTGTTGTACCAACAGATTTAATTAAACCTCCTAACTGTTTGAGTTTCCCTTTTGGACGAGCGCACAAATCCTGATCGTATTCAAGAAATACATGAAGATGAGGATCTTCTTTAAATACGGAATGACTAGCCAAACGAGTTAGGAAAACTTCATGCATTGCGACAGTTTTTTTGAATGTAGCCAAATATTCACTAAAAATGTACATGTTTAAAAATTTGTACTTATATAATAGTAATTTAAATCATAATCGAATTAAATTACGAGTTTTGAGCTTACATTAAATTGTAATTAGATGAAACAAAATGGATTCTATGTATTTTGAGGTGATCTTTTCGAAAAAAGGCAAAACAAAATGTAGCTCTTTTTCGAAAGTGCCGAAATTTTGTCGGAAATAAATCAAAATTTTTAAAACACAGTTTACATTTGAAAACTTAGGAAAAATTCAAATTTTCATGTTTCTTGAGAAATTTTGATCCGATGCACCGTTCTCGCGGTATGGACGATTGAAATTTGTTTAGTATTTTGAGGCGGCGAAGGTCGAAAAATTGAGTTTGTTAAATGTTCAAACACTAAATTCTTCATAACTTTGGTAAAAATTAAGATATTTGAAAAAACAAAAAAGCGTTTTGAACTTAAGGGATGTGACTATTGATTCCCAGAAGGGGGCAAGAGAAATCCCAAAATTGGGCATATGGCGGAAGGGCAAAGTGTACCGCGGTCCTAATTTCAATGTTTGCCTATAACCGTCAAACTATTTAATTTTTTTTAATGGCACTTACAGAGCTTACTCTTGAATGAGAAATCTTATGTGTGTGTGAATTTCACCAAAATCGGACCATAATTGGCCAAGATATCAAAAAATTAAACAAACTTTTTTCCCTAAAAAAAACTAAATTTTTTTGCGAAAGTTTGAAGTGGCACAAAAATGCCAAAAATGCACCCAATGGCTCAAAACTTTTTTTTTGAGTACTTTATTCTGTCTAGAATACGATTACATTACGGAAAATTCTGCAAAAATATTTTATCTATTTTTTTGACCACTGTTTATTGAGTGACGACCAAAAAACGCGGTTTTTGAAAAAAGTTGCCTAAAATCGACGATTTTCAGTTTTTTGGTCTGAAAATTGAGCAAACCCAAATTTCATGTCTTCTGAATGTGTATACAAAGTTTAAAGTGTGTATGTTTCTTCTAAGTTGTAGAATTCTTCCGGAAAAAGTCCCATTACACGCGCTCCGCGGGATCCAAAACTCGTGTATACACTGCATTTCTGTAATTTGATTTTTTGCAATTTCCAGTTTTAAATTTCTTACATACCTAAATTTATTAGGCTTAAAATTTATTAAATTGTATTTTACTGACTTGTTATAAGACGTTTCTTGAGTAAAATATAGAAATACCGCAAAATTAGCCGCACCAAGGATAGCCATGGTCTCGGCGTTCGCTATCCGACAAGTTTAAATTTCAAACGGTCATATTATTACAAATTAAAGCGCTTGATAGTGTTCATCGGCATATATTTTTAATAACCGTGCTTAGCAAGGTCTGTGTACACGTGGTTTTTAGACTTCTTCAGCAATTTATTGGGTAAGTACGTTCCTAAATTAAGAAAATTCTATCACAGTGCTATAATTTTTCCCGCTTGCAATGACTGGCTTGTGTTTATTATGTCATCAGACACTTGAAGAGGGTGAACTTACCCCAATTAGATCAACAGGATTGAAAGGTCTGCAGACGGTTAGCAAAGAGAGGGGGGATGATTTTTTCAAGTTTTATATTGCATGAGAAAATTATATGGGAAAAAAAATTAAAAAACTACGCCTTCCGGTTTCCTGCGAATTCCCGAAAAATTATGGCAGATTTCGCCACAGGACTTATTTTATTAGAGTCAACAAAAAAATATGCAACTTCTCTCATGGGCACATATGTCTAACATTTATAATTTCGCCACAAATTTATCGCAAATTTCATGTCCATGGTTCTGATCAAAGATACGAAAAAACAACTTTTTGGTAAAAGCACTTCTGGCGGCGAGTAATTCGCCCTTAAAACTACCTGTGCAATGAATTTCCGAACTATTTTTGCCTTCTCTTTCGATTGGTGCATTTATTTTTATTATCGGAATGATACTTGCCCAGATAATTAGCATATTTACCATGGAAAATTCCGGAAAACCCGGTTTTTCCTAATTTAAAAAAAAATTGAACAACAGCTACATCTTTTTTTGCTTTTTTTCGGAAAGATCACATCAAAATACATAAGGTCCACTTTGTTTCATCCAATTACAAATTAATGTAAGCTCAAAAGGGCTTTTTTTCGTTATTTAATTGGACTATCAGATTTGGGAAATATTTTTGAAAAATGCAATTTGATATTGACTCAAACAAAAGTCATAAATAAATTATAAAGACTATACAATAATAATAGTGTATTAAAAAAACATAGTGCCAATAAGAAAATTGATCTCTACAACAATAAGATAAATATAAATTATATGCAACAGGTGAAACAATTTTTGAGCTACCATTCAGATACTTTAAATACCTACAGATATGGCCATTGTTTTAGTGATCATAGGGAACACAATTTTTTCACCTCTACACCTTATAGTGTGTACAAAATCATTTCAATTTATTTGATTACACAAACTAAATTTCAGTAATTCATTGATAGCAGTCTGGTATATCTCTCTCTCAAGATAAAAATACTTTTGTTGAGCTTTGACCATAACACAACAAATATGATAGTTCACAAATAATGGCATGACACTTGAACACTTAAAAAAATTTGTAGGAAGTTTGGGAAAGGGGTAATTGAAACAATTTTTTTATAAAATGAGCAAAAGCTGGAACAAAATCAATATTAAAAGAGTGTAAAAGGGGTAATTGTTAGCAAACATTTCTTTCTTTATGTTTCTAACCAAATATAATTACTTAAGCATCACATTTTCATTTTGTGTGATGTGTCAACTTTAACATACTATATAATAAAATTGGAGGAAAAGGGGTAACATAAACTCAGAAGGGTAAATAGGTAATTCATTTTTGTTTTTTTTTTTTCAAATTTAAATACAAACATTTAAAATCATATATTTTCGAATGTACTATATTATTACTACCTTATATTAAATAAATAAATAAATGGGTCAAAATTTTAAGATAACATTTAAAAAATTGGAGTCCCACAGAACACAAACATATTTCATAGTTGGATTTATGTAAAACTTTTTATTTTAGAACCTATTAACAAATATAATCCCTAAAATAAATTATTTTTAAAAATCAGTTCCTTAAAATTATTATAGTTTCAAAGTTAATGAATAAAAACAATTTTTAAAGATAGTTGAACAATCTCTATCAAGAGTTTGTGCTCTCTGGGGCGAAAATTTGGAAAAACCCTGAATATAATCATATTTATTATTCATTTTTGTATATATCCAATTCAATATGTTTTACTCTAGTTTCAAACTCACTATTACATATGAAAATATGAGTATAAGTTGTATGACAGGATGATCATTGTGGAATTTTTTAAGCAGGTGCTACAAATTTAAATGATTCATTAAAAACAAACAATTGCAACTTACGCTTCTAATTCCTGCTTCATTTTGGTAAATTCTTCTTTGGTCATTGTACCCTCTCCTTCACCAAGGCGTTGTAATTTTTCACGGGAGGCATCAAAATTTGGACGGGGCGGTGGTGGTGGAATCTAATATTACGAATTAATGCATAATAATAAAAATATTTGCCCTTAGTAGTGAAAATTTGCATTATTGTAGAGATAAACATTTGGTGAATATTTTAAGTTCTAAATTGAAATTATTAAAGACTTCTTAATAAATATAGGGCATTAAAACATTGTAGATGTATGATAGACTTCATCTCACAAATATTCAGTTAAAGCTTCACATGTAAATATACTCACAATATATCCTGCATATTTTGGTTCTTCTTCATAACGATCATGAAGCCAAATAAATTCTTCGTGTTGCCGAACTACCAAGAATTCCGGTTTTTGAAAATTTTTTATTGTTGTACGAGTATGTACAGTAAACTTAACTTTATCTTTTTCACTAAGAGCATCCGATATGTCCACTACAAGCGAACTATCAGTGAGTGGGATATTGTTTCCTTCATCAGGAGTTTTGTCAGTCTAAAATAAAGCAAATGTGCTTATTATACAAAAAACAACATACGCCCCTATAATTGTTATAAAATACGAATTTTTTTGTAGTAATGAACATACGATCTTACCATGGTTTTTCAGTTTGTATGTATTTCAAAGAATTAATAAATATTTCATTTACAATAAAAAACCATTACCGACAATAAAGTACAAGTACAAATACAAATATATTATTTAAACAAAAAGCTGATTAATGCTAATCGTTTGACAAATATCACAAATATGACAAATGACAAGTAAATTGAAAAAACTTGTCACGTCAGTTGCGAAAGTTTGTGCGATCGGTTATTCGTTTGGAGCCGGTCCTCAGATTTGTTTATCTGAGAGTAGGACAGACATGAGTTAAGTTTAACGCTCATTATACTCAACTGAAATTCGTAGAATTTTATAGAACTACAAGACAAGCAAGGGCCAGAAGAACAAACAAAACTGACACAAATGTACTAGATTTCATTGTGATATGGCAACGCTGTAGGCCTGGTGATTTGAGAGGGTCAATGATATAAATTTAGATAGTTATATAGATTGATCATGTTTTTCAAAATAAACATAAGCTTATGCTTTGAAGTAAAAATGTAGGTAATTATCTTGATGATTCAAAGGCTGAAAATGTAAATTGAACATATATTGTAGGCAAACGAAAATATTTAGTAAATAAAAATTAATGTTTAATATATTTTCACAATATACCTAGTTATAAACGATATCCACTAGAAAGATTCAGGAGGTAGGCAATATATTATACACGATATGAAATTTTTACTTTTAAAAGTAGCAAAGCGGCAAAGTATAATTTTTCTTAATATACAAATAGTTATTTTAAAATAACAGCTTATACATTTTTTCATAAATTAGCAGGCTTAACTATTTTTCGGAAAAACATAGCGCCCAAGATGGAAGGCTATGTCGCAACCCCTTTAGATATACAAGTCCTTCCCATGACAGATCGCAGCTCGCATAAAAATATAAACAAAATACATAACCTCAAACTCAAAACATGAAGTCTAGATTATAGCAATTTGGTATTTAAAAAAATGTTAAAATTTTACTTTATATCTGAAAAATGTTTAACAAAACTAAAGTATTCACGGTATTATTCATCTAAGCCACCGAATACTCTATTTTTTGGATCAGATCATTTTTCCCTATATTCCTTAGAATTAATTTATAATTATCAGTAAGTCTTAAATATAATGAACAATGGTTAATAAATAAGTTAATTTTAGCTTAAAGGGTGAATTAGTTAATAGGTTGGAAGTAGTCACAAAATTATCAAAAAATGCTAATGTGGTCCAAAAGTATGCCGAAAAACATAATATACCCTTGTACAACTGGCCTAATATTCCCACAGAAACAGCATTTGATGTAGGATTGGTTGTTTCATTTGGTCATCTAATTCCAGAATCCATTATTGGAAAATTTCCTTAGTAAGTTTTGTTTAGTATTAAAATTCTTTAAATATTTACATGAATAAAAAAATATCTACTTAATATCGACTTAAAACACATAAATATGTCAATGTATTTATATTACTTGTTGTTATATCATCAAAAATTTAAGGGAGACACTATCTTTTGATACTTTAAAACTATGCTATTTTGGTTTGGTTCATTCAACTCTACAATATGGGTTAATATTTTGGGGTTCTTCACCATACTTTGAAAGAGCTTTTGTATCTTAAAAGAAGGTTCTGAGAGCCATGTATAAGGTGACACTAACAACATCATGTAAAGAACTTTTCAAGAAAACACAAATTTTAACACTACCTTCCCTTTTTATTTTTCAACTAATTTTATACATAAAAGATAATGAGCATATATTTAAGAAAAATAAAGACCTGCACTCATATGATAGTAGTTTAAAATTTAACATCCATCAACCTTTTTCACGACTACAAATAAGCCAGCATTCACCAAAATATATTGGGATTAAGTGTTATAATAAGTTTAGTAACATATTAGAAGATACTACAAGGTTATCATCAAATTAGTCCTAATGATTTAAGAAAACATCTTAATGATTTTCTTGTAAATAATGTATTTTATAGTATAGAAGATTTTTTGAACTTTTAAACTAATCTTAACATGAATAGTCTATTATATATATTTTATTTTTTAATGTATTTTACTTAACACTTTTTTGACTAGTCTGATAGGATTTTACATTATGTACCTAGTGTCTTTGTATAGTGTATAATTCTCAAAGATTAATAAATTCTATTTCTATTATTTTATGTTATAATATCGTTCTGTCCAAATAAATAAAATAAAAAGAATTGATTTTTATGTAGATAGTGCCAATTATTTAATTAAATTTTCAGTGGTATTCTAAATGTTCATGGCAGTTTATTGCCAAAGTGGAGGGGTGCAGCCCCTATGATATATGCTCTGGCAAATGGAGATCCAGAAACTGGTATCACTATAATGAAAATAAAACCTAATAAATTTGACATTGGTGATATTTTACTACAGGAAAAGGTCTCTATAAATGAAAATATGGAAATGCCAGAATTGCACAAATTATTAGGAGAATTAGGAGCTAAATCTTTAGTTAAAACTTTAGCAGATTTACCTAATTATATTAATCATTCAAAACCTCAACTGATTGATAATGCTACCTATGGTAAGTTAATCAGTTAATATAAAAACGTAGTTCAAATCAATTGATTTTTAATTTTAATATGTAGGCAATGTATGGTTAATGTTCTATAATTCTTTTACATAGGTACCAAAAATGAGTGAACATAATTTTCCATGTAGGTATGATTTTTTACTAGATTAGTTCTCTGAAAATTCCAACTAGGGCGAAAAGAATGACAAACTCCTTAAATGCCAAATCAATTACAGTTGTTTCTATGTATTGAAAAATGTGATCGTCAATACTTCTTTATTGCTTATAATTCATTGTTTGGAGAGGCTATTCAGGCTATGGCCTTGGAAGTAGTTGTTTAATGTTATATATGGTCATTACATGCATTCTCTGGTTAAATTTCATTATTGGTGGAAATAAAAATACTATTTTCAGATCCCTACTGTTTTTCAGATTAAAGGACCAAGACAAATCTGTATTATTTGTACACATCAATCATTATATGAAGGGGGATAATGGGGTAATTACTTCCCCCAAGAATTTTTAATTAACTTCTTATAGGTACTAAAATGTTTTATAATCACTAAATTCTAGATGTCCCACTGGTCTATACCTAGAATTATCTCTTCTTCTATCTTCTTGCTATCAACTATTATTACCTTTGATTTACTACATTATTTGTTTAAGCACCAAAAGTACATCCCAGTTTTGCAGTTATTAATTGGAATACAATGACGTCCACTCAAATATACAATTTACATCGAGCATTAAAAGGATTTTTGTCTCCTACATCAGTATGGCAAGGGGTACAAATAAAACTTTCTGGAATAAAAAAGTGGGAGACAATTAGTGATAATAAAAATCATAAACCGGGTTATGTGGCTTTTGACAAAAGGACGAAAAGTTTAATTGTACTTTGCGCTGATAACAAGTTTGTAAATGTGGAAAGTGTTACTGTTTTAGGGAAAAAAACTATGACTGCTAATGAATTTAATAATGGATTTTTGTGTAAGGTGCCTATAAATTTAAGATATTTTATGTAGAAACTGGTCTTTCATTTTTAATGAAAATAAAGATATAATTAAAAGGAGTTTTACTATAAATTTGAATAACAATACCTGAATACACTTTGCTGTTAACGACGAGCACGTTGGAATCTATTATACAGTGTGTCCCAATAGTGTATACAATATTGCCAACGTTAATAACAATATCTGTTATTTATACACATAAGAAAAGTTTTTTATATTCTTGATAAAATATTCGACATCACTTGGGAATCCATAATCAATTATTTTTTGTAAAATATAGGTAATATACAGGGAAAACAAAAGATTAAAATACTTTTAAATTTCAATATAGAGCAAAATGTTGATATAGGTCATTCACTGAATTTAACCCCATATCGGATTAAGAAACAGATGCACGACTGAGCCGGTCTACAGGATAATTTCGCATCAGGTAGTTGAGTAAAATAAGCGTAGTCCTCCGGTGGGTAGAGAGTGAATATATTTTAATTATTAAATACTTATATAGTATGTAATTATGTTTATTAAAATTAAATTACTAAATACACGAAAAAATGAAAATATTTATAATTTTGTTTTGGACATTGTTTATGGTAATACCATTTTCCCCGAATACAATAAACGCTTTATGGTCAGGAATTTCCGGAAGTCCCCTTCTCAGGTATAAAATTAAGATTAAATGTTCTATTTTTGTACTGATGTTATAGGACTAATTGCGCTAAATTATTTAGTTCAGTTTTGGATTTTGAAGAGAACGTATGTCGAAACTGAAAATGCCGAAGCGCGTGTTACGTGTAAATGACTTAATTTGTAATCTACATAAGTATTTTACGGCGGAAAAAGTTAACGGAGGACCTTTAAAGCTAGTAGTGAGTGTGCATGAACGCGTCTGTACAGCTCGGTATTAAGTGATTCAAAATTAAAATATGTTTTGAAAAACGTCAACAGTGGAGAGAGCAAAAAAAAAGAAAAAATATACACCTTGTAAAAAACTGAAAACGTCGAATATATCTGATGGGACAAAATTTTGTATTCGTGATATGGTGTATGAAATGCGTGCGAAAAAGGAACATTACACAAATACAGAGAGAGAATTTTAGCTGCTATACAGGGATTACTAGAAGCAGTTATTCTAGAATTAAGAAGATGGCTGGTGAAGTAGAAAGTGGAGTTAGTACTTCATTTTCACAAAGAGGATATACAAAAAGAAGTACAGTTTCAGAATCTATAAGGCCTGAAGAGTTGGAAAAACTCAGAGGTATAATCCATGATTTTCATATTATTGAGAAAAGACTACCAACTCTAAATTGTAAGTTACTATTTTGATTATAATGGCAACGTATTTAATATAAACATTATTTTAGGTATATTACAAAAAATGAAGGATTGTTGTTTTGAATTCCGGGGCAGCATCTCATCACTTAGGAAAATATTATTAAACATGTGTTTTAAGTAAGTATAAATAACGTTATCTAAAAAAATCAAAATAAAATAATACCAAAATAATTAATTTCTCATAGTCAATTTTTGTACGTATAAAATTACATTGTTTATTTTTTCAGGTGGAAAAAAATGAAGACAATAGATCTTACGACATTAGGAATAAGAGGACAAATTATTTAAAATCCTTAATACATTATCGGCAAAAGGGCAGAACTTTTTATTATTGTGATGAGACCTATTTACATATACACATTCGAAAGGATGAACTGAAGGCAAAGGCACATTCAAAACTCCAATGAGCAAGGGAAAAAGGCTCATAATGTTGCATGCAGGGAGTAAGGATGGTTTTGTAGAAAATGGACTGTTGATATTTACTTCAGGCAATAATAATAAAAATTATTTATTATTTGCGTCTTTACCTACTTCATGAAAATCCATGATGCTTAACAACCGAAAGTTATGATCAGCTTAAATTTAATTTAAAGTGTTAAAGTATCTAATTAACAAGTAATTTAAGTACTTATTGTAGTGGTTTATTTTTTTATCTTCAGTTTAGTTAAAAGATCTTTACCTGTACTTGACGAAATGTGCTTTTTTTTGGGACAAAATTGTGGTTAAAGGAAAATTGGAAATAAAACAAGTTTTTTTTAGCTTAAATATTATTAAACATTCAATAGACTACATAAACAATAACCAGACGATTTAAATATTTCGATTTACCCACGTTCTATTTGCGTTTGCAGATATTAAAGAACAGTATGAATGTTTTCCAAATATTTCGTTTGGAAATTTTAAATAAATTTTAAAAATTTGTTGTTTACAGTATACGTTTTTTTGTTTCGTCAGTAGCGACGCTAAAATATATAGATACGGTGCGACAGGGGACAACTTCTCAAATATTTTTGGCTCTGTTTATTGCTACTTTTCCCTCTATTCTTTATTATTGTATAACCTGAGCTTTGGCTTTTTAGAAGTAGTTTATTATATATTATTAGATAAAACCAAAAAGGGGTAGAAAGCTCATTTGTAGAATGATCAGTAAATAACAACCTGTGTCCCCTGTTGCACCGGATCTGATGTGTATAATAATATACAAAACGAATACAATCTTTGATATCTAACCTACACTTATGATAAACGTTCAAAATTACAAAAACATAACGAGTGCTTCTTTTACTAGGTATTCAACTTAAAATTTTGTTCCATCATTTTTTATACAACGTCGTATTCGTGCCACACAAAAAAAAAATAAAAAAAGTCAAAATTTTGAGAAAATTATGTCAACATTTTGAGAATATATCAAAATCTTGAGAACATTATGTCAACATTTTGAGAAAAAGCCAAAAAACAAAGAATGATCTGTCCTGTCACCTTGGTGAGTGCAATGGCCGAAGACTTTAAACTATTAATATCTAAATCCTATGTGTTGATGTCAGGATAAATATGTTATCACGAAAATTGATTGATTTAAAATTTACATTTTTAAATTGTAGATGCGTTAACAAATTTGTATTTTGTACACAGATAAATCATGTAAAGTGATATGGATTAATTAATATTACTTACGCCTTATCAAATAATAAGTTACCAGTTCAGAATATTTATAAAAATAAAGATATGATCTCAAGTCGAATCAGGTGATGTTTAAAATTTTATAGTAACAAACATTTATATTTCAAGAGGTTGATGCAAGCGAAAACTTAATAAATATGTTGCGATATAACGCGTCTAAAAGTGATTTTTGTTCATTGAACAAATCTGAAACTCCTTAATTATAGATATAACCTATGGTTTATATTATGATATGTACTTTGTTTTACTTACACACTTTGGAAGTCGACGTAAAATTATTTAAAATTATGTATTAATCAGCGTTGTTAGCAGGCGAGGCTTGTTACCAAAATATTGGGGGTTCACAATGACAATATAGTAACTTATGTCCAGAGGTGGCTCGTGGGGTGATTCACAGTAACAGAATATAGGTATCAGTACAGATGTATGAAAAAACTTTCAGTATTTTAGAAACTTTATAATGTACCTTTCTAAAACACTGACAGTTTTTTACCTATATCTGTACTGGGATCTATATTCTGCTACTGTGAACCTCCAAAATTTTGGTCACAAGCCGCCCCTGCTTATGTCTATATACAGGGTGATTCATAACTATTGGGACATAGGCTAAGGGCAGGTTATTTGTACAAAAATATGATGACAGGGCCAAATATACCTTAATAAAATATTGCTGTGGAATAAGATACAGGGCGTTAAAGTTGAATTTTTTTTTTCGTTTTTTTTTTATAATGTCACTGTATATTAATGAATTGTTATCAAAATCGGCACAGAGGCATATATTTGGACAGGGGATAATATTTTATGTATAATTTTTCATTTTGTTACGGGGAGCGCCACTTGAATGATTACCAATGATGAAATTAAGTGGTAGCTTTTTTTGACAAAACTTTTTAGTATTTTTGATTGGAAAATATGATGTAAACGTCATTTCTACGTAATATTGGTACTCTTGTTTAAACACGATAATTTTACCCGTTTTCGAGAAAAACGCAATTGAGCAGCTCACAAGTCTCAAATGGGGAGTTAAAAAAATATTTCACATATGAAAAGTGTGCTTTGGAGTGTCAGATAATTGTGTTTGGTACATGTAATTTCTTGACAGTGAATTATTTTTGCTGCTTGATTATAGTCTATTATTATTATTATTTATCACCCTGTTTCTTATTCCACAACAATATTTTATTAAGGTATATTTGGCCCTATCGCCATATTTTGCTCCAAATAATCTGACCTTAGATTATGTCCCAATAGTTATGAATCACCCTGTACTTGGAAATCTGTTCTATTCAATAGTTTTCCCAAACAAAGATGCTGCTAATGCAATGCAAAGCTGAGTTTTGAGAAAACATACAAAGTGATCCCTTATATTCATATTAAAGTAGCAAGTCACAGCTTATTCAGTACCAACTACTTATTTTGCCATAAAATTGAAAGTTCGCGCATTGGCGTAGCAGGCAGACATTCACTCGGAACTAGAACTACTTATTGTTATATTATCTGTGGTCGAGATCGTGACTTTTGCCGCGTTTGAGAATCCACATCGGATGCATTTTTACATCTCGAGCGTTTTTTTATCCACATCGGACACATCTACTACATCTGCGTTTGTTTATTCCAGATGTACCTGTTCAGATTACATTTTTTACATCTCGTTTTGAAATGAGATGTGAATGAGATGTTCGTTCCATGCCAGAAATTAAGTGTTCTGTGAAGCCTTGTTTGTCAATTTATCCTTTGTATGAATATACACGTGATTAGTTTATTTAATTTTTGTTTATATTTCAAATTTAGGTTGATTTGTAGTCTCAAAAGTCAAATTTAATAAGTATAATAAACTTCTAACTTGTCATTGACATTTTATCACGTGACCAAATAAAGTCTAGAGCGTTTGTTTATTACATCTATATTCAGATCTAAATCTCTATCACGTGATAAAAAATTCACAACATCTCAGATGCATCCGATGTGGATTCTCAAACGCGGCATTATTAGGCGAGTTCGGATAGTCAGGGGCTGGAGCGGGACAAAAGCGGAGTTTTTTAGGGTGCTTTTAAACAGTGGTGGTTCGTGGGCACTAGCGGCAGTGGGGCACACACTGGAAGGGAATCCCGGGATTCGTTTTTCCCTTAGGGAAACAAATTCTCCGCTTAATGAAAAATAAATATATTTCAAAACAAATTAAATATTACAAAATTAAAGACTAACTGCTAGGTGCCGCTGCAGTTGTATACTATTTCTTATAGTTGAAGTCCATTCTTCTGTATTTTTGGCTAGCGAAGTGATCGATGACCAGATTATTTAAATTTGGAATGGACTGAATACATTTTTTTTCGATGGCTCATAGTGTTCCTTAAAAATGTTTTAATACATTTTAGTGTCGAAAAACATATTTCACTCTCCACTGTGGTCATGGGAATTGTATACAGGATAGTCAGCAGCTCCACAGATTCCGAAAATGTAATTGTCAAATTGTTCTCAAAAAACATTTGTAATAACGGTACGGCCCCATTGTACAAAGTCATCTCGGGTGTAAAGAATGGACAGTTCGTTTTTGAATTTTAAGCTGTTTACGTTTGGAAATAAACTACACACAGTTTTAACGTCCTCATTTGGAAAACAACCTCGGTAGTCTTTAAATTTTTCACTGTAGTTTTATTTCTTAACTATTTCAATGGTCCAACTATCGTTTTTTCGTAATCACAATAAATAAATTATTATCATGGTCCAACAAACGCGCACCTTAACCCGAAACCGGCCTTTGTGAGGGAGCCGGTATTCCTCCATGTCGGTAAAGATGCCGCTGCGTACATTCGTATCTGATCTAGGTAATCTCTGCCATGGGTACAGTACGTCACGATAAGGACAGCGCCCCGCTTGTGACGTATAATCCATCGCATGTGTTCATCTCTTGCTAAGCGATATTGTCGTTGTCCTTGTTTTTCGCATCATAATGAGAGAGAAAACAACAGAGGCACACATTTACTGTGCCCATATCTTCCACTTAATAGAGAGTTGAAGTGATGCTATGAACGTATACGTGAAAATTGACATCTACGCATGCGCATTCAAATATCCTTCACGTTCACGTCTTCGTACATACGTAAGCTTGCGGGCTCTGGCGTATGCACGTAACGAAAATAAAATAACCTCTTTTTAATTAGAAAGGAAGAAATCCTAATAATAATTGTCATTATCTGTCATGACACGTAAATGTCACGACGCGTTTAACAACTTCAACTCTTATTTTGGACTAGACCGTAACAATTATTTTTGTGTGTTGACGTTCACGTTTACGTTAACTTACTAGAAATAGTTCAACTCTCTTTCGGAATTTTCGGAACGTCGCTCAACGCCCGGTCGTCAAGTGTCGTGTCAACGCGGTTTATTATACTAGGACACGTGCCCTTACGGGAAAACCGCCACTGCTTTTAAATTGCATTTAAGCGTGTTAAACTGTCACTAATCGGACTAAACCGAACGCTAAAAGGGACATGTGGAGTAAAAAGTGTTAAAGGGAGTTAAAGGAACTTGGCAGACTGAACGCAATGCAAGAAAAGTAGCAGTTTGCAGGAGCGTATTCAGTTACTCAACAAACAAAGAATTGTCGGGATATTGCTGACTTTTTGCTGTAATTGAAAGGGAAATGAACGCGACGATTAATGGTTAGGCCCTTTCGATAGTGGCCCAGCATTAAGTTGGTTGATGATAATGAAGGGTAAATAACGGGGGGTTAAAATTAAAAAAAAAATCCTAACTCGAAAACGAAAAATGATATCAACTTGAAATTTTTAGCAAAATTCAAACTATAAGGGAAAAAGGCTATTGATTTTAAAAAATATGAGTAAAGTGGGAGGTTAAGGGGGTTGATATATAAAAAAAATAGAAATCAAAAACCAGAAGCTATATCAACATGACATTTTTAGTAAAAATCAAGCTGTAAAACGGGATGAAACCTTTTTCAGTTCAAAAGATACCGCCAAAAATGACTAGCTTGTAACGAATAAGTATTATATATATTGAAAGTTGTCATAATGATTTATTAAGAATAAGTACTACAACTGAACATTATTAGTAATTGGTCGTAGAAAACAAATAGTAAAGTTGTGCTATATAGTATAACAACTGATCCACAAAAATTGTTTCAAAAGTAGACTATGATTGATAAAGACAGAAATGCGAGACACGTCCATGATAATTACGAACGCCGTTGAATTAAATCAAACTGCTATATAAACGAAAAGAATTGTACGCTCCGGCATACATGTTTTTTTTTAATAGAAACACTTTTTATGGAGCATTCTATATAATAAGTAAACAGGGCTTTTGACTAATAAGAATTTGTATCTATTAGGTATATTTGTTTAAAGTATATAAAATATGTAAATATTTGTATAGGTACCGTTTGATATTTTTTTGAGGAAAAATAGATATGTTTAAAAGTGTTAATTTTAATTCATACTTAAATTTAAAAAATATCTTAAAATTGAATCAATCGGATATGTGGAGACTAAGATGGGATCACTCTGTATATTGTTTGATTTAAAATAATTAATATTAAATTCTTTAATAAAAAAAACCTGTATAAACTCTGATTAATACGTTAGAAAACCAAAAACAAAATTTCCCAATTAATTTTTATATACTTAACTACTTAACATATTTATTATTTTTTGAAAACTGATGCAGTCTTCATATGTACAAGAATTATAAACGTTAAGAATAAATACGTTTTCACAATCAATTAATTAAATACTTATACAACAGTGGCGGCTCAGGACCAAAATATTGGGGCTTCACATATTTATCTTAGTATAGATGTAGTTAAAAAACTTTCAGTGTTTTACCTCACAGTTCTTTTTGAACATGATTTTCATATTGTGCTTGTTTTAGGACATTCTTCTAATCAAGAGCGGCTCCAGGAGGCCAAGTTGCCCCTGAGGTTAAAATACTTATAATCCATAAGCCTTTTAAAAAATTATATGCTAAAAAGGGAATTGTTATCGGCAATGTTCTGTTTGGAGCCACCTCTCCCAATAATTATTATTATTGTTTCCTCCAAACCAATATTTTTATAAGATTTATATCTGATATCACTATTTCTTCTGTTCTGATTCTCTGACTCACAATCTGCTGTCCTGGAGTAGCTTCACTGGCAAACTTTTTGTATATTCATCTCTTAACACATCTGAATACAGTTCAAAAATCGGAAAAAAGGAAAACTGATTGTATAGAATCTGATTTTTAAAATAGCTGCAATATATTTTAAAAGATAAATAGAGTCAACATCTACCTCTGTTGGTTTTGCGGTGTTCTTTGATTTGGATGAGATGACCATTTTCATCTACCGCCTTTTTTAGGAATAGTAAAATTGTTTCAACGTCCCTAAATAAGATTTTTTTTGTCAGACAGGAAAAATAAGTCCCTGGCATATATATTTTTTAAATTGCCACAAAAAAGTGAGTTTAGCTCTTCGACTTTATTTGTAACTATTTACCGTACTTAAGTCTTACTTCATCCACTTTCGCGTTAACCAGGAAGTGATAGCGGTATTCGTTTGTTCCCCCCCGTCGATAATCAGAGCTGTTACACTTTATAACATGCCTTCATAAGTAAAGCTCGGTTATTTTAAGTAGATAATACTGATGTCTACTCCTGGTTCTGATCCTTTAAGAGAGTTGTGAAAACGTATTAAATAATTAAAATAATAGGTTCAGAAAGTCAAATATTAAATCTAAATTAATAATTTTACTTGCCGTTAAGTATATTTTTAATTTTATACAGTAAGGAAATATTTTCGTTGGGCATAGATTTACATTGTAAATCACAAATGCGATAACCACACTACAAAGATGTTTCAAGAAATAAAACGCTTCACATTGAATCATTATTAGATGATATATTTATTCCTCGAGACCATTTTTTAAAATTGTAACTAAAAATACAAGCAGAAACGCCCAAAGCAACCTTGTACCTAACCAAAACAACTTCCACAGTTGTCATTTTATTTCTTGAAACATCTCTACTTTTCTATTGATCTATACTGGTATCAGGTAGAGAGGATTACTTCAATCATGGCAACAACGCTCATCGTACGCTGTTCGCTACGTACAGTGTTGCCATCTTAAATATAAGCCTAATTCAATGATTTCCCTATCGTATTTCATAATTGTTATATTTATACTAACATGTTTTTATTAAATTAAATATTATAAAATGATTTTAAAGACAAATATATTTTATATTTATAAAACTGATGTATGTTTAATTTGATATTTTTAACCAGAGAAATAAGATTGATTCTCTGGAATATATTTATAAAATTATTTAGATCCTAATAGTATTTAAAAGCTTAAATAATGTAAATTCATCTTTCCAAAATAGATATTTGATATTACCGATACGTGTTTAAATTTTTACAGCGTTGCATGTTACCATTCGTAACGAGAATTAGTAGTAGATATAGGCTGCTGTATTAACACTGTAGTGCTAACTTCAGGATATTCACATCTTGAATAATTCCGCTTAGTAGTTCCCATCTGAAAATAAATTCTTTAAATAATGTGTACTATATTTCGAGGATTTTGCTTACTAAGTGTACATACATATTTTTAAATGTTTTCTGAATACGCCTCTGTGCAGCCACGCGCTTGCATAAAAACAGAATACTATAAAAACTCGGAGCTGATACAGGCAAGTGTCACGTAGGTTCAAGCCTGATTGGATAAAAATCAGAATGTATAGGCGTGACTTAACATTAGCAAGTCACCAAATAAATTAAATTTAGGTTTTTAATTTTTTATTTAATTAAACCCGAAACACAAGCCATGAGTCGAAAGATTGGTATTTGTGTCAATACGATAATTTGCTCATAAAAATGATATTAGTTCAGCTATAGTTGTAAAAGATACATTTACAATTTAAAGGACTTATGCAACAAACTATTATAAAGAAATTTATTCAAGTTTCAGTTGTTTCAGGTGATTTAAATCTCAAAGAGGAAAGTGCGATTCAAGAACCAGCGATCACAAGTCGTGGAATTTTTCGAGAATAGTGCGGTGCGCAGCATTTTGGTATAAATAGGCTGTATTCTATCAGAGAAGTTAAGTTTTTAGACCGAAGTTGAAGATAGACAGACTGGATTTAAGTATAAATTAATTAATTAGTATTTAGTGTATGTAAATAAATTATAAATGTTTTAAATAAATAAACGCTACATTAATTAAAAATTTACTTACTTCTTACCTCGAATCCAGAATATTGTTGAGGTTGTTGAGGTTGGGGAGCACTGAAAGGGTTTGCTCCGGGTATGTTTAGGGTACCACCTTGCCCCATTTGATACGTAGCTCCGTATCCGTCCTGTTGAGATAGTTCGTGTAACTTACTACTAGATAATGCCCGAGGTATTGGGTTACTGGGAACTCCATGCGGTGCCAAATGAGCGGTTTCTTCAGCCACTTGTCTCGGATCTTCTGTCTGCGGTAAATCGGAAACGAAACCCTGATCGAATCTGTAGAAGTTTATAAAAATGAAGGCTGCAAGTACTAGAAGACAAACCAATCCATATCCTCTGAATGTTGCCTTTGATCCAAAGGAACTTACAAATATACCACCGATAACTGCACCACAACCTCTACCAAGACCGTGGTGGATACCTTGAAGGACTCCTTGTGCTGACGAGCGTAGTTCTATTGGAGTGTTATGTGCTATGTAAGAACAGCAAGCAGCCCATACAGCAGCATGAGTTATTCCCTAAAATTTTGAAAGTATTTTTTATATTGAAAAAACATCAAATGAAGAAAATACGGATCATTCCAATATAATTTATAGAAGAAAATCAGGTACGTTGGGAAGATAGGATTGGAAGGATCGTTGTAGATACCGAGACTACTCCATTGCTACCTTAACAACAGAAGGGGACAAAATATATATTTTAAGTCGCAATTGTATTAATACTCCAGTTTCAAACGTTGAACAAAGGATGTTTCGGGGTTTACTTCCACCTACCAGAATATTTATGGTCCATAAAGGGTGAGATTGAATTTTCTACAAGCACAAATACATTGTGTAAATATGTAAACCAATTGAATAAACAATGTGCCATTAGTCAGTGTTTTGATTTACTGACGAGTTTCCCTCTAAAGATTGAATACAGATCCAACAGTACCAGGTTCACATGATATATTTTAATTGCAGAATCAATTTGCCAACTTAATTGAGCTGATAATTATATTTGGGGGTTTTTAAGGTTGGATAGGTTCAAAGATGAGTGGATGACATTTAGGTAGGGATATATTAAGGTTTGAAAGATCCGTTACTATTTGGTTCTAAAAAGGCTTAGTAATTCGTGTTAAAATTCTATCACTAGTTTCGAGGTGGAAATTTGATTGCATAATTTTTAAAAATTGAACATTTAATAAGTATGATTACCTGCATAAATTCGAATGGCAACACCCACCATGGATTGGTTAACCATGAAATGTACAGAAACCGCAGTGTGTTGCCAATTAGACCAAGGCACAAAACTTTAACATGGCCCATTTGTCTGATCAGTCGAAAACTGAAGAAGTAAGCGAATATTTCTGATATGTGGTTGATCACTGATGCAACACCGAACAACGTCGGTGAACCGCCGTAGTCTTGGAGATGCCAGAATAGAAAAGTGAAAATGAGCCCTATTCCAAATCCCATAAACCAGGCTACGAAGAGGAATGATGCGCATTTTAAATTTTTATATTGTTTAATTACTGTGTACCATTCCGGAATTTCTCTGGTCGTTTGAGCGAAAATTTTTGTCTAAAAATAAAAAAGAATTAATTAGATAAATAGACATCCAAAAAGCGGTGGTGTCATATCTACAATTCTTAATATTTTTTCCCTAGATCTGGGGCATAACAGAATAGAGCCCTTAGCTTGCTAATTTTAAGATGTATTGTTCTTAAATGTTTGAATTTATATAATTAGAACCTTATTGCTTACCTTCTGCTCTTTGGGCAACGTTCCTACATCAGACGCACGTGTATCCGCCAAAGATGGAAGATTAAGCTGTTCGGCAAGTTGCGCCTGCATACGATCCTCCTCAGTGGGAGAAGCCTTTTGTTCAGTTACAAGTTCCGGAACAGGGTCGTCGTATTTGAATGAGATCTGCGTGGCGCTGATCAACGCAGCTCCCATCAGCACTGAAAACGTAGCAAAACAAATTGTGTAATTCTTTTCCTTCTTGTCCGGACCGCATGGATGGTTCGGAAAAGCCGTGGAATGATCAAGAGCTATGCCAACGAAGAACATAGCCAAACCCCAACCCAATGATCCGAACATCCTTTGGTGTCCGTAGGTGTCAGCATCTTCGCCGAGAAGCGTCAAAACCGCGGAGTCTGCAAGCGTTACTGCTGGAGCACTGAAAAATTCTCCTATGACCACTAAGAGCAGTAAGAGGAAAAATGCTTTTTGGATATCTTGGGTTCGGTACACTATGGATGATATAATTGGTTGGACCCAACTTTCGTGTTCTGTTTCTTTGTAGTTAGAAGCATATTGTACGTTAATAGGTGATTGACCAGCGTTTATAGATACTGCTCGAAGGTCTCTTGGTTTCCTGGATAAACTGTGAAACAAATAATCACTAATATAATTTAATATTAACAAACAATGTTACTGCACCTGGTATATTCATGATCATTAGCGTGATAACTAGTTTCAGTTGGAACGTCCATGCGTATTGATCTTTTGGTTATGATTACCCTACCAATATTTACTTCAGGACTCGTTAGCATCGCCGTGTTATTTTTAATCACCATACATGAAGTTGCAGGGGGTTGGATAGAGCCTAGGGGAACAGTGAACACAATCCAAGACGCCAGTGATGCTAAAAGAAGAATTTTTCCCTTACGCCACCTAAAATACACAAAAATTTAGATTGTTTATTATTTATCGACCTAATAAACAAATTAACTTTAATTTATATTATACTAACCTGTCAGCTAGACTACCCCAAAACGGCGCTGATAAAAATTCCACAAAAGGTCTGGAACCTATTAGAAAACCGCTCTGACTGGCGTTCATCCCCATTTGCTTGAAATACACACCCATCAGTGGAAAGAGAGATCCAAAAGCAGAGTAGAAAAAGAAATAGAAGCTCTTCACGACTAACAGTTCTTGATCTACTGGCCCAAAGATCATCTCTATTAAAGCAGTCTTTCCTCTGATTTTATGCGTAGAATCTTTAGGTTGAGGATACCTATTGAACAAATTCGGTTTAATTTTTGAACATATTTATTTAAACATACAGGGTGTCCGGAAATTGTTGTTACTTGTCTTGATCTATTCACGTACGTTGATGGCTTGCTATAAACATTGAAAGGCTAAGACTTTTGTAGCCCTTAATTCAGGCAGCAGATCGAGCAACGTTGGTCGTACATACCGAATTTTTATACGCAACAGGACTACGAAAATGTCCGCCTTCGCCTCATTCTAGACATTACATACATTGGTGTAAGTTTGGTTGCATAATAATCATAATACTAGCCAAGAGTTAAGACTAACTCATTATATTATTTGTAAATTATTTATGCTTTAATCACCGTTTCTGTTTAAAAAGACAGCATTTTTGAATGTAACGTAAAATTTTTAATTTCTCCTGTTTGTATTCTAATGGAAATATATATTTATATCTAATATTTGATATATAATAATACTCTCCCTAATTCACCCCCTTACGAGTGAATTTTAACCCCAAAAGCTGAGCTTGTGCGGGGAAAGGGACGGCTATTATTATTATTATTATTATTATTATTATTATCATCATAAGTGCCTTTTATAATTTTTATTGTTATTAAACTATCCATTGGATAGATTTTAGATTTAGTTTTTCTGTTTAAGAAATTCTAAGTATGCCTGATGATGGCCATGTTAAGTCAAAACTAGTCGCGACAATCTGATTTAAATAAAAAAATATTGTGGCATTGATTTTACGAGTTTTTCAATGCATATAATCTTTAATTTTTGTCTATTTTATTCTATTTTGTGTATTTTATATATTTTTATTCTATTTTGTGTATATTTGTATTTTTCTTTACTTTTACTTCACATGTTAGATCTAAATAAACAAGATCTACGTTTTTTATGGGTTACCCTAATGTTTTTTTTTTACTTCAGAAGTTTTTATGTTAATTCAAATTGTATAAAAAATGGTATTAGTAAAAATAAACATTATTACTATTATTATTGTTTTTTTTTTTTATTTATAGGATTTATTTTTAATCTTTTAACATCCAAATCCTTAAAAACTGGATCAAAATACTAAATTTGTTTTGGCGAAATGCGTCCACGCTGCATATCAATGAAAGTATGCTGTGATTAAATGGCGCCATCCAGGATTTGAATTATGATTAATCCCAAGTCCGGAACGTGGGTAGGTATTATTGAAGAACGTCGCGACAATGCGGCTCCATCAAACAATAAAATTTCTTTTATTATATCTTAAAGTTCAGTTCTAAAATAGTACAGTCTGTTCACTATACTTACGCGGGTTTCGGATTAACAAAATTATGCAAATTAGTCATTGACAACCATTTCCGATAAGCCTCTTCCCAAGAAATTAGGTAAAATTGCCCTAATGGTCAGATTTAAATTAAAATAACATTAGGGTAGGTACTAAATTTGTTACAAATATTGCAGTTGAATTGGTTCTTTGTATGTATATTGTAAATTTTAAAAATGCCTAGGCGTGTGTTAGATGTAGATAGTCTAATTTGTAGTGTACATAAGTATTTTACGGATGAAAAAGAAAATGGCGGTCCTTTAAAATCGGTAATGCCTGTACAACAACGCGTATGCGATGCCCTAGGAATTAGTGAAACCAAATTAAGGGGATTATTACAAAATCACAATAGTGAACTGCCGAAAGAAGATCACCGCAAAACTCGCCCATCATTGAAAACGAAAGATATTCCAGATGGAAAGAAATTTGAAATTTTTGATACCATTTATCGAATGAGGGCCAACAAGGAACATGTGACCTTAAATACAATTCTCTCGGAATTAATAGATAGAAAATTTGACGACATTGGCAGAACAAGTCTATGGCAAGTGATACATAACTTGGGTTTCAAATTTCAAAAGGAGGATAACAGAAAGGCCCTTTGTGAAAGAAGTTCTGTCGTGCACAAGAGAATTAACTTTCTAAGAAAATATTCTAAATTTAAAGAAGAAGGGGCGAATTTTATATATTTAGACGAAACATGGATATTTTCTAGGGGTGCAACCAAGAGAATATGGCAAGTTGATAACGTAAAGTCCATCAAACATACCAATGGAGAAGGAAAGCGACACATAATTTTACATGCAGGAGGGAAATCGGGTTTTATAGAAGGTGCTGATTTAATATTTTCATCTAAATCAAAATCCAGTGACTATCACGATAATATGAACACAGAAATGTTTGTAAAATGGTTGCATGAAAAACTTCTCCCAGGTTTAAGTGATCCCAGCGTAATTATTTTAGACAATGCACCTTACCATTCTGAAGTATTAAACAAAAGTCCGACGAATTCTTGGACTGTTGATAAAATTAATGAATGGTTGACAAAGGAACATATACCATTTCCTCAATATATATTAAAATCAGAATTATTACGCTTGACAAATATACACGCAAAACCAAAAACCTTTGTTGTGGATCAGATTATTGAAAGTTACGGTCATCAAGTTTTACGTCTGTCACCGTATCATTGCCAGTTTAATCCCATCGAATATATATGGGGAATAGCAAAACAATATTATGACAACCATATTGGGCCTAATGATTATAGTGACGACGCAGTTCGGAAAAATTGGCGAAAAGCACTTTCAATTGCAACTCCAGAAGTGTGGCAGAACTGTATATCCAAGTGCGAGAAACTAATAGAAGATTGGTGGACTCGTGAAAATAAAATAAACGAAATAAGTCCAATCATAATAACAATTAATGGTGATGACAGTGATGATGATGATGATGACGATTATGATAATTTGGATGATAATGACTGATTTTCATTTTTGTTGGCAAGTTCAATTTTTTTATTTTTCATTCGAAATTCTCTACATGGAACACATTTTTATATTAGAAAATATTTTATTTGAGCTAAATAACCCTCTTATTATACATAGACCATATTTTCTGTGTGAAGTGTAATATAAAATTATTATTAGGCTTATAATAGCCACATTAGACTCCATTAATGAAGAAGTTTAATTCTGCTCTCAATTATACAAAAGATTTTTCATTATTATTTAATTAAAAAGTTGTACATTATTTTTCATTTCATTTAACCAGTTGATATTTCCCCAAAGAACAGGTCAAACTTTCGGGTACTTATCTGGAAATACTCATAAAATTTTTAATCCGAAATCCGCGTAAGTATAGCTATTCTTCTTTTATTGAATTTCCTAGATGACTTTTTAATTTTTTTTTTTCAAGAATGCTACCCTACCACTGTAAAATATCTGTTTAAACACATTTGCAATTTCTGTTTTGTTTGTTATATTTATGTGGTTCTGTTTTATTTCAGATATCTCCTGGGTTTTGCCATGATTTTGAATATTTTTTACAACTTGCCACATACGTTTTGAGGAATTCTTATTTTTACTAATTTCATTTTTATAGTAGTCAATTTTGACAATTTTTATCAGATCATTGAGTTGGTTTCTGTATATTTTAAATTCTTTTAAAGCTTGTGTATTGTTTGGTTGTTGTTTAACTGTTTTATATAAAGAATTCTTAATATTAATAGATGTAACTAAACCATGTGTAATCCAAGGATTACGTTTGAAATGAAAACGGTTGATCTTTATTACCCAGCTGCTTGAGTTTATGTACTATTTTAATATCTATGTTATTTTATTAACATCTATGTATGGAAGAATAAATATCTACCCAATTTTCCTGTTATAATATTTTATGTAATGAATTGTAATCACATATTACTTTATGATATTTGTTTTGACTTGAATCTTTCAGATTTGATGGATACTGGTATTGTAAAATTTGAGAGAAGTGATCAGTAATTGAAGACCAGAGTACTATGGGTACTATATTTTCTAAGGATTCGCTTGAATTAACATGAAAATGATCCAGGCAGATTTTACTGCTACCCTGTAATCTCGTGGGTGAATTAATCACTGATATGTATCCATGTTCATGCAAAATAGGGTGTCCATCTATAAATTGACACATTTTAACAACTTATAACTCGAGAATTAAAAAAGATATCTAGATCTTCTACAATTACTTCAAGTTTTTCTTGACATTGTTGCCACATGTAATTTTTTTCTGGAAAGTGCCGAAAAAAAAACGAACTTTTTTGAACCAAAATTGTGAGCTTATTTTAAATGGAACACCCTATAATTTTTAACATCCTAACATCCTCGAAAAGACCATTTCTTCCCCTTTCCAAAAATGTATACATTGTAAGCATTTACTTTATTTTTTAGGGAAACATTCACTTTTTTATGCAACCATGTCAATAACTTCCAAACGTAAGGTATCACAATAAATTAACTTATAATTTGGGAGTAAGGCAATGTATTGATAAAAGGTTTTCGCCAAAATTCTTGGAAATGTTTAAATTTTTTTCTGACATAGTTGCCAAATCTTAAACTTGTAAAGTTTTCGTAAAAAAAAAATTAAATTCAGATTAAGGTCTTATGGCGAATGAAACATTTCGTATCTCTCATAGTCCTTAGATAGTTTATTTCTTTGCCTTTTAAAAAAAGTCAATTTTTTATAATTTTTTTATTTTAGGTTTTAATTTTAGGTAATTAAATCAATGTTATCGGTGTCTATTACATTTTGGTGGCACATATCGAAATATAAATTGACGTTTTACATCGAACGATCATTGATAAGATACTGTTTTTCATTGCCTTGTCCCTTAGGTATAAATTTCAGAATAATATCAAGTAATGATATTTTACTTATAAAGACAGAGGGGAGCACCTCATACCACACGGATTTTTGTGGCGTAAGTGGTGTCCCACCACGTTGGTACCTATCTGAATTTTTATTGAATACAAAAAATATGTACTAAAACATTAATAAATTAATTGTTGAATATGGCCTCCATTTTGATCAATACATATATGCAGACGCATTAAAAAATTTGTAAATGCATTTTGCAGCATTTCTGGGATAATTGTATTAAACACATGAATTATATTATTCCTCAGTTCAGTTAAGTTTGTAGGTGTTGGATCGTAGCATCTTTCCTTAACATACCATATAAAAAAATCTGGTATAGTTAAATCCGGAGAATATGGAGCCCATTCGATGGGACCAGCCCGACCTATCCATTTATCTCCAAAGGTTGAGTTCAAAGAATTCCTGGCTACAAGAGAGTAATGCGGTGGAGCACCATCTTGCTGGAAATATACAGTATTTAGTATTTCTTCTTGTTCTAGTTGAGGATAAAAGAATAGTTCTAGCATATCCGTGTAATTGTTTCCATATACTGTTTCCTCTTGAAAGAGAAATGGTCCATAAATTTTGGTTTTGGACACACCACACCATACATTTACCTTGGGAGCATCTCTTTCAAACTCGCTGAAAGCTCTAGGATTTTCGTCACCCCAAATCCTACAATTGTGTTTGTTTACGCGTCCACTTAAATGAAACGTTGCTTCATCTGACATTATTAGATTTACATTTGGTTGATATCTAAATAAATCTAATAACGTCTCACACATAAAAACTCTCTTTTCAAATGCATGATTTTCAATTTTATAAAAAGTCTGAACCTTATATGCTTTAAACTTGATTACTTTTAAAATTTTATGCACCTTACTCTTTGACATATGTATGGATTGAGCAATTTTTCTAATAGATATTTTATTATTGTTTCTTGCTAAAATTTCCCTTATCTGTATAACATCATTTAAAATAATATCTTGAGCGTTTTTAATTTGTCTTTTTTTCTATCTAATGCTCCCGTTTCTTTAAACTGACTTACCCAGTTTAAAATAGAATTTCTGGTTGGCGAATTTTTTTCAAACATATTTCTAAATCTTTTTTGTGTATGTGTAATTGATCTACTTTCAATATAAAGTAAAACGCACCGGGCTTTTTCACTTTTGGTAAACATTTTTTAATACCTGCTTTCTCTTGCACTAATTAATACAAATATAGACTTCTGTCAACTCGATTTGTTTTACATAGCACCCTTGATAAATTAGTAGTATCATTTATTGACTCATTCATATTCTATCCAAAGCGCTGAGTAGGTTAATTTACAAAAAGAGGAATATTAAATAGACAAAAAAAAAACAGATATAGGTACATATTAAAAACGCTTAAGACATTCTTTTAAATGATGATTTATGGATAAAGGCTTGCAAATAAACGTTACAAATACGAAGAATTTTATTCATCATAAGCCCTTAATCTGAATTGGTAAAAGTAGTCTTTTACGAAAATTTTAGACATTTGAGACTTTACAACCATTTTATAAAAAAAATAAACATTTCCCAGAATTTTAGTCAAAACCTCTTATCAATAAATTGTCACATTATCGAGTTAAAGGCTTTTAAATTGTGATTACTTTACGTTTAGAAGTTATCGACATGGTTTTATAAAAAAGTAAATTTTTCCCAAAAAAATTGAATAAATGCTTACAATGAATACATTTTTGGAAAGGGAAAGAAATGGTTTTTACGAGGATGTTAAAAATTATAGGGTGTTCTATTTAAAATAAGCTCACAATTGTGATTCAAAAAAGTTCGTTTTTTTTTCGGCACTTTCCAGAAAAAAATTACATGTGACAACAATGTCAGGAAAAACTTGAAGTAAATGTAAAAGGTCTAGTGAAAACTGCATCTCGATATATTTTTCCGTTTTCGAGTTATAAGTTGTTAAAATGTGTCAATTTATAGATTTAAATACTCTTGACTTACATCAGTTTCCTCCAAGATATTAATATTTATGTCCCCAACGATTATACCTATTTATGTGATTATTTTGCTTATTTTGCTTTAAATAATTGTATAGATCCTGATTGAATTGGAATGAACATGTACTGTCGCTTTTTTATCATAAATTTGTGGTATAAAAAGAATGACACATTTTTCTACAATTTTTCTTTTTTATTAAACACAAAGTTATTATTAAAAATCCTCTATACGTTTTTATCCTGTTTGAAATGTTCATCAAATATACAGAGGGAGTAAATAAATATGTATGTATAATTTTAATAAAATACCGTCAGTACATCTTTTTATGATAAATAGTATAAAATCAGTTTTTGTATATCAATACATGTACTTTGAGAAAAGATTTCTAATAAAACATAACTATTCTGTAATTAGGTATCTATGTAAATTTTATTTCACCCTGATTTGACAAAAGTTACCTAATGCTTTTATAACCAATTTTTTTTTTTTTTAAGAATGTATGAGTTATTTAAATGAAGGTCATAGATTATTTAAACCAGCACTCATAAAAATATTTTGATTAATTAATATGCATTCCGAAATGCCCTACTTTCGATTGACAGAAATTTCAGATATTTTAATTGTTGCTTTACTTACAATGTCGGATCCACTTCGCCCTCTGCGTCGGGATCGACCAGGGGTCTAGCTCCTGGTGGCTGCATGGGGGCCCCTCTGTTAAATTCGAAATCAGCATTTTCCATTTCAGCACACGATTGTCAGGATATATCCTTACCGCCACTGGCTCTACTGCACTCTGCCGCCTACGCATGTTCACCTGACGGTCGATAAGGGACGTGCGCAAGGGATTTTCTCTATTACGTTTTTGTTCGGGAATAATTTAACTTTTTTATACAAGGTATAAAATTTTTTATCATTTAGCTATTGTAAATATCCATAGTCCCGATATTAAAAGTTTCTTGGACAAATGGGCATAGCTGTAGGCGTATCCTTAAGGGTTTCAGAGATTTACTTATTCTATTAAATTTTCTTGGTAATCTGAAAAGTGGAGGCCGTAAGAGACCCAAATAAGGGACATAGTGGATTAGAGCAGAATCGGACTGATTGAAAAAACCATCAAACGGGTTTTGAGTAACTATATTTTGATTAGAATGTGTTGGTTCCGTTTGTTATGGCATTATAAGTGTATTTATGACAACATTATCAAAAAAACGTAAAAAAATAATGAGCAAGTGAAAAATTTAATATTATAATGTTAAGTAAATAAGGACAAATATATTATTTATTTATTTATTTATTTATTTATATTTTTATATTGTCTGAGTGAATAATGAAAAAATATTTATACAGTATTTATGTTATTATTAATATTGTATCCAAAGTTGTTGATCAAAATGAAAATAAAAAAACAATAATTTTATCATATCGTAAATATTAATATTTTAAAACATTTTGAATTAGATAACGATAACATTATTCTAACATCATGTTATAATAATTAATTATTATAGTTTTTAACAAAACTACAAACACAACAAATACAAAATCTGTTATTTTTTGTATAATAGGTAGAACCTGCTTTTAATAAAAAAAAAATCATTTTCAAAACCATTGGCTACAAATGTCAAACAATCATGAACTGTAAATAATTCCCTAACAAGTTCAGCTTACATGTTCTTCTAAAATTAACGTTTCTTTTTTTATCTAAAAATCTTATAACTAATTACTTATCTATGACCATGGAGCTGTCTTAATTGTTTCTATATGAAAGCATCACAAGTTGGCGTGACGATTTATTACACTGTTTTACACTAGCACTAACATTAACGTTCACTGCACTAGCTCAAATGGCTTCTTCCTTTTGAGCCTTCTGTTGAGTGTAGAGTTGTCCAGTAATTATTTCTTCTTCGATTGTTGGCATCTTCAGGCCTCTATGAAGATAATCGTTTCGGTAGAACCAAGGTGCATCAACAATGCATCTTAGGACTTTATTTTGGAAAACTTGTATCATGTTGATATTACTCTTGCTGGCACATCCCCATAGCTGTATGCCATAAATCCAGATTGGTTTTTGGATTTGTTTATAAATCAGCAGTTTGTTGTGCACTGACAATAACGTCATTGTTTATTCTTGTTTTTGTTCATTTGGTCGAAGAGTAAAATCAACATGCCCTGATTTAGTTTGATTTATTTTTATTTTCCACTTTTTTGTCCATCGATTGATTCTGTTGCAGGTTTACTGAAGTTTTTCTGAGGTTTCTGTATTAGTTCCGCCAACTGCCAATATTGCAGTGCCATTCGCAAATGTTGCTATTAACAGATTGTTGTTGAGGGATGTCGCTGGTGTATAATAAGTAAAGAACCGGTCCTAGCACACTGCCTTGTGGGACACCTGCTTTAATTTCTTTCTTTTTGGAGTTTGCCTCGTCTTGCTTTACTCTAAACATTCTTCCCGTTAGATATGATTAGGCCAGCGTGCCAAACCTTGTCAAATGCTTGGGCTACGTCAAGAAATATATATATTTTTCTTCGTAAGCTTTTTCGATGATATCGGCTATCCTGTGTACTTGATCTATTGTCGACTGTTTATTTCTAAAACCAAATTGGTGCGAAGGGATCAGATTTTTATTTTCAATTATTGGTTTTAGTCGTTTTAGTAGTAGTTTTTCAAATAACTTAGATATTATCGGTAACAATAATATAGGTCTATATGATGACACTTCATTCAGAGGTTTTCCTGGCTTAGGAATAAGCATAACTTCAGCCATTTTCCACGCATCAGGTATATATTTAAGGCGAAATGCTGCATTTATGGGTCATATCCTGGGGCTTTCTGTGAGTTAATGTTTATCTGAATTTCTTTAATAACTTCATTGGGAGTAACTAGCTTAATTTCAAGTTGTTCCATATTATGGATGGTCTCATTAGGAGTGTCTTGATTTTCATCTAATTGGAACGTCTTTTGTAGGTGGTCAGCAAAAATATCAGCTTTTTGTTGATTGTCTCTTGGCCATTTGTTATCTGCTATTCTGATTGGAGGACAGTGTTTACACGAATTTTTCATCTTTTTAGTTGCCTTCCAGAGTAAATAATCAGTTTCTTTATCATCTGTTAGCCCTACTAGGTATCTGTTGAAGAATTCTTCTTTGTAATTTAGGATTTCTCTTCTCAGTCTTTGGGTAGCCCTATTTAATATATTTTTATCTTCTGGTGATCTTGTCATCTGCCATTTCTTTCTTAGTTTGCTAGGGTCGGTTTGGCTTCTTTTTGAATAACATTATCACTTAGAGTAAGGATTAGTGCTTGCGTATAGTTTGGTAAAATTTTCCTCAGCATAAAGAAATCCAAAAGGTCTGGAATCTTATTTGGATCGGTGGTCCAATAGGTGGGTTTTTCAGAAGACCAAATTCTGATGCAGCTCGGTGCAATTATTTTCCTTTGACTGTGGTTAATCTTGAACCCCAGTTGGTGTTTTTGGAGTTGTAATCTCCACCGATTATAAATTTGTTACCTAGTTTTTTGAGTACATGGGCAATAGATTGCAGCTATTGTTTGCTGCTGAAGTCCTCAAGCCTTTAGCAAATGTGTCAGTAATTCGACTGCATTTTATATCAATTACCATGCAAGCTTTTTTTATAAAAACAAACTTTGGTTTAGATAAACTACGATGGATTGTTTGGATATGGCTCTTCTTACAAAAGAAATAAGAAATCTGCAGTAAAAAGTTTTGAATATCAGCATTGGTTATAGATCTTTGAAAGTTGTGGCAAATTAGAAATCATGTCATCGCAAATGAAGAATTAGGTATTAGAGAAGACAATTTATAAGAGGTTTGGAGTCTAAACTAAAGAAAACTTGAAGATGTCTTATATGAATGAAAAGACGTTTTTGTCAATGATAGTAATTACTGTATAACGTAAATTAATTCATTTTAGATGCAATATTTGGAAATTGAAGCAATTCTAAGAAACGTATCAATAGGATTGTTAAAACATTGTGTTTCCGCTGATAATTTTTTAATATTTATATCTTTGACCCATTATTTAGAGGATTATGAGATTTCCGTTGTTTTAAGTACCTATGTATTCAGCGAATTTATTGCAAATTGTCTCAAGTGTTTTGTTGATAAAACTTATTCTATAAAATTCTACTGATAATTCGGTTTCTTTATAAGCAAAATTTTATTCAATCGATGCATATTGCATCTACTAACACAAAATGAATAAGGTCTTAATTTGTTTGTACATTTGTACCATTAGTTTCGTAAATGCAAAACCCCAAGGTAAGAAATATTTAAAATATTTATCAGTTTATCAGTCGCTCATTATTTAATATTCAGAAGAAGAAAATGTATGCAACTGATTTCTAGTATTTTCATTATTATTGGAATGGGCCACAAAGCTCTTGATTCTCCCGCAATGGTTGGTCTAATGAGAAGGTTTTTTTTATGACTTGAGCATTTTGATAAAATTACGAAACCTAAAACACCCACTTAGTGCTGATGCTATTGCATACCAATTACATTGAATTTATGAGCTTTGGAAATAATGTATGCATTAATATAATTTTAAACAAGGGTGTAGGTGGCTCAGTTATTCAATTCCCATCAATAAAAAATTAATTTTAATACAACGATCATTCATTGTGTGGTTCTAATTATTATTAATGATGTTCCTAAAGTGAAAAAAAAACTGAGACACAGATAAACAATAGTAGTTTCTGCAACAAGAGTGAACGATTTTTTTCTACGACCCACTAACGAAAATCTATAAATTTATCAAGACAAAATAACAAATTTTTAAATAATTTATGTCTTTTACTAATTTATTACTAATTATTTTTTAGGTTCGATAGATTTGGAGACACAGCAAAAAAATATAGTATGTTATTTTGCTAGTTGGACAGTATACAGGACGGGAAAAGGAACGTTTAACGTAAATAATATCGATTCAAGTCTTTGTACCCATATCAACTTCGCCTTTGTTGGACTTAACGCTGATGCTACCATTCATGTTTTGGATCCTTGGGAATCCAGTGATCCTTCTGGTTTCAGTAAGTGAAATATATAAATACAAGTGTTTAAATATAACAATAACGCTATTGCTACAATGTGGTTGTTCGTTTCAGATGGGTTTAAAAACATAGTGGCCTTAAAAAAAAACAATCCCAATTTAAAAGTATTGCTCAGCATGGGTGGATGGAATGAAGGATCTGCTATATACTCAGACGTTGCTTCTGATCCAGTAAGAAGAAGAAAACTCGCCGAAAACGTTTTGCAATTTCTTCAACAATGGGGTTTTGATGGATTCGACATTGATTGGGAATACCCTGGATATAGGGGTGGAAATATAATTATTGATAGGGTAAGATATTATTTAATGTTATAATATAAAAACAATGGCAATTTAATTGAAATCAAATCAATTTTTTATGTATTCTTGAATATTTTTTGATTAGACTATTGTATGTTAATAAATGATTAGTATTCTATATTATAGAATAGACGACAACATAATTATTGGTCTATTTTAATTTCATAACTGATATCTGCTATGGTTATCATCATTGCCTTAGGCTTATGACATCTGTCATCATTTTGTGTTTGCCCAGAAAGTGCTGTTCAATACTAAACTTATATGGGCATAGTCCATAATTTTTCTTTTTAATACTACATTATTCATTTCTCATAATAATTATATATCTATTTGATTCTAAGACGTGCAAATCTTTTTAAAGTTACCATTGTTTAAATATCTGGTTGTCATTCTAAAGCAGATGCAGATAAAATTTGTGGGTAAAAATTTATTCGGTCTAAAATCGTTGTTTCTAATAGGACATGTTTAAACATTGCTTAATCTCCAGTTAAATTAGGAGCCACATTATTTCCAAGGAAAATGCAGATAACTACAAAATATATGTTAATTAATCTTCCATATTACTAAAACGACATTCTTTTGTTTAAATTAAAGTTCTTTTTTAATTTCAATCACTTACAGAACTGAAGTTATAATTTTGAAATTGTTTAATGTTCAGAATGATAATCACAAAAAATTATGCCACTAAAATTATCACCAATATCTACAATTTTTTAACTGAAATATAAATGCCAATAATCCAAAATATTCATGGAAAGTTTATTTTAATTTTAGGATGATTTTACTGAACTTTTGAGGGATTTAAGCTCCACTCTCAAACCAAATGGCTACCTATTGACTGCCGCTGTAAGTGGATCAGTTGATAAAATAGATACTGCGTATGACGTAAAAGGAATTAATGAGTAAGCCTTACTACAGTCTGTTCGCTATACTTACGCGGGTTTCGAATTAAAATTTTTATGAGTATACAGGTAAGTACCCGAAAGTTTGACCTGTTCTTGTTGAAAATTAGTCATTATCATCCAAAATATCATAATCGTCATCATCATCACTGTCATCACCATTATTTGTTATTATGATTGGACTTATTTCGTTTATTTTATTTTCATGAGTCCACCAATCTTCTATTAGTTTCTCGCACTTGGATATACAGTTCCGCCACACTTCTGGAGTTGCAATTGAAAGTGCTTTTCGCCAAGTTTCCCGAACTGCGTCGTCACTATAACCATTAGGCCCAATATGGTTGTCATAATATTGTTTTGCTATTCCCCATATATATTCGATGGGATTAAACTGGCAATGATACGGTGGCAGACGCAAAACTTGATGACCGTAACTTTCAATAATCTGATCCACAACAAAGGTTTTTGGTTTTGCGTGTATATTTTCCAAGCGTAATAATTCTGATTTTAATGGTATATGTTCCTTTGTCAACCATTCTTTAATTTTATCAACAGTCCAAGAGTCCAAGAAATCGTTGGACTTTTGTTTAATACTTCAGAATAGTAAGGTGCATTGTCTAAAATAATTACGCTGGGCTCACTTAAACCTTGGAGAAGTTTTTCATGCAACCATTTTACAAACATTTTTGTGTTCATATTATCGTGATAGTCACTGGATTTTGATTTAGATGAAAATATTAAATCAGCACCTTCTATAAAACCCGATTTCCCTCCTGCATGTAAAATTATGTGTCGCTTCCCTTCTCTATCGGTATGTTTGATGAACTTTACGTTATCATCTTGCCATATTCTCTTGGTTGCACCCCTAGAAAATATCCATGTTTAAATTTAGAATATTTTCTTAGAAAGTTAATTCTCTTGTGCACGACAGAACTTCTTTCACAAAGGGCCTTTCTGTTATCTTCCATTTGAAATTTGAAACCCAAGTTATGTATCACTTGCCATAGACTTGTTCTGCCAATGTCGTCAAATTTTCTATCTATTAATTCCGAGTGAATTGTATTGAAGGTCACATGTTTGTTGTTGGCCCTCATTCGATAAATGGTATCACGAATTTCAAATTTCTTTCCATCTGGAATATCTTTCGTTTTCAATGATTTGCGAGTTTTGCGGTGATCTTCTTTCGGCAGTTTACTATTGTGATTTTGTAATACTCCTCTTAATTTGGTTTCACTAATTCCTAGAGCATCCCATACGCGTTGTTGTACAGACATTACCGATTTTAAAGGACCGCCATTTTCTTTTTCATCCGTAAAATACTTATGTACACTACAAATTAGACTATCTACATCTAACACACGTCTAGGCATTTTTAAAATTTCCACTAAATTTACAATATACATACAATGTCAACACTTGCAAAGAATCAATTCAACTGCAATATTTGTAACAAATTTAGTACCTACCCTAATGTTATTTTAATTTAAATCTGACCATTAGGGCAATTTTACCTAATTTCTTGGGAAGAGGCTTATTGGAACTGGTTGTCAATGACTAATTTGCATAATTTTGTTAATCCGAAACCCGCGTAAGTATAGTGAACAGACTGTAGTTAATTTATTATAAAATTTGCAAGAAAATGATGTCGATTTTAGGATTTTTTATGAAAAATCGGTATACATAAAACAATATTAATTTTTAGAATACTGGATATGATTAACGTAATGGTTTACGACTACCACGGGCAGGATTATGAAATGTTTGTGGGTCATGTATCACCATTATATGCCTCTTCGTTAGATTTACAACATGACAAAAATGCAACTAGCAATGTGGTAAGTACCTATACCAATTCGCTTCTTTATTGACTTGTAAGTAGAGTCGACTCTCGTGTTTTTTATCAATTCGAGCATCCCTGAGGAGGGGTCCAAGAAGATTTCTCCCAATCAGGCTTGAGTTTTAACCTGATTTTCCTCTTCTGGAAATTCTAATGGTAGCACTGCAGCGTCATGCTACTATTTGGTGCTCTACTAATTCCCAATCATTTAACTCATGCATTCAATCCATATTGTCCACCGAATAAATGGGTCTCTTTCAACTGTTAGCATTTTCAGGTCTCTCATCATTATATTATGTCGATATTGGTCTTTTACAGGCCATCTACCTCATCTTAGGAGACAATACATTTTTTAAATGTAATACCAAATTCTTTACGATTTTTTGTGTCCAAATAAAATAGATCATTTTAAATGTAGGAATAGTTCAACTTAATTTTTATTACATCCACTTCTGTACTTCTAATCGTATCCATTGCTATGCTAATGACAGTACTTGGCATGGAAGTATCCATACCAAATCGCCAACTCAATAAGTAAACTAATTTTTTGATTTTAAAAATGTTTTTATAGAAAAGTGGAATGGAATATTGGATTTCCCATGGCGGGGTTGCTGCAAAACTTAATCTTGGTATTGTAACTTATGGAAGGACGTTCACTTTAGCTGATCCTACAAATTATTCGTTATATGCTCCCACTGTAGGCGGAGGATTAGTTGGACCATATACTCAACAAATTGGTATACTAGGATACAATGAGGTATATAAGTTTAATTATTAAAATAGTTATTTATTTATATTGTTTTTAGCTTTTATGCCATGCCAAAACTTTTTGTTTTAATTTTATAGATTTGTGAATACCATCTACGTACAAACTATTATTGGGACGATGAGCAGAAAGTACCACACAGAGTTTGGGGCAATCAGTGGGTTGGATTTGAAGACAAACGGTCCATAGAATTTAAAACTAAGTTTGCTATTGATCATCAATTGGGAGGAGTGATGGTGTGGTCTTTGGATACTGACGATTTTAGAAATACATGTAGAGGTGGCGCATATCCTTTATTAAATGCTGTTAAAAAAGGATTGTACGCACTTTCATAATAAACTTAGTGTTTTATAGGGAAATATTAGTTAAATAAATTATATAATTATATATTTTTTGTACTTTTATATTATTTAATAAATTTATAAAATTTACTTGAATTTAATTAATATGATGGGCAAGTAAAGAGGGCCAGAAGAAATACCAAAAACTGACACAATTATTAGAAGAATGTCCCAGAACAAGTAGGTAAATTGGACAACCTGTATAGGTGGGTTGAACAGATGGCCTTCCACTGTGACTTAGATGGATCTCTGAAGCTGTCATAAATAATATTTCACCGTAAAAACCACACCTTTTGATGAAGGCAATAGTTAAGTTAGGGAAGACTTGTTTAAAGTTCGTAGGCTCCAGTCAAGCAAAGCCAAAGATCTAGAACCTAAGCGGGACATCTACATAGAATCTGTTCTGCAAATACGATTTCAAGGCCCTAGATGATAATATCATGTCATCAGTCACGTTAGAATGCAAAGGCATTCATAGAAGGATTGGGTTTTGTTGGTGATTTGCTTCATATTTTTAGTTTTAATCTTGTCGTAACAACTGAAAATAAAAAACGTTGTTAAACTTGTTTTCTAATACTAAAAAAATTTAAGAATAGTTAAAAGAAGAATTAACAAAAAGAATGAAATATATAGATGAAGCTGCAAGGAAGAAAGGGCTAAAACTTGTGTAGCCCTCAATTCAGGTGTTCGGGCTTCAGAGCGAGAGACGTGAAAATGTCTACCTTCGCCACATTTTAGACACCATTTAGGCAATACAACATACGTTGGTGTATGTTTGGATATTAATAATAATAGCAATGGAAGAATTTCGTCCCGATTTGTGGAAAGACGATTTGCCCACGAAAGAGCATTTAGGGCTTACAGCCCTAATGCCAGTAAAATTAACGTCGATGTTTATGTGGAAAAACTAGAAACTAAAAAGCAGACGACAGTGGTGAAGATGAAGATATGGAAGATGATGATGATGAAGAGGAGAGAAAAAATCTGATAAGTCAAACCAAAGAAAATCTGAAGATAAGAAGGATTCTGAAGAATCTCCGGGAAAAAAGCAAAAGGAAGATGATTAATAAATTCCAAAAATATACGTTGTCATTTTTAAAAACTACTTTTATATTGTTATTAAAAATTTTTCTATTTTAATTTATTTTTTTTTACTGTGGTTGAATCTATCTACATAATAAAAAAAATATTTCGTGCCCAGCATTAAAACAAATATGCTTCCTTGATAAAATCTATTTGTTTAAGGTTTTTCCAAAAGTACTAATAACGCTAAAAATGAATTTATTCCATACGTATGAACGACACTGCATAATCAATTTCAATAGAAATAAAAATGAATGATTCAGAAAGATTAAGATAATATAACAAAAGACTTACCATTTGAAGCAGCTTCTTTCTCCTAAAACAACAAGAAAAAAATGTAAGAAAAATGAATCAACAAGTGAAAAAACCAAAAGATATGTAGTGTTGTAAAGATTTTTAGAAAAAAAAACAAGAAAAATTTAAATCAAATTACCATTTGAAGTCGCTCATTCTTCTTTCACTTTCTGTCCCATTTGTTGTTCCAGTATAATTTCTTTCACCTTCTCCATAATATCCATTATTTCTAGTAGATTTTCCCGATTAAAACGCGTCCGGAAGAATCTTCTATTCCCGACGACATTCATAATCATCGTATCATGTTCATTTCTATATCAACCCTTTGACACGTAGATGTATCTCTGGGAAGTTATATCTGCAGCCTTGTCTATTTGATCCTGGAAAGTACATCCGAGGATATACATTCTAAGAACAAACATCTTTATTGTCAGAAATGAAATGAACATGAGCTCAGACAATTATATATATCGTGTTACCGATTGACTCGAAAAATCTGCGGCGATTTAAATTGGTTTTTGCGGAAATTCGCTGAAAAAAAAAAACAATAAATAGGGAATTTTTAAAATGTAAAAAGCAATTGCAATTGCTCTTATTTAAGAATTTCATATATTATTTGGTATTTTTGTAATAAATCTAATAGGAAACATAAAAAAATATAAAAACCTTTTCTAAAGCGATCAGAAAATTTATATTATTTGATAAATATGTATACCTCTCAAATTTGTTATAAATACCTAGTCTTATATATTTACGTTCTTTTAATTATCAAATGTTTAGTTTATAGGTATTGTTAATTTTATGTAGTTTTAATCTGTTTCTATTGCACATAAAGATGTTTTTGCATCTAGGTGCATATTATAAGAATAATTTCTTATAGTAAATTTATTTGATTTTGTATTATAAAATGTTTATTCTTTTTCTTAAATAAAAAAAAAATAAGATAGAATAATTAAATAGATCCACTAACAAAAAAGTTTAGTCCATACAGAATGTTTTATTATATCTCTAATAATGCTTGAGATTTTGTTTTTTTCACACCAATCGCTCACCTGCATAATGTCATGTTATTCGTGTACCTATAGGTACTCGTAAATTATTGAATCAGCAACTATTTTGGGATTATCAGTTTTAATCGATATTTTTGTTAATATGATATTTTTGATAATGATTTATTTGGAGAACGTAGGGACTTTTCATAAGATAAGATGGAATATAGATTTAGGTTCTAACAAGAATAACTTTGTTGTTTGTACATTTATTTCATCGAAATACGATTTGATTGGCAGCTAGCTAATGGATCGGCATTAGAATAGTTTTAATTAAATTATTTTAATTAATTTACTGAAATTATATCTCTCAGTTTGACAGCCACATATAAAATACAGAAACAATTTGTAAAATGTAGAAATAGAGGATTTTCTTGTGAAAATTTGAAATAATCTCGGACGGTGGTGACTTTTTCACGATTACAATACTTCCATCTTGTTAAGGGAATATAAAAAAAAATTATAAATTAGAAACGAAAAGCAATATCAGCATTAAATGTTTAATCAACATCAAACTCTATCAGGAGATGAAACTTATTAGTTCTGAAAAAAATAGAATACAAATAGGGGGTTAAAGGGGGTTGAAATATAAACTCACAAACGAAAAGCGATATCAACATGAAATATTTAGTAAAAAATCAAGCTTTGTCAGGGGATTAATCCTATTGTATCTGAAAAAAAATCTTGATAAAATTTGGGGGTTGAGGGGGTTAAAATATTAAAAAAAAAACAGAAATAAAAAACGATATCAACTTAAAATCCCCTAAGAAAAATTAAGCTCTATAAGGGGATGAAGCCTATTGACTCTGAAAAAAAATATGGATCAAAAGAGATGTCAATGGGGGGGGGGGGGTCTGTTAAACTGTGAAGAGTATAAAATAGAATGGGAAGCATATATCTTCATTCTACTTATATTTATTGTTTAAAATTAAATACACTCACCGGAACGAAAAACGGAGCAGTTGAATTTTTTTTAACAAACTTAAAATTTTAATGCTTTGTGATGTTTTATTATTATAATATCTTAAACATAAACAAAACAACATGTTTTAAGTATTTTCTAACAACAATTGAATCTTTATTTGAAGAAAAAAAGGGTTTTGTAACAATTTAAAAAACGAAGACGAAGAAGCACAAATTGGTGTTGTTGCTAAATGACCTTAAATTAATCAAAACTGAAACGACTTGCTAGCAAAAACTGGGGAGCCGCATTTTTAATAACGTGTGTTGCCCCCACGTGCTCGAATAATAGCCTGCATCCTCCTTGGCATGCCTAAAATTAAGTGGCGAATGTCCTCTTGAGGAATATGTTCCCATTCCTCTAAAAGAGCTTGTTGCAACTGATTTAAAGTTAAAGGAGCAGGAACACGACTTCGCATGCTTCGCCCAAGCATGTCCCAAACATGTTCAACTGGGTTCGCATCCGGGCTTAACGCTGGCCACTCCATAACAGGAATGTTTACATCGTTTAAGTACTGTTGAGTGATTCTCGCGATGTGAGGTCTGGCATTATCATGCATTAGAAGAAAGTCATTTCCAATAAAGTCAACATAAGGGACAACAAAATCTTGGAGAATTTCATCAATGTACCTGGCAGCAGTTAAGGAGCCTCTCGGAAGGATGTACAATTCTGTGTGTGCCTCCATAGAAATTCTGGCCCACACCATAACTGAGCCTCCTTGGTAGCTACCCTAGGACTGAAGGTACATTCTGCGAAACGCTCTTGTGGTCTTCGCCATACTCTCTCACGACCATCTGGAGACCGCAGGCTAAATCTGGACTCATCCGTAAATAAAACGCGCCCCCATTCATTTTCACCCCAGTGCTCATGATTTTTGGCAAACTGAAATCGCGCAATACGATGATGCCTAAGAAGCTCTGGGCCTGTTGCAGGCCTACGACTGGTAAGATTGGCTTCTCCGAGTCTTCGTCTAACTGTCCGTTCACTTATGTTGGTTTGCCGGACGTGATGAAGTCGATTTCTGATTTCAACAGCCGTAGCATGACGATTTGTAAGATGATAAAGCGATCATCATGAGCGCTAGTTCTTCGTTGGGGACCAGTTCCAAGTCGTCTGGTGTAAGCTCCAGTTTCCAAAAAACGTGTAAAAATACGGTGCACAGTGCTATTGGATATGTGATACTGTTGGGCAACATATCGCTCACTTCTTCCGTCTTGAAGCAACGCAACAATAGCAGCCGCTATTTCGGGATTAACAGCCATAATTTTGTAGGTGAAATAAACGCAGCACAACTTTAAAACGTGTTTCGATCTGTCAAGTTTCTCAAAACAATGAAAACAACAGCATTGTTGGTCATGGTTTTATAGCCAACTATGCACTTTGAAGTGATAAGTCCGTTCAATTTTTGATTTATATTCAAAAACGCTTTTTTTCTTCAAATAAAGGTTCAATTGTTGTTAGAAAATGCTTAAAACACGTTGTTTTGTTTATGTTTAAGATATTATAATAATAAAACATCACAAAGCACTAAAATTTTAAGTTTGTTTAAAAAAAATCAACTACTCCGTTTTTCGTGCCGGTGAGTGTATTAATTATAATTTTACATAGTATTAAATATTTCTATAAATTGTTATTTTTTAAGTGCAATTGTAGATCAAATGTTTTGTGGCACACATATCGCTGTCCTCCTGTCATAATTTTATCTTAATGCACATCATCGAGTATCGGAGAATTGTATTTTTTTGAATACACATTAATTTCTAAATAAGTACCTACTTACAGTTTTATCAGATGAACTATTTTTAAAATCATAGGTATATAAGTAAGAATGTTTTGTATATATTTCATTAGTTACTGAAATTTAACTTACAAAATGAAGATTCTGATATTGTGCACTTGTATATTTTTATTAAGTTGGACTGTAGGTAAGAACACGTTAAAATTCTGCTAATCAAAAATATGTTATATATTTTTTAACATCTTTGAATAGTAATTTGATCAAATATAGTAGAAATTCGGACAATCCACTCAAGCAGTAGGTACATTATATTTTTCTACCACCCTTTACAAAAAACTACAAACTATAGTCTATTTTTATGTATGAGAGAGTATTAAAATAACAAAGCGTTCGTAATCCATAGGCGTATCACTTCTTTTAGTAGACAGTTAAAATATTTTTTGAAGTTATTCCTCGAGTATATACTTATATTTTCACCTAATTAACCTGCTTATAACTTCTAAACAGCTGAAGGTAAAAGAGTGCAATTTTTTCTAAAATGTTTTATTTTTCCACAAGGTATGTTAAGAACATTGTGTCAAACGGGTTATGTAGGTATAAGGGTTTAAACTTTGACTTTTAAACAACGTTACGTTCATAAATAATAATGTTAATATAAAAACTACTTCTTACCTACAAATCCAAATCAGAATCGAAATCAGAAGATGAACTGTTGCAACCAATATTTACAATGAGTGGCTCGATCATTTCATCAGTAATATTGTCCAACTTCCACATTTTCTCTTCTTCTTTAATCGTATGATTTACGGCCTTTTCCCAGTTTTCAGGCTTCACATTATTTACAGCCTCCAAAAACAACTGTTTAACATCACTCATTTTAAAAGAATTATTTTTTCTTGAAACGTCTCCCTTTATCTGTGCCCATATCAGTTCAATTGGGTTTACTTCGCAATGATATGGTGGTGATCTAACCACCGTCATCCCACGATTTTTTGCAATTTCATCAATTTCATATTTTTTGAATTTCTCTTTATGAAGGGAACACAAATGATACAGTTCTTTTCTCACAGAACCGGGATGGAACTTAATATTCTTTGAATTTAGCCAATTCTGTAAATCTTTTTTTAACCACTTGGTTGTGGGCATTTTTTCTATAAGTCTCGAGTGATAACTTGCATTATCCATTACTATTATACAGTTCTGAGGAAGAAGATCTATAATTTGTTCGAACCACTCTTTAAAGACATCAGCATTCATGTCCTCATGGTAGTCACCGGTACAAGTAGATTCAAAAGTCAATAAACCACCTTTAACAAAACCGTTTGAACTACCGATGTGTACTATTATTAGTCTGCGCCCCTTTCCTGATGGTGGATTTAAAGCAGTAGATAAATTATTTAAAAAAGCCTGTCTTCGACTTGTAACAGTTTCATCTTGCCAAAATTTATTTGGTTTATGTCCCTCGTTGATCCATGTTTTATTTAAATAAAATATATTTCTTCTTTGGTTTCTCATTTCTTTTATAGTCTTTAGGTAATTTCTTCTCCATACTACAATATCTCTTCTTTCTATTAAAATAGACTTTCTGGAATGTTTTTTTCATAGAAAACCTATTTCTTTTAAAAGTTTTCATAGTGTGCTTCGACTCATTTCAGGGTAATCCTTATCATCTCGAACCGTGGCAAGAACTTTGTCTACTGTCGGAAATTCTTTTCTAAAGAAGAACGCATGCACTTTCCTTCGAAGTCTTTCTTTCAAAAGATTTTCTAATTGAAATTTTGGTTTTCCTGGAGCTTTACGTGCTGTTTAAAACTCGCCACATTTCTCTTCTTTAACAACTCTGTAAATCGTAGATTTCCCAACACCAAGCGTACTACTAACTAATTCCACTGTGTCATCAACACTTTTACATAAATGTTTGTCTGTAAATGATTTAAAACAATTAAATATTAATGTTTTTTCATTAACTGTTAAAGGACCGATTTTTTGTCGTTTACGCGGCCCTTCCAAATTTTCCATGATCACACTAGAATTCACAGTGCACCTTGCAAGTTGCAACTAAACGACATTTAGTAAACTGTCAAGAATACACAACTTGGACCTCCTTACTAAATGGAAAACCTATAATCGCATTTTCGGTGAAATTTGTTGGGAAGGTATTTATCTACTTATAATTCGATTACTGTAAGAAATTCTTGGAATTAAAATAAAACAAAATTGGCAAATAGGTACTTATTGAAAATAATCTTAAGATACGGCTATGTAATCTTTAATACACAGGGCCTTTGGCCTGTCCACACCTTTTCCTATTGTTCTGTACAGCTTATGTTTATAAAGGACCAATAAAAGACCCAAAACTTGTAATAGCTCAGGTACCTACATTTATTACAATTTTAGGAAATATTTAGATTATTCTGTAAAAATATTTAAAATGACCGTACTTAGAAATGCTGTTTTATTACTCTCTCATACATAAAAATAGACTATAATAAAGGTTGTTAAGAGAATATAAATATTTTAAAATGAATTAACACAAAGCTTTTAATTCCCAACTTTTTATTAATATATAAAACAAACTTGAAAAAAAAATCGTTGATAAACAAAAATTTTCTCTTAAGCATTGCAATAATAATAATAATAATCTCCCTAATTCACCCCCTTACGAGTGAATTTCAACCCCTGAAGTCGACTGAACGACTTGTGTAGGGGAAGGGACGGCTATTATTATTATTATTATTTGCCGTGGCGCTCCGGGGCGACTTAAAGATGATTGATGGTGCCATTTGACTTACAGGTGAGGAAAACCCGGAAAACCTCACCCACCATCATCGAGACGGTAAGGCATGGCGATTTTTTAATCTGCATGTCATATCAACAGAAATTGAATTTCTATTAATACGGTACACATCAAATCCTAAACCGAACCATGCAATTTAATTAAAAATCCACATAGTCTGGTCTGGAATTCGAAGCCCAGCAGTCTCAGACTCATAAACTTGCCTATAAATGAATATAAGCGCGTTAGACCGCTACACTACCGACCCGATAAATTTAATTCCTATTTCAGAGATTCATGGAGAAGAACAGTCCAAGAAAAACGTAGTTTGTTATTTTGCAAGTTGGACAGTTTACCGAAATGGAAATGGAAAATTTGATGTACCAGATATAGACGTAAATTTATGTACGCACATTAACTTCGGCTTCATTGGACTTAATGAAGATGCTTCAATTCATATTCTGGATTCTTGGGAATCTGATGGTCTCGGTGAGTAAAAGATTTGAAACAAAAATTATCTAATGCAATCAAATATTGTGTAGAACATTAAAAGATTTATAATATAGTAAACCTTCTTGTACATTTCAGAAGGTATCAAAAGATTGGTAGAGTTGAAAAAACTCAAAAGTGATCTCAAAGTACTTATTAGTATGGGCGGATGGAATGAAGGTTCCAGAACATATTCAATCGTAGCTGCAAACGCAACAAAAAGAAAAATACTTGCAAATAATGTGTTGTCGTTTATCGAAGAACGCGGTTTTGATGGTTTTGATCTAGACTGGGAATACCCTGGATTAAGAGGTGGCGACCAGGCTATTGACAAAGTAAAATTTACATATTAACAACGAAATAATTCCTTGTTAAATTATCAATTTATTTTTAGGATGATTTGACTGCTCTACTTAACGATTTAAGTGATGTTCTAAAACCTAAAGGATATATATTATCTGCTGCAGTAGCTGGAGCAGTGGAAAAAATTAACATTGCCTACGATGTGCCGAAAATCACCAAGTAAGTTTGATATTTAAAAAAACAGTTAAAAAATGAATTATGGATTGGTTTTTTAATAATAACTTTTTATAATTATTGTGAGAGTGTCATATGTTATTATCATGTTAATATTCTTGTTATAAATTTCAGAATTTTGGATTTACTGAACGTGATGGTTTTTGATTATCACGGAGCTTTTGATAATTTCGTTGGCCACATTTCTCCATTATACCCAGCAGAAATAGATTATAAATACTCAGATAATAGTACATACAATGTGGTAAGTTAATAATAAATAAATAATTATATAAATTTTGGTGCAAATTCAATATTTTCTTGTTATAAACATATACTAAGTTTCAACGTTTCAATAATAAAAAGGACTGCTATACTTTCGTCCTGGATTTAGTACTTTTTCAACATGTTTAGTTGTTAGTTGTTGTACCTTTTTGTTAGAAACAATCAATTCAATACAACTGGTACTTTGCGAATAAAATGACGTATTTTATTTATGGTAGATGACACGAAAATAATCTTCTTGTAGGAAGTACCGAAATTATTAATTGAAAATATTGTAATCTAAGCTGGAATCTAAGTAAAGTATTTGCTTCACAAACTTGAAAATCAAATTGTTTCTCGTTTCTTTTATTAAGGTGCTAATTTAAACTCCCTAAACTAAACCAATTTTAGGATTCTGGAATTCAGGAGTGGCTTCACAAAGGTGCCGATCCAGAAAAAATGAATATTGGCATAATTTTGTATGGGCGAAGTTTTACATTAGCCGACAAAACTAACACTGCATTATTCGCTCCAGTTCGGGGTGGAGGAATAGAAGGAATATATTCCAGACAAAGTGGAATACTTGGATATAACGAAGTAAGTAGTATACGTATAAATATAATCATAATCTATTAGATTTTCAAAGAGTGATCTGGATTTAATTTTCATAATATAGTGGTTCAATTAAATCTGCAAAAGTTGGATATTTTAAACATTTTAAGAAGGTCCTTTCGCCCCCAATGTTAAATAAAAAATATTAGATTATGACTAAAATTAATTTTTTTCTAATAGTAGATGTCCTTATTTATCTAATAGTGAACTTTTAACTATACCTCACCGTGCAAATTTTTGAGAATTTTTTTTTTAAAAATGTGTGTGTTTGTACAGTGTCTTATGAGAAAATAAGACTTCAGCAACAATTTTCGAATTATAATTAATTTTACTATTATTTATTGATTAGATGGAGTAGAAAAAAACTAAAAATAAGGTTTTTGAAATATTTAGGTTTTGTATTTTACAATAAAATATATAGGTTACCGTGGAATTTATTGAGAAATTATTATTAAAAAATCACAAAAAATGTTCAACTAGGTTACTTGAAAATTGTTGTTGTTGATTGTCTCTTAAAAAAATCGCAGCCACCAAAATGTTTGTTGGCTTGTGTAATCATTCAAATTTAATTTAGGTGATTTTTTTGTAGATATGTGAATTTCATTCAGCCACTACCTACGTCTGGGATGATGAACAAAAAGTACCTCATAGAATATGGGACGATCAATGGGTTGGATTTGATGACGAAAAATCTATTAAGCTTAAAATTGAATATGCACTTGAAAACAATTTAGGAGGTGCCATGGTATGGTCATTGGATTACGACGATTTCAAAGGAATTTGTGGACATAAATATCCATTATTAACCGCTGTTAACAAAGCTTTCGGCAATCTTTAAAATAATATTTAATATTCAACAAGTTTTGTTAATATGTTTTATTATTAAATAAATATTACAGAGGACATCTGGTTTTCATTTACACACATTTGAGGGTGATGAATGTTAAAAAATGCAATATTAGCTTCTGACCTAAATGAGGTTCAATCTTTTTTCAAGAAAATAAGAAATTATGATGTAATCATTAAAATACGAAATGGTCCCTATTCGCTACAAATAACCCCCACTCGGTTTTACAGGATTTTTTGGTGTTTTTGATAAAAAAGCAACTTTACTACAAGTTGTCTTCCATTTTTATATATTTCTACACTTCCAAAAAAATTTCCACCAATAATTAAATAGTCCATAGTTCACCAGATACGTACCCAAAAAATTAAAAGACTCAAAATGATATCTACAGATAAGTCCACTTGCTTTTTATATTAATATTTAATCTATTAATTACAATTAGGCAAATTATCTTTAATATCATATATAAGTAGCAGTTTTTTTATCGATTCCTTACAAAGTCTACACAAAATGAAGTTATTACTACTGTTCACGTGTGTAGTTTTTTTAAACTGTATCTTAGGTAAGAGGCTTTGATAAAGTATTTGAAAGTATCTTCATAGTTTGATATAACTAAATTTGTATAGATTGTATAAAGATAAGTAGGTAAAGGAGGAGATTGTACAGTTTAATTCAAAATTTGTTTTTTAACAGATGTTCAAAATTATATTTATTCGATCGTCATTCCTAGATGGATAAGAAATTGATAACTCATCAAACCTTTCAATATTATGGTCTAGTCTTACCAAGTCTTAATCTTTAGGACGTATATGAAGTGTTAGTACCTTTGTAATTCCTTGTGCTTTCTGTTTTAAAGGCGCTTAGGAAGAAGTTTTGTCGCCTCTAACAGAAAATCAATTTTAACATTCTATAATAATTTATTATCATTATGAAACATTTGGGAAGAGGCCAAAGTAGTAGTTTACAAACCGTTGATAATAATCTTACCCTTTAAAGAAATAGAAATAGAATTTATTCATCTTTGAGAATTATACACTAAAAAATCCTATCAGACTAGTCAAAAAAGTGTTAAGTAAAATACATTAAAAAATAAAATGTATATAATAGACAATTCATGTTAAAAGTATGGTGAAGAACCCCAAAATATTAACCCATATTGTAGAGTTGAATGAACCAAACTAAAATAGGATAGTTTTAAAATATCAAAAGATAGTGTCTCCCTTAAATTTTTGATGATATAACAACAAGTACTTAATTTTGAAGTTACCATTTTTATATGAGCTTCCCAATTTAATTTGGGATCTAATATTATACCTAAAAATTTTATGTCATCAACGCTTTGAATAGTTTTTCCGTCAACGTGCAAGTAGGGTTCGTAATCTGGTAATATGTTTTTGGGTAGAAATTGCATGAAGTTTGTTTTTGTTACATTTAATGCCTGACTGTTATCTTTACAATACTGGTTAAACTCACGAGATGCCTTGTTGCTACTTTGAGTGACCTGTTCAATTTGATCATTTACCATTACAATATTGGTATCATCGGCATATTGAACTATTTGTTGAGAGCTTAAACAAAAATTACTTATATCACTTATAAAAACTATAAAAAGAAGTGGGCCCAAAATTGAACCTTGGGGAACTCCTATTGTACATGGAAGAGGATCAGATTTTAGACCACTTGTTACAGTTACTCGAATTCGATTTATTAAGTAAGACTGTATCCATTCATAAGGTTTCCCTCGTATTTCTAACCCATTCATCTTCAATAATAAAAGATTATGATCTACCATATTAAATGCACGGCTAAGGTCATAGAAGAGTCCCAAAATATGTTTTTTATCATTGAGTACTTGATATATAAACCCTAAGCAAGCTGCAATTGCAGTAGATGTTGACTTATTTTTTCTAAAGCCATTTTGAGTATCTGACGACATTAAAACTTTCAAGGTAATTAGTGAGTCTAATAGAGTATGCTGAGTCAAATATTTTAGTTATTTGACTAGATATACAGATTAAACGATAATTTTCTATATTAGATGCAGATCCCTTATTTTTATAAACAGGGATTCCTTTAGATTCCTTCATATTTAAGAATAATCCCGAAACAAAGGATTCATTAATCAAATGTGATATGGGTTCAGCAATACAAAATGAGCAACCGATAATAGAATTTTACCATTTATTTCGTCAATACCTTCAGTGGGTTTAGAAGTAGTTTTTTTGATTATAGTGATGATTTCACTAGGAGTTGTTGGAAAAAGAAAAAAACCTTTATGATGTTTATCAATACTCATAATATAGATAGGTACAATATTATTTTTATTTACATTAATAAAATAGTCATTGATATAATTTACTTTTTCTAAGGGTGTTAATTTGTCATCATTTGTAAGTTTAATAGGATTCAATAAGTTGTTTTTTTTTCTTTTTCCCCTACTTTCGTTTATTATATTCCAGGATTCTTTCATTACGTTATTACTTTTTAAAATACGATCATTATTTTTTCTTCTCAAATATTGTTTTGTTATTTTTTGATACTCTTTTTTTAAATTATTGTAACGTTCTGTATAATATGTAGAATTTATTTCTTTCTTTAACCTGTTAATTTCACATAATAGATTATGTAACTCTTTAATTTGAGGTGGAAACTGATTTTTTAATTTTTGTGGTTTTATCGCTTTCTTTGTTTTCGTAAATACAATATTGTAATGGTATAGGAATGATTCATAAAATATAGAAAATTTATCAGTAAAATTAGTAGATATGTATACTTCACGCCAATTTTCAACTGATAAAATATTTATAAAAGTCATTGCGTTAGGATCACTTAAATCTCGTTTATATCTGTATTTAAATTCGTTATTTTCAAAATTAGGTAGTTTAATCGAACGTAATAATGATCAGACAAAAAAGTATCATATACACCCACCTTATCTACATCAAAATTGGTAAAAAAATTATCTAAACAAGTTGAGGTTGTACTTGTTGCTCTCGTTGCAACATTTATATGATGTTTAATATTAAATTCCTTCAATAAGTCAATTAAAACAGTTTTTTGATTACCTTCAATCAAAAAATCTACGTTAATATCACCACAGCTAAAATACTGATTGTCGTTTTGATAAATATTATTAATTAATAGCTCTAGCTGATTTATAAAAATGCCAAACTTAGTACAAGGTGGTTTATACACAGTAATAATAAATAAAAAAAGTTTAGAATCGATCTTTATTTTTCCACCACATACTTCAAATTCACCTTCTATAAACCACCTATGTAAATTAATTAATTCAAAATTTGCAGCAATACTTGTTTTCATAAATATACTAGCACCACCTTTTTCTTTATTTATCCGTAAAAAATATGATACTAGCTTAAAATCATCAATTGAGGTAGCTTGTAAATTGTTAGAATCAAGCCAGTGTTCAGTAACATATAGAATACTTATATTTTGTTTCTGTAAAATTAAATTTAGATCAAAGCATTTATTGGCAAAACCTCCCTGTATATTGATATGCATTAAAGTAATATTTAACTGTTGCGAACTGCAAAATAGTAATTCATTATTTTCTTTCAAAAAGTGATTTTCCATAGTAGTCCTTAAAGTCCCTATTTTATCAGGTTTGAAAAATTTTCTTCACTCTTATATAAGAGTGAAATGCGATCTGTGGTTTTGTGAATCTTCAAGAAATAGCTGACCTTGTTTAAAGTTGAATTGGGAATAAATTATATTTTTCGGCCAAAAATCTGATTTATATACTTGCTCCTGAAAATGAGGATCTATTCCCATTAGAAAAGCTAGAATATTCTGTCTTACAAAATATGTGTCTAGTTTCTTCACATAAATGTCTTCTGCGTGTGTGCGTTTATGAATGTATTTCTTAACATTCTCTTCATTTACAGTGTCTGATACTCTAGATACAAAGAGCCAAATTTTTTTGTTTGATTTTTCCTTTTCTTTAAATTCATCATCACCTTCTCCACTTCCCATAATTGTTTTGTTTTTTCTCCTTTGTCGTCTTGTTACTGTGATATAATCATTCTCATGACTCCCCTCATTGGTATCATCTACTAGATTTATTATTTCATTAGTTTTTTGTAGAGTTTGAATGTTCATTAGTTCTAATGCAACTTGTTTCCTATGGAGGAGTGAGTCATCCTGTAGGGGCATTCCTATAATCGCCTGTGTCTTTGTTTGGTATTAAATGTTTATTTCCAACAGGTATACTCACACTTTTAGTTTTTGTTTGTTTTGGTTTTTCTATAAAAACTGGTCTTTTATTATCACTGATAGATAAATTTAGGATTTATTTCGTTATATTGTAAAGTACAATTACACTAAGAACACAGCTACGTCGTAACTACTATCTCGAATTTCCATTTGTCAGTTGTTTGGTTTAAAAATATTTTTCCTACATTTTTAAAGTGTCAAATTAGAAGGGACGAATTAGGCAATTATACTTTCATTAGTTTGCCATTGTCTTCTTAAGGGTTTAATTGATTTTTGACAATGTTATCGCGACCTAGATTCTAATTTGAGTAGCGTGGGAGAGAGGCCTTAAATTTTTTCTTATTGAACGTGGGAAAGTAATATTTATCTTATTTCACAGGTATTCAAGGACAGGACAAACCTAAGAAACATGTGGTTTGTTATTTTTCCAGTTGGACAGTCTACCGACCAGGGAATGGAAAGTTTGATGTAGAAAACGTAGATCCTAGCTTATGTACGCATATTAACTTTGCCTTTGTTGGACTTAAAGAAGATGGATCTGTAAACGTTCTGGATTCTTGGCAAGCTGATAAGGATGGTCTTAGTAAGTAAAAGTCAAAGTAAACCAATGTTACATTTATCCTAATTCATTGATATGTGGAAATTTAACGCAAATAAAATGAAACAGATTAAAAAGCAAAGAAAGGATGTAGTGGTTGGTTAATTTTTTAACAAAAACAACAGAACTACTAAAGAACTACTAAAGACTGCCACAGAAATTGCTGTCAGTATCTGTCGCTGTTGCTGACTACTTCTCTGCTGTTTACAAAATTAATAGAGGAGTAAATTAACACTCAGATTTATCCCAATATTATATTTGTTCTAGCGAATGCTTAAAATATTCTAGCATGTTCAAAAAGTTTAGAACTTGATCCTGGGACAACCATACTACAACAAATCAATGACTTGCAAACCAATACTTTCCAAAGATGTTCGACCTTGAGTTTATTACAAACTGGAATCTAAACCACATGGTTACTGTTCTATATTTTATTCTAATTCCACTCAAAATAGATTTTATATCTTTCAATTAATATTATATTCTAATTACTTACGTAAATTGAATATTAAAATGATTTTCTAATTTTTGTACGTTATAGATGGTATCAATAGATTACTAGAACTAAGAAACGTTAAAAAAGATTTGAAAATACTAGTAAGTATGGGTGGATGGAATGAGGGTTCGGAAGTGTACTCAAAAGTAGCTGCCAATGAAACCACAAGGAAAATACTTGCAAATAATGTTTTGAAGTTTATCGAAGAACGCGGTTTCGATGGTTTTGATTTGGATTGGGAATATCCTGGATTAAGAGGTGGTAACGAGACTACTGACAAGGTGAGGTTTACAAATAATAAACAATTTAAAAAATAAAATATAGTTAATTATTAGTTAAGGGGTAATAGATATTAACTTTGCAAAAATAAACTTTATTAATAAATAATGGTTGAACAGCGATAGTTGTAAATATATCTCTTCAGTAATGCTATTTGCTGACTAAGAGATTTTTTATCTTTAGGTTGCTAAGTAACAAAGTGTTATTTAACAATGTAACCAAACATGAGCAAAAGAATCCTGACACTAGCCTCTAGCCTCTAATCATTGGTTCGATCCTAGACGGGGCGTGACTTAACAAGTCACGTCACCGTCTTCACAGAAAGAAGCGTTGAAAAATAATTTTTATATAAACCTGATAATCAATAACGATGCTTTATATTGTGATAAATAACTAAAGGTATCATAAATTCTTGATGAACTACTGGTTATATTTTTAGGACAATTTTACTGCTCTCCTTAAGGAGTTAAGTGAAGTGCTAAAATCCAGAGGTCTCCTATTAACAACCGCTGTAGCTGGAGCTGTGGAAAAAATCGATGTTTCCTATGACGTGGCGGAAGTATCTAAGTAAGTTGCAAAAAAGTAATATCTACCTTATCTCTAACTCAATCCAAATCATTTAAATATTTTGTGGGTTGGTAATTATTTCTCTAGTTTCGTATTGTTACGCCACTGAAATTTATGTGTAATATAATTTTAGAAGAAGGCTAATTAATAATAATAACAAAATAATAGAATCAATAGTTAGAACCAGCAACAGATTTTAACACCGAAAGTGGTCTTTTGAGGACCTAATAAGTCCTAAGTGATGTGGGGCAACCCACCTCTCTCCACCTTACAGATTTAGAAGTAGATATAATTTTTTTTCACTCAAAAAATGATGTCTACAAAGTTTTCAATAAAGTATTTGCAAAAATTTATTTGTTTTTTTTTTTTTCAGAGTAGTAGATATGATCAATGTGATGGTGTTTGATTATCATGGATCATTTGATAATTTTGTTGGTCACGTGTCTCCATTATATCCTGCAAAAATAGATTTTAATTTCCCAGATAATGAAACGTACAATGTAGTAAGTAAACATTTATTTCTTCATTGAACATCGACCTATTTTTAAACTATTTTTACACTGGTTCTTGCTATCGCAATTTATTTCAACTCAACTTTACAATAACTCAATTCAACTTTAACAATAACGATACAACTGATAACATTAACATGTAACGTCTATTATATAAAACTGAAACTCCGACGTCAGGTCGTCGATTTATATAGCTTGCTTGACCTTCTTGAACCTTCTCGAACTGTCGTCTAGAATATTCTTGACGGGTAATGACATTTCTGGATATTTCTGGAATATTCTATCTTCTTTTACTTGTACTTTTACTTATGACGACCGCAACATACGATGAGTAACATTCCACTTCTTTTTCTATCTGTACGTTTCCTATTATAGCTGCAGGATACTGCAGGGTGCTGCGTAATATTGCTTCCTCCTCTCTAGTTATTCGCCCCGAATAACTTGATTACTGGGACCTAGTTGGAACTAATGGGGAGGATCTGGACCATGGCATGGAGCTATCTTCCCAATGTGAACTACGTTGCGATTTCTGACGAAGTCCTCCTCGCTACTTGGGATTGCACAGCCATACCTTGTCGTCCCTGTCAAAATGTGTATCTGTGGCACGCCTGTCGATTCTAGCTTCTGCTTTATCGGTGTGGGCTTTCAGTCGTTCCCGAGCGAATCCATAGACCTTTGTCCTGCCACTGCATACATCACATTTTTTACACCAATCCGCTACATCCCGTCGACAATTGACCCAATAAAATCTTTCCCGAACTCGTGCCAGTGTCCTTTTAGTATCAAAGTGTCCTCCTGAACGGCTGTTATGAAGCTCCTCCATTACTTTTCTCACCTGTGACCTCGGCAGTATCACTTGGAGGACTACATGTACTCCATCGGGGCTGTCCCACTTCTGGTGCAATAGGCCATCGTATTTGGCTATCTCTTGCCAAGTAGGTGTGACTTTATTTTTGAGCCATTCTCGGACAACCTTTAAGTCCTTGTCTTTCTTATGTCCCTGTCTCAGACTTTCAAGGGTAATTTCTTCTTCGTCGCCCTCTGGCTTGATAGTGGTGGCCCGAAGAGTAACTTTATCAACCGGTTCTTCTCGTTCTTCGAGCCTTTTACCATACCAGCATTGTTCCTCTAAACGGGGTTGCCCGAAGAGAATGTCTGCATTGCTATGGAGACCTCCTAGATGCTCTACTTTCTGGTTATTGTTAGAAAGCCGGCTCGGTGTGGGTGATTGGCTTCTTCGGGACGCATAGCTGCTGTAATTAATTGTTGGTCTTAGTGATGGGCTTGGAAAGATTGATCTATATGATTTTCCGGTCTCATTCGCTCATTACTTTAGTAACGTGTTTTTATTAAGTATATTATTAAGAAAAAATATCTACCATATCGAAAGTAAAATTTAATTATTAAATTAGAAAAATGTAAATATTATAATTTGTAGGATACCGCATTACAACACTGGCTTAACAAAGGTGCCGACCCACAAAAAATTAATCTTGGTATAGTTCTATATGGCCGCAGTTTTACTTTAGCAGATAAAACGAACACGTCACTGTACGCTCCAATTATTGAAGGAGGAAAGGAAGGACCATTTTCTAGACAAAGTGGAATACTCGGATACAATGAAGTAAGTAACGACTCTTTGTTTTTGTAAATATTGTTCCGTTGTATTTTTTGGTTTTTTGGGGCGTCTCTCAAGAAATCCAAAAGGTCTGGAATCTTATTTGGGTCGGTGGGCCAATAGGTGGGTTTTTCAGGAGATTAGTATGTACAACCAAGTTCTGATAAAAAACCTAAAACCACAAACACGCCCAAAACAACTGGAATCCTACAATCTACCTAAAGATGATGAAATGCCAAGAAAGCCTTCCTACATGGCTTATTTTGGCGATTGTTTCTTGTCATAGTATTTCTACGCTATAATATAATATTTCTTTTATTTGTTATAGATATGTGCATTTCATAATAATGGTACTTATGTTTGGGATGACGAACAGAAGGTACCTCATAGAATATATGACGAAGACCAATGGGTTGGATTTGAAGACGAGCGATCTGTTCAACATAAAGTAGATTACGCACTTAAAAATAACTTGGGAGGTATCATGGTGTGGTCCTTGGACTACGACGATTTTAGAGGAACTTGTGGAGAAAAATATCCCTTACTAACAACGATCAATAAAGCTTTGAACTTATTATAAACATGTATTTCTGAGTTTAATTGAATAATATATGTTCAAATTAATTATTGTGTTATTTTTCCAAGTAATTACGTGTTTTTAAAAACACCTAAATATTCCAGAGGTGTTATCAATTTGTTTATTTATTTATGGGCAAGTCTATTTAACTTACAAATTACAATTTTAAAAATTAATTAAAATATCACAAATTTTTATGTTGCTATTGCACAAATAAAGACATTATATATGTCATGCAGACTAGGAACATTTAAAATTAATTGAAGGTTAAAAAAGAGAAAATGCACTGTAAAACATTAGCATTAAAGCTCAGTATTAAGTAGTTGAGTTTTTAATGATGAAAAGGGAATATTGAACAGTGATCATTGTGCAAGTTAGCTAATGTCGCTGTTAAAAGCTTAATTTGATCTATAAAATGTTTGCAATTGCCTAGTTGAACGAGTTTGAACAAGAAAATATATTTTGTCAAGAAATTCAGGACAATTACATCTACTATTTATAATATTAAATACCAAAGTGGTTTTGCCGTCCCTACAGTTTTCAATCTCTAAAGCCGGCCCTGCTGACACGCAAAATGTCACCGAAATCAGAAAACGAAGAATTATAGAAAAATAAAAAGAAGAATAAAAAATTTTCTAGGTTATGGTTTATGTTTTATTTATTAATATTTACATTTTAAATTTAAAATAAATGAAATAATGTATTAATAATGAGTTCATTGAAATATCATCGTGAAAAACGACACCATTCAAAGAAGGAAAAAAAATTGATCAAACTAATAAAACCTACTTCAGAATCGGAAGATGAAGGCAGTGAACATGAATTATCATATTATTTAAATGATAAGGTAAAATTGATGAAAGAAGTTTTGAAGATTATTAAACCCAAAAAGATAAGAACTATGGCTCCAGATTGTATAAAAGTTAGTATTTTTGAGATACAATTAATTAACCCTAGATTGTCTCCCATCTATGCCATCGTCGATATAATTTAGGGTCTAGCTAAGTTTTTCTTAGTCTGTAAACTTAATAGATTTAAAAGTGTCTTGACATACATTGGTTCTATGATACGCTTTTGTTACTTTTATAGTTCCTATGTATGAGCCCTCAACTCAAAACATATACCTATGTATGATAAACAATTGTAAAGCAGTAATATTTTAAAATATACCTAGTAAGTGTTTTGTAACTGATACATTTTTAAATAAATTGGAACAGTAATTGCAGTTTCTTTAACAAAAGACTCTTGAATAACATTGACAATCTAGGGATAAAAACCAATGTGTGATTTATAATTACATTTTTATATTTGTTTGTTTAGAATATGGACAGTGAAGAGATTAATTCTATGCTGTTAGATGAGTTGTTGGGAATTTCAAATAAACGACTTAAACACATTTTTAATGGACAAAGTCTGAATGAAGAGGATAGTTCAACTGATCCAGAAGAGCAAGCAGAGGATATAATTTCTTTAGATGATATTAGTGATGATGACTTAGTAATAGATTTAGATTCTGGTAAGTCTAGTTTACAATTGGTATAGAAATAGATATTTTAAGTTAGTATAGAAAAAACATTTAGTTAATTTTTTTGATGTAAGTCTTTTATTTTTAGATCAAGAATCAAAAAAGAAAAAGAAAAAACATAGAATGAAAGTAAAAGAAGAAACAAAAAGGAAGAAAATAAAAAAAGAAAAGCATGACAAAGAACATGAAAATAAGAAATCTGAAATAGAAAATCCCATGAGTAAAAGCAATCTGATGAGCGTATTAGAATTGTTAGAACTTCAGGCTAGAGCCAGAGCTATTAAATCTCAGCTAGCTTTGGAAACCAGAATTTCTGAGACAACTAAAGAAAAATCACCCAAAGTGAAATCTGAAGAAGATGATGATGATGATGAAGTTATAGTTGAAAGTCCTAAGAATATTGAGATAATTATTACATCTAGTGAATCAGAAAATGAAAGCAATTCACGAAAGGTTAAGATTAGTAAGAAAAGTGGTAGGCAAACTGAAAAAGCTGCTCCTCTCACAGAAGTATCTGGAAATGTAAGAATAATTAACCAAACTACAATTAGGGAAGCAGACAATACTTGCAAATCCTCAGAAAAAGACATAGATGTTTCAAATAATTCAAAAAATAACAGCAATGGAGATATTGAAGAACAAAGGGACTTGCACGATCAAACAACAGAATCTCAAACACCTGAGAGCTCTGAAAAAACTAAAACAAACAGTGAATTAGCAACAGATGATCACCAAGAAGTTCAAAATTGCAATGATCACAAGAAAGAAATACAAGAAGAGGAAATTGTAGATACATCATCAGTTTCTAATAAAAAATTAAGTGATAATAACCAAAATGAAAAAGATAATTCCAGTCTTGAATCAAATTCAAGACCAGAACATCTTCCTGAAAAGTTAATTTCCACTTCTGAAGAAATGAGTAAATTTCAAGAGAAGGATAATGAAACTTCCAAGTTAGATGAACAAGAAGTGAATAACTTGAGTCCAACTATCAAGAATAAATCGAAAATAAGACTGTTAAGTAAACTAAAAAGTATCAAACATGAGAAAGAATTGTTATATAAAACAGTTAAAAAGAAAAGTAAAAAGGAAGCAAAAGAAGTGATTAACAGTTCTGATGATAGTGAAGGAATTATTATAGACCTTGAACAGACTGAGATGGATTGTATAAATTTAGATTAACATTTATTTTAGTATAATACTGATAATTAAATGTATTTTTGTTTTTATAATCCTTTTGTTTTTCCATATAAAGTGACATTTTTAAAATCGAATATATACATTGTTATTGAAAGTTTATATCAAAAAAGGAAGTTTGGATGTATAAAAATGGATTATGTTAGTAAACTACAACCTTCTAACATAATTTTATTTTGGACCTTATTTTCAATTCTAAATCTGCTCTAAATAATCAAAACAATACATAACAAAATAACCCACTTTGAAAACTAAATAACTTTAACAAGCAAGATAAACACCTTACAACAATGTGGTTGAGAATAAATTATAAGATTTTCTATTTTTCAAAATGAAATGAAAATTATCATTTTAAATTGATAAATTTTTGTCCGATGTTTTGAATCTCCCTGTAGATATCAAAGGATTCTTGGCACTATTTTAATAAGCACAAAACTGCGCAACTTTTGTCTAATTTAACCAACTTTCTATCTGTTACTGTTTAAGAAATAGCAATAATGTCCATATGAAATAGTAAGGACCCTGTATATGCAATAAAAGTAAGGAAAATAAACTAAAAATACATTTTTAATTCAAAATAAACAAATTCAAACTTAAAATGAGACTTTGGTAACAAAAATAGGTAGTAAGTGTCAATTATTGGTGCAGTTACCTTATTTACCTACTTAATAAAAAAATTAGTATTTTAAGCTACTTAAAACGCAAATTATTCCAATTAACAATACAAAACGCGGCGGTAGATTAAAAAGATGGGTAAGTATACTTAATAATAATGTTTTGTCTATATTATGCTGAAAATCCAACCATATTTTTTTAATATCTGTTTGTTTGGGATAAACTGTAAAAGAATGAGCACATTTAAGCTGTATGGGTTCCGTAAAACATGCAGAGTGTGAAACTGTGTCAATATGATCACTTTTTCAGTTGTCTACAATTATTCAATTAATATTTTAAAGGTGGAGTACTTACACGTAAACAGCTTGATTGTTACGAAAAAAGAAAAAAATTATTATTTTAAAAAGTATATACGAGTAAATACGACGTTAAAAAAAAACATGCTATAATTAGACCGTTTTTGAATAAAATGAATGTAAGTAATTTTTTTTTAACTCTAAAACACTTTATAAACAAAAATAATTTACTATTTTGAAAATACGAACTTTACATTCTGTAATATTTCATTAAAAGCCCTGTATAATTGACATTGTTTTAAAATTGTTGCTTTTTCTGATATAGATACAACTCGCTGTTAAAACAGATTGAAAAACAAGTATTAAAAATTAAAAAAAACCGACTTTAAAAACGTGGAGATGCCATCACCACATCTAAACCAAATTTATATGGGAACACCCCTGAGGTACCCCCTTACTAACAAAAACAGAATCATATAAATCGGACAAAGTGGTAATTATCGCTAAATATACATAAAAAATGAAGAGTTTGAAGATTTTCTCATGAACTCAATTATTCGATTTTGACCAAATTTATATGGGACCACCCTTGAAGTACCCCCTTTTTAACAAAAAAAGAATCATTGTAATCGGACACCGTGTTTAAAAAAACATAAAAAAAAAATATCGCGACGAATTGAGAACCTCCTCCTTTTTTGAAGTCGGTTAAAAAGAAATTAGTTTTGACTCTACAAAGCGAGACGTTACCGATGGCCCACCCTGTATATTTTTGTATCCGACACAAGACTCTTTATTTAAATGTAATATAAATCAAAAAGGGTTCAATGTAAGAAGTGGACATGTCCATATTTTTACCAAAAGTATATAATTTTTAATATGGTCCATGTTTTCTGATATATTTTACATCGTCCTATCCAAAAATAAGACTTCTTTCTCTAATAGTAACATTAAGTCAGTGTACCGTAGTGTAATATAGCAAAAAAATATTGTTTCAAATTTCCTAAGACGGACCTGTGCTTTTTCAAACGTTCGCGCCATCTTGTGTTTAGCCGCGACGCGAATCGGAGCTTCTCGTGAAACTTCGTGCTTCCTTCCCAGATTTTATATCGATTTAAATTATTGATTTAAAAAACGTTTTCTTGTTCAAGTTTAAACTATTTTAAAATTTTTGAGTGTATTGTGTATATAGTGTGTAGTAAATGCTTTCATTGTTTATTATTTAATTGGTCTATCGATTTTAGGTAATTATCATGATCTAAAGCCCAAATTTCTACCTGTGTTATTGAAGGATATTCCACAAAATCACCAAAACTAAAGTGGACATTATTGTTATAACATACATAACGGTAAGCTATGTCGATAATATTTAATTGAATATAGTCAAAAAGTTGATTAATTTTGTAAACAAATCATGAAAAAGCAGTACATAAAATGGACGCCCAGCTTTTGCACTGGCCCTTTCAACTTCTCCAAAAATATATCTCAAATACCTAGTGAATTTAAAAATACTTACATAACGTTGAAATGATCTAAAGTTTCATTGTACAGTAGGGTTTAGAAACTGCTATATTTCATATAATCGCGAGATACACCATCACTAAGTATCTAAGTAGGTATATAGGTACACGAAAAATACTTTTTTATTAATACACAATACAACTGTCGACACGGTTGTTAAATTAACGCAAACGTCCAACGATTTTAAACTATAAATTACACCAAAATTACAAAGACTTAATGAATATTTTCGCGAACTGTTTTTTTAAGATGGACGATGACCTCATCTTCCTCCCCTCGATTGGCATGGTACAACAATAGGGGAATTAGTTTTAAGAGAGGTGACTTTTAGGATTTCGGCCAATGGAAGCTCGCCATTTGAATCACGGACCTATCGAGGAGAAAACAAACGAGCGCGATTTTAAATGTAGACGGTGCTGGGATTTTGACAGTGATTACTGTGACAAAGCAGGTAAGAATAATGAAGAAAGTTTTATTTTATTGCGTTTTGATTTGTCCTATACGAGGTAATAACATACAGGGTACTTTTTAATTGAAATGTAATGCATAATCTCTAAAATACTATTGAGTAAATCCGTCCTTTTTTAAATGAGAAATATTAAATTAAAAACGTGAAATGGCAAGTTAGTTAACTATTATTACATTTTTGAAACGAAACAAAGTAGGCGAAGACGATTTAGTTTTTGACAAATGTGTGAAAGATCGTGTGTTGCTATAAAGAAGATGTGAAACATTTTTAAATTCTTGTATCAATAGAAAATGGTAAGTAAAATTAGAAATAGGTAATACATTTTCATTTCATAATGGTTTTTGTAATATATTTAATTTAGGCGAGTGCCTTGACGGTCAAACGACATGCAGAAAAATATCCCAACTGACGCTTACCAAATTCTAGAACATTTACTGCAATTGACGGTCTGTTGAGATAAATATTTACTTATTGTATCACCCATGGAGCTGTAAAATAGTAAACAAATGTTTAAAGTTCATTGTAATTAGGTATTTTTCACTTTAGGGGCCTATTAAAGTATTCATAAACATACAGTGGCGTCCTGTTTTAACCGAAGTTAATTCTCTAAAGCAGGGGCGGCTTATTGTGACCACAATTTTGGGGGTTCACAGTAGCAGAATATAGATCCCGGTACAGATATAGGTAAAAAACTGTCAGTGTTTTTAGAAAGGTATATTATAAAAACGCTGAAAGTTTTTTCATACATTTGTACTGATACCTATATTCTGTCACTGTGAACCATCCCACGAGCCGCCACTGCAGTCTAAAGTAGAAGGGATCCAAAGGGGGTACGAATCGCGAACCTTTTCCAACAACCTGTAAAATTAAAACAATTTTAAACACCGTTAACTCCATTTTATTGGTCAATGAATAGGTACTAACATCCCATGTACATTTTCATAAAAATATCTTGAGGAATTTTAAAGTAAAAACAAAAATCACTTCTAAAATATCCACTTTAACATCGTGTAACTTTTTTTACCATTCCCTAGGTTCTTTCCTTCATCCCACTGGTGTAAGAATGAATTACATCAACAGACACTAAACCTTACGTTTGGCCCTGTGTAAAATCCACTACACCTTCGTGTCGGATATTTTCTCTACCAGATATTTAGTAGGAGTGAATTATATTTGACATATGAATAAGGAATAAGGAGGAAGTAAACTAGGTAAATAATTGATTTAATATCGACCCCAGAAACTGATAAAATTTTACTGAAAATATATGTTTTTGTTACATTGCAGTAAAAAGGGATGATACCTAAAATAAATTGCTTCATAGATATTTTGTCGTTTTAAAAATCTTTATTTTTATATTATACATTTTTACTTTTATTCTGTTTTTTAATTTAAAACTTAATAATTTTTAAACTAGCTTTGCCTTTAATTTATACAACTCTATGTACAACTTAACGTAATCATGGTTGCATAACCGTAATCTAACGTTTAATAATTTATATGCATCTGTAAATCCGCCAAATATGGCAGATTTGCAAAGTTGCATATTCTGTAATCTCACCCTAAAACGATACATTATCGAATAATATCCTCATTTGAATAGTTTATTCTAAATCATCAGAATTCATCTAACTCTGAAGTGTCTGAGAAGACATCTTTTGAATGTTCTGAACTGCCTGTATAATTGATTTTCTTGCAGATACCTATACAGATACAGATTGAAATATTTATTTTACAGATGGCGCTACCTGAGAATTTTATAAAATAGGCTTACTCAATTTGGTAACAAAAACATTATTTTAACAACAGTGGCGGCGTATATAATTTAAATTGAATTAAACGGAATTATAATATTTAACCAATGATAAAAAAAATGTTATTTACTGAAATACATTATTTAATTTTATTACAGTTAGGTCTTCGACAAAAAAACACTGGATTTGTAAGCGATAAAAATCCATACTTAGAAATGTACCAGTGACGGAGGGGTTCCAATCTTTTTGACTAAATTCTGTTAGAAGTACGAGATGATTTATTTAATTTATACACTTAATTGATTTGAATATGCTCAGATACTAGATACAGGATGGATTTAATTTTCGTTTATAGTAAACCGCATGATATACTACAATGCTGTTATACAAATTTTCGTGTGGCAGTTATTGGGAATTTTGTTTATAACAAAACCTTTTTAACTTTTTTTATAATTTTTAATAATAACGCTTTTGCGGATTTACCGAATATCTCCGGAACTAGCCGGAAAATCTAGAACTTTTACGGACAATTGAATTTACTAGTCAAAATAGGAAACTTTCTCTATTTAAGCGACATTGTATATCATGCGATTTAAGAGATATCTTTATTTATACGCAAATTAACCGGTATACTTAAATACTAAATTATGTGGACATTTAATGTATCTATCTGCTCACAGCTCTGTCTCGATTTCAACTTACTGCCACAACAATTATGTACCAAATTACTTGATCATATATACAGGGTGTCCCAGAAAAAAGTGCCATAATTTTAATCACGTATTTAGCGGATCAAAACAAACCACTCTTGTCAAATAAGTTTATTTCTAATTGCCCTATGCCCGTATCTATAAACAAAACTTAGCGAGTTGGACTTGGGTAAGTCGCTCGGTAAGTCGTCCTTGAACTAAAATCGAAGTTCGATTATATTACGTGAATTTAGAGATGGGTAGTAACAAATCTGTAAATGTAGATAACAGTTACAGATTTGCTAATATCCATCTCTAAATTCCAGTATTACACCGCAACCCCTGGAACTTTAGGTGCGTTGTAACCGAACTTTGATTTTCGTTCAAGGACGACTTACCCAAGTCCGACTCACGTAAGTTCTGTTTATAAATACGGGCCCTAGTATTCAAATTTTTTTTCAAAACTTGTAATTTGTTTTAGTTACCCGCCACTGAGGTAAATCGAGACGTATAAATAAGTAAAATAAACTAAAATTAAAAATAATCGTCGGGCGCAAAAAATGTATAACATTGTGAATCATATATTAAAAACAGACAGCTCGTTAGGGTTATTTTAGGGTTTACACATATCAAACAAAAATGGGTAAATTTTCAAAATTTGTAGTTGACAAAAGTTGTTTGTTTTGATGCGCTAAATACGTGGTTAAAATTATGGCACTTTTTTTGGGACACCCTGTATTAATATGCATCTTCGCCAAAAGTTTCAATTTAGTATCATCGATCATTCTACTGTGTTCTAGACTGTGAATCGGTGTTGTCCATAGGCGTCCCATTTACGACAGGCGTAACACTAAGTTCGGTTTCGGGGATTTTTGTCCTTGAAATTAACTTTTCTTTTAATTTTAATATTTAATAAACAGACGGTTCTTGTCTTCTGTAGTTACGTTTGTATATTATATAATGTTGAAACCAAAATTTTAGTTCTCAAAAATGTAATTAGTTCAATTTTTAGCAACCAGCAATCTAGGACAAGCCATTTACATTCCTAGGAAATACAAAGCTCACTCAATGGCGCACCGTTCAACCTCCGATTTAACTGCGGTTAGGATGGAATACGCCATCAAAAAGGAAAAGAAAACGTTGATCCACCACCCAGCAAAGAGATGGAGGATCTGATTGAATACCTGGACCAGAAGTTTGAGATGGTAATAGGTTGCAACTCATTTCAGTTTGGGCAGTAAGGATAACAACGTTATAAGTAAGTGACTTTATGATTATATAATTACCAAAAATTTTGTTGTTTTTAATGCCAACATTTTTAAACTCTCGCAGTCAAACACTAGTAGATAATAGATATCACTTTATCCACAACTGGTATACTCGTATATAAATCAATTCTAAAATAATAACATTTCGATATCAGACCACCGCTAGTTAACATTCAAAATAAACTTGATTTTGCCGACACTATCCAAAGCACAATAAACATCGCCTATAAGAAATTCTGACCCCTGAGGCTGGTTCAACACGATCTCAGGAAGATAGTTAAGAAATCCTTTATTACAAAACTCAGAAAATACAAAAAAATCATTTAGACAAAAACAGAGATGTATGGAGATCCTACTGCGAAGAAATTGTAAATTTCCCATGAAGACATTGGAAAGGCTAAAAGAGGGGTCGAATAATAGCTTATTTTCAAAATATTTTTACATAGATTATAACCCCCCGAGTTTTAAAACGCTACTGTCTTCCTAGCTTTTCTGCTTTTTTTCGGGAATAAGGTACCGCGTTCCTCTAAACAAAGTTTTTCAATCTAACCGATCATGTCAGATGAAGTGTTCATGTTTTTGTGAACTTTACCACATCAACAACTAATATTGTTAAATTCAACACCAAAAATAATAATTAAACAAAACAAACCACATCAAACTTTTTCACCTTCAAAAAGTACTTAGCGAAAACGCCCTATCCCACAATATGTGTGGATTAGGCCGATTTGACCAATGAACTGGAGTGGGGTAGAATGCTTGTCAATAGGCTTGAGATGCGACTTTATGGGCAAAGACAGGTTATTTTTCATCTCACTCGGGAGTATTTATTACAACCATTTTCTATTTCACTTTGTTATTGTCTGATCCACCAGCTTGTGGATTGAACAATAACAATGTGAAACAGAAAATGGTTATTATAAATACTCCCGAGTGAGATGAGAAATAAAAATGGCAGCGCACATAGAGTCGCATCTTGTTCTATTGATACAATATGAACATTGGCTTTGTACCCCACTCCAGTTCATTGGATTTGACGCAACACCAGTTGAAATAATTCTTAAACTAGTGGCGCCATCTTTTAAACAGTATTAAAATATGGCTTAGGCTATTTTTCACTGTGTAGGTATACAGTTAGGCATCATACATTTGTGGCTTAGGCCGTTTTCGCGATGATAGACTCAATTACCCAGACAACACACCAAATCCCAGAGATATTTACAGAATATCTTTTGTGGATATCCAATATATCCACAGGATATCATCAATATTCCGTGGATATAATATGGATATCCAAATGTCCGTCTATATCCAGAATATAGAAGATATCCTATGGATATTCAGCAAAATATCTAGAGTATCTTCCTGACAATACAAGAAATCGCAGAGATATCCACAGAATATATTCAATATGGATATCCAACCAAATGTCCGTCTTATCCCAGGATATCCTAAATATTCAGCAAAATATTTTATAGGTATCTTTAGTAGATGTTCATAGTAACCAATGAGTATTGAATAACGTCGAAAGAAAATAGAGATAAAAAATATTTCCTTTGATTTTGCCCACTAAGGGCACACTAAGGAGGTTTTCCTTATTAGGATTCTTCAGCAATAAATGAGAATTCTCGACTCGTAGTCTCTAATGAAGTTGATTCTGAAAAAAATTTCGATCGAACTCAATTACGGCGGGTTGAGCATAAGTAGATACGAAAGTGGTATCGACATCTATACTTAGGAAGCAAAATCAAAAATTAAATCTAGTGGATATCCACGATGGTTTGCGTCCGCGCTTAGACTTTGATATATTTAGTGGATGTCCATGGGTAATTGAATACACCTTAAAAAAAATAATTTTAAATATCTGAACGGTACTATAAGCCACAATGGCGAGCACAATGGCGTAATTTTTTAATAATTTGCTATATAATTACTATTATTTATGGACATTTGCATGTCTATAAATTACATTTCATGGATATAAAATAGATATCCACCATGGACTGGACATTCAGTGGATATTGGAATGTTCAGTAGATATCCAAAGGATTTGGTGTGCTGTCTGGGTATAGACCGTTATTAGTCGTTCTTTTTTGACGTCATAGGGTTTTATACACCAAGAATAATAAAACCTTAAGTCCAAGTTCAACGCGCTGTCTATGATAAGTCACAACGACTTTTTTATCACAAAAAATACAGCTCCGAACAATAATATTTTATCGAGGCTTCCTGTTGTTATACCAACTTGGGCCATGACAGCTTCTCATTTCACTTATTGGCACTTTTGTCCAGGTTGTGCACCCAGTTAAAAACTGCTCTGGGTGCTTGCGCACCCAGAGCCCTGGGGATCAGGTCCGCCGAGAGCAAGGCAGGGCCCCAGGACAATTCTCCAGATCGGGCCCCGTGACAAATAAAAAATATTCTCTCCTCTTTACTTAAATTTCTCTCTTCAAACAAAAACTTTTCTTCTACTTGAATTAAATTTTCTAAAAAAAAAAAACAAAAAAAAGCTCAAGTAAAAACTTTTCCTCCTCTACTTGAATTGAATTTTCTAAAAAAAAAGGTCCCCAACCAAAAACTTCCCCCTCTTGTCTTGTGCCGAACTTCTGAATACAAAAATCCTAGACGCGGTTGCCGGGCCCCCCTTATACCGTTGCCGGGCCCCCATTTGAGTCCGGGCCCCGGGAATTAGTCCCGGCTGCCCCACCCTCTAGCCCTGCTGGGGATTCGGCGCCTATGTTAGGGGAAATAGGGGGAAGTAAAAACAACTTAGTCTACTTTTACTCTTTTAATCATAATTACATATTTTGCAAGAAATCCTTACCTAATTTTGGTAAAGATACACTGAGGTGTTTTTACAAATAATGAGGTGAAAATATAAAGTTAGAAAATCGAGAAATCGCAAATCGAAATTTAAAGTCAGAAACATTTTCACCCTATTATTTGTAAAAACACCTCAGTCTATCTTTACCAAAAATAAGGTACGGATTTTTTACAAAATAAGAAATTTTGATTAAAAAAATGAAAATAGACAGAATTGTTTTTACTTCCCCCTATTTCCCCTATCTGTGCGTCATCTCTTTCAAAAAACTGGTAACCCTGACCGGACAAATTGTTCAAAACTCGGACAACCCGTACAGGTGCCGAATTGACCTAGAAATAAGAAACGCCACTGGAGTAGATTTCAACCAAATGTGCTGTCACATTAAAGACGCTTTTAGGCTAGCGAAATTTGGCCCCGCTCGGTTATAAAAAATGCTTAAGCACCTTTTATTGAATTAAATCGATGCAACCTCGTAACCGAAAGCATTATTTATAGTTTGTCAATTGTCACATCATCCCCTCTATTGTTTGTCAGCGGCAGCCCATGTGCGGTCGGATCGGTCGCACTTTTCTACTTCAACTTGGTTTTTATGCGAATGAACCAACAGTGTAAAGTCACGCTAGCAGCGTGGCAGTCCGAAGTTACACCGATAAACAGCTACCGGCACGGCTGCTCTACTTACATCAGACGTGGCAAAGCTGTCTCTGTGACAGAGTGACGTCCACGGCGTAAATACGACGTCTTAGGTGTTTCTCTCTACTTCCATACCCCACAGTGCTACACAATCTCGATTCTGAGATCGAAAAACGGAGCCTGATTTGACGTGGTCCTGTCTGCTAATGATGTTCAATGAGCAGAGGGTCGGGAAGGGATAAGGGGCGGTTAACTCTATTGATTTTTGGGGTGACACTGTCAACTCCCGCCGAGTTCGCGGAGGAAAAAAATATACACACGGGTATACTCGAAAAATTAACAATTTCTCTGTTCGATGGCTAATCTCACCTACGGAAAGTTTCGGAAGTTTCCAATTTATTTGGAAGTTTTCTCGGTTAAATTTGTTGTGTTTGTGATTGTGTTTTGAATTTGAAACCGGTGGTGGAATGTGTCGTTCGTCGGGTGTTCACGGCTCCAACAACGCTGATGTTCGTCACATCAACATCACTCAGTGAAAATGGCAATAGGTGGCTTCTCGGAGGATCATTTTTGCAGAAGGCCCAAGAAGAAACTCAGTTGACGCTTTTGCAATTGCTCCTTTACTAGAAAAAGCTTACGGCAAAGCCGACAAAGGTGGGCGTTCACATATTGTCCTAATAAACACCAGAGTAGCACTTAAAAATTTACAAATATATAATGCCTATAAATGGGGTTTCCCAATATTTTTTTTATACATCCTACAATCGCTTTATCAAAATAAAAGGGTAATTTTAACGTCATTTTATTACCCTAACCTACAAATGTTAAATTAATAAACAACATGCAAACATTTTAGCGGACAATTAATACTTTCTTGAAAATCATAAATTAGGTGTATCGTGCAATTTATAGATGACTATTTTGATATTACGACCGGCAAAAAGCCGACTGTGTAGGTGCTTTGTAAACATAACAATGGCGGCTCCTAAACATGCGCCTTCAACATGCACTGTTTATTAGGTTCCTAGATGATTCTTGTGTAGTTCTCTAAGAAATTAATGTAGTGTATTCTTGTTATATTGATTGCAAAACGGTTTAATGTGTAAAATTTGCTTAGTGACTATAGTGACAAACAAATGTGCGATGGCATAAATACTTAGTTTATATAAAAATTGGATATTTAAAGCAGGAATTATGTGGACTCATCTACCAACTCAAAAACTCATCAACAAGGCCAAAATTACTTCTTGGATGTTGAAGCGATGAAACAAGTCCGAGTACCGAGAAAATCAAAATGTAAATTTTATTATTTTTAATAATAGGGGATAAACATTAGATGGGAACGTAAACATAACCTAACAATTAATAGGTAACCAATAAGTGTTGCCCATATTTTATTTATTAATAATTTACTTTTTGCATGTAGATAAGCTTATAATCTCACTATTACGTTGAATCTGAATCGCCTAGGTGAAAAATATATCAAAAATACCTAACCAGGTGGGACGCAGTACCATTTAAAACTAATTTGTTTGAGTAAAAATTACTAACTAATCTGAATATTGAAGGAAATGAAGGTTACATTCGACATAAAAGACACACGAATTTCAAAATATTTTATGTACTATTAGAAAGTAGAAAAGTTATATATAATGAAAATTAACAAAAAATTGGAGATTATCCATGATTACGCGAGAAATTTAATGTTAAAATCTCAAAAATTGCACATTTCTAATCAAATATTTTGACATATATGTACAGGGTTGCCAAGTATATTAATATGTAAGAAGGTATAACTAATTTGTAAACTCGAAAATTATTATACTTTTATTTGTTTATTTAAATAAAAATGTTAGAATTTTGTGATAAAATACCAGAATCTATATTAAACATATCGCTCCCCGGCCCCTAACACAGATCAAAAAATAATATCTGTTCATATCAGCCCATACAATTGTTTATCAAATTAAAAAAATAATCCTTTGTATGTTTTTATAACTTATTGACATTTCACATGACACTTTTGAGTAATTTCTAGAAATATAATGTTACAAAATCATTTTATTTGACTCATTCAACATAATTGTTCACTCTAAATTTTCTTCTAACCAGTCATACTGTTAATACTCAGACAAGGGGCAAACCACCTGAGAAAAATTGTACACCATAATTCCACTTCCTTAAATAATTCCACCAGAATTCCAAGTACTTCCACTGGAATTCCATGGAATTCCACGTACTTTCACTGAAATTCCACTTACTTCCACTGGAATTTTAAGTATTTCCACTGGAATTCCACTAAATTTCTATGGAATTCTACTATCATGTACAGTAAAACTCTAAGTACCGGCTATTCATCACTTTAAAAAATTTTATGTGTCCAACACATGACTTTCCTATCTAGTTATAGGCTTTTTCTGGTTATTTTGCACAACCTATTGCAGCAGCGCTATAAATGTTTAGAGGATAAACTAAATATATACATGTTCCTCATACATCTACCTTGAAACATTTTTCTATAGATATTCATTGAAACCGAAAATACTGAAAAATTTAAATTTAACAATTTTTCTATTACAGTCCATTTTAGAAAAATCATGTATAAACAAAAATTATAGGGATCTATATCGCAAACAACTTTTAGTTCAACAATTTTCATAAAAATCAGAATTTTGCACACTCTGTCAAATTTCTCGAATACGGACCATTTCAGGAAATTTTGATATAAAGCAAAAATTATAGATAATAATATTAGAAGTAACTTTTATTTGAACTATTTTTTCTCCAAACATAAATTACAGATATTTCATAAAATATAAAAACGGCCTCCTATAAAGTACCCCCCAGATGTTCCGACTTTGACCAAAATCTAATCATTTCACGTCAGGCCGAAATTAACTTTAAGTTTAAAATTTAATGTTTTTTTCTTTATCCGTTTTTGAGTTTTCTTCAAAATTCGAAATTTACACATTTTCTCAAATATCTCGAATACGGTCCATTTTAGAGAAATTATGTATAGGGTAAAAATTATAGAGAATTATATTACAAACAACTTTTATTTGAACAATTTTTATAAAAAATTATTTTTTTTACATTTTGTCAAATTTCTTGAATACGGACCATTTTCGGAAAATTTTGTATAGAACAAAAATTATAGATAATAATATTAGAAGTAACTTTTATTTGAACTATTTTTTTCTCCAAACATAAATTACAGATATTTCATAAAATATAAAAACGGCCTCCTATAAAGTACCCCCCAGATGTTCCGACTTTGACCAAAATCTAATCATTTCACGTCAGGCCGAAATTAACTTTAAGTTTAAAATTTAATGTTTTTTTCTTTATCCGTTTTTGAGTTTTCTTCAAAATTCGAAATTTACACATTTTCTCAAATATCTCGAATACGGTCCATTTTAGAGAAATTATGTATAGGGTAAAAATTATAGAGAATTATATTACAAACAACTTTTATTTGAACAATTTTTATAAAAAATTATTTTTTTTACATTTTGTCAAATTTCTTGAATACGGACCATTTTCGGAAAATTTTGTATAGAACAAAAATTATAGATAATAATATTAGAAGTAACTTTTATTTGAAGAATTTTCTTCTCCAAACGTAAATAACAGATATATTCCATAAAATATAAAAATGACCACCTATAAAGTGCCCTCCCCCCCCAGATGTTCCGACTCTGCCCAAAAACTAGAATTTCCACTGGAATTCCACGGACTTCCTCTGGAATTCCACATACTTTCATTGGAATTCCATTAATGTGTACACCATAATTCCAAGGTGGTTTGCCCCTCGTACTCAGACTACTTAGTTTTTTAAATATTGCGGGTAACAGCCGAAATAGTAACAAGTAATAAATAAATCCTATAAATAAATATTTGCAAATAAAATTTAACCAGATATAATTCAAATTAATTGAAACTTGGCAACCCCGCTCATTTTCCAGAGAAGAAATGTCAAATATTAAAATTTTAAAGTTTTAGGTTAAGTTTAATGAAAGACTCGTTTTCTTATTTTTAAAAAGTATTTAATTAAAATATATAATTGATTTATACTTTTTTTTTCATATTTCCAAACCTAAAGTGAGTAAAAATCATACTTAATATCATTTAAATCAAAAAGTAAAGTGAAACTGGTCAAACAGTGTGTCCCTAAAGTCGAACGTAACTGAATTGACCAGTGAATTTTAGAAATAGGTACTAAAAAGAGGTAATGAAAGTTATAAATAGAGCATATAATTTCAACCTGTTCATAAACATTGCATAATTATTTTTATAATTCACAAGATATAAACAGTTATTTAGTGTTTTATTTTCTTCTGTATTTATATTTTATTCAGTGGCAGATTTAGAATTCGTTCTGATGGGGGGTATGCTGTAAAGATTTGTTGACATACCTAATTTACCTGATTTTTCTAGTTATATTTGTTCAGTACAAATAATTTTTAGACAAATTATTTATCTTAATAAAATATAACGAATTTTGCTATTTAAAAAACCAAAGTTTAAAATTACAAAATCAAGTCATTTCTGTTTAGTTGAAGAAGGTTATTCTCTGCCCCTCAAAGGTTCTTCTTATAAGAAAGGAAAAAATAAAAACTACACCACACAATAATATTTTATTGAAAAAATGTAAACAGCCATTTTTGCCATAACAGTCATCATCAGACTCAAAAGATATTTTATTAAAATAGAGAATGATACTGTCTATCACTAAAATAACTCATCATTGGGTACATGATATAACAGTATGAAAGATCATTGGATTCATCAAATTATTATTATTGTAAGCAGTAGTACCTACTAGAATAGTGGGTTTTAAACTATAGTAAACAAATTAAATCATTGATAAATTGTGGAATTAACAGTCCATCTAATCGAATAGTATTATTTATAATATAAATTAAAGATAAGAATTTTCCTCACTTATTTTATTCGAAATGATTTTTCTTATGACCACTTAGAAAAGAGACACATATTACACCATTCAGTTTTATCCTATCACATGCAAATGAATAAGAATCTACTTTTCGCCCTTGTGTGAATATGAATCTACTTTCCACATAAGCTGTCAAATATGTTAGATGCATAATTTCCATCTTGATTTATGTAATATCAGTAATAATGGTCAAATCGATTTAATGATTAAATTGTTATTAATTTTTATACTTTGATCTTAGAGATATTTATTTATAACAAATTATTGAAATAATTTTAAAGTAACATTATTTTTGTTTTTTCCTGGTTTCCTTTACTTACATATTTGTTTAGATAATTCAAGTGACATAACAATGATAGTTCAGTTTATAGAGTGTTTAGGTTTTTTTACTTTGTATATCACAACCATGTCACGATGGAGTTTAAATTCTCCATAGATTTCTTTTTATTTTGGAAAATATGAAAATCAATAAAATACTACTTACTATTGTTTATTTATTTTAAATACATCTATTTATCATAATATAACTTCTACAATTAATCTTCTTGCTATTTATTTTGTAATATTCTGATTACTGTTCAGAAAAAAATTGAAGTGAATGCATAAACCAGCCAAGTCCATTTTGACAAATAGTTCAGGAGAGATAAAGAATGTTTCAAGTACAAAATATTTAATGTTTTTTGTATTTTATTCCATGCACAAGGGTTATAATTTTTTGTTTGTTTGATGGTCTGTGTAAAAGTGTTAGATCAATGTGCATAAACCAATGAAGTCCCAGACTTGGCCTATCGAGAGGTACTATATGTCACAGCATGCTTAGTTAATGAGCTAAACAACTTGTTTATGCATAGAATGATTCAGAATTAAAAACTGTATATTAACTAAAAAAAATTTGATGTGTCCAACACATGACTTTCCTATCTGGTTATTATAGGCTTTTTCCAGTTATTTTGTACAACCTATTGCAGCACCTTTATAAATGTTTAGAGGATAAACTAAATATACCACATACATCTACCTCGAAACATTTTTCTATAGATATTCATTGAAAACGAAAATACTGAAAAATTTAAATTTAGCACTTTTCCTACAATTTTTCCATTACAGTCCATTTTAGAAAAATCATGTATAAACAAAAATTATAGAGATCTATATCGCAAACAACTTTTAGTTCAACAATTTTCTTAAAAATCAAAATTTTGCACATTTTGTCAAATTTCTCGAATACGGACCATTTCAGGAAATTTTGATATAAAGCAAAAATTATAGATAATAATATTAGAAGTAATTTTTATTTGAACTATTTTTTTCTCCAAACATAAATAACAGATATATTCCA